CGGCTCTATTTGCCAAACTTCTCTCGTAAATTTCCGCTGCTGCAACTAGTGCAGACGTATAGTACGTTTTCCTACGCTGAGAGTATTATGTTTTTTTTTTTTGCCAACCAGGGACGTGTTGTTTACACGCTGAAACATCATAAATTACATGCGTGCCTTGTGCCCCTCCTCTTGTGTGTACACGAGCTCAAACTCAATCTGGATTGTTCGGGCCTGGCCCGTGCCGTGCCACGCCCCCGCCAACCACGCCCCCCTTCCAGGCGATCAGCCACTGACATGCATTTTGAGGGGATCTCTCGATTAGCCGATGGAAACAGACTTGCACATATTCGCTTTGCATGCCTGCGGTTTTGTGTGCTTGGTAAATATTGAAAATGCCGATGTGTTTTAAAGAAAATTGAATTCGGAAAGTGTGTGAATTTCAGCAAGATTAGGTTTGTAAAGTTAATCTTGGCTAATTTGGTTAACTTTCGAAAACTTTGCTCACCCAAAACTGGCTTCAACTATTTAGGGACCACATTGCGCCACTTTAAGCGCATCCACCGCTTATTGCATCCTGTGCTCATCCAACTTGGCTGCTCAGTGTAAAGTTGAAGTGTAATAAAATGGTGCTTATTGCATTGTGAGAGGCATAAATATTCGCACAGCAGGCCGCTGAAGGACTTGCCGAGGTATTTCCGCCCCGACCGTGTCGCCACCCCCTCATCATTGTAAGTGGTCGCATTTCCCAGGCGTGTTGCAGTTATTCATAATCGTTTGTCAGTGCCGGATTATATATGGGAGCCAGTGTACGGCCCTGTGGCACATGTACATACATATGTTTATACCCAACCAAAAACACTCTCCCACACACCGGCTCACACAAAGCGGCCGCAGCATGCGGCAAAGCAATTTTGGTAAACGCTTTCTGGGTGGAAACGGTGGCGTATACGCAATATATTATATTATATTCCGCACTGACCAGAAATTGTTCTACACACAGGCTGGTGTAATAAATAATGCAAATCTGGCCGAATGGGATGAATTGTTATAATCAAACAATTACATCGTCAAGCAGTGCATTAGTGGCACATTCGTTGATGGATGCAAAGTTTTTGAATTTTGATGTGGCATTTTTAATTTTGAAAAAACAAACAAGCTTAATTATTTTTTATAATTTCCAAATTAATTTCGCATTATAATTAGGCTTGCAACTCAATTATTTTAATTTGTATTTCCATAAAAAGGTGGCTTAGATTTAGGTGCAAATTCAGTTAGTTAAAGCTTACCAAATGGTAACTTTGTTCTCACGTTCTCATTAGGGCCCAGATTCTAGTTTCATACACATCCCTGTGTATCCTGACTATTCAACTCCTCCCGATGCTCCTGAAGAGCCTGTAGCGATGGGTGAACTCTTAATGGGCGACCCACGTATCCGAGACCGTTAAGTGGGGCTCACGAACCCACACTCGCACCCAAACCCGCACTATCCTCCTCCCCGGGGGTACCACGCTTTCTCCGAGGCTGCCGGCGGGCATTAACGCCGGTTAGTGTACCGCATCCAAGCTTGTATTTTGCTGGAAGACACGAGTTGTTTTGCTTTGGTTGTTGGCTTTACTGGCATATCGGATGCGAGGGTTCTGGGTGATTAAATGGATTTGATTTCCACCTCTTCTCCAACGCCCACTGGTATACCCACAATGCTGTGATTTCACTCGGTGCTTCGAATATTTGAGGTTGGTCTTCATTTAACGTTAACTCAATTTTATTCACGAGAGGAGTATTCAAATTCGCCTAACTTCATTAAAGACCCACGTATTTTGACCATCATCGTTTTAGCCCAAAATTAAAGAAAATGCAAAGATATTCGTCCACTCGCTCCGAAAGCCGAGGGCAATGCCATTAGAAGCACATTCTCATTCCATGCAATTCTCGCTTAATGCAATTTAAAATCAAATTGCATTTATCCGAAGGGCGCTCCGCTCGTCGTACTTCATTAGCAAACTCCTCAACAAATTCATTACGGCTGCAGCTGCCAAAAATCTAGGGCACTAGAAAATTGTGCACCCGAGTGGAGGCAGTAGGCAGCCGGAGACCAGACAGTTGGCACAGAAGGAATACCTCCGTCTGTGCCTCTATAGCCTGCCGGTGAATGGTGGATGAGCGAGTGTTTGTGTGTGCCGCACTCTTGTGTATCCCGGGTCTGGCGAGGAGAAGTGTTTGTTTGAGTGCGGAAATATTTAAAGTGTCACATACGCTCTTCGGAAATTAAATGTGAGTGTTGCTTCACGCTCCAGAAACGAGCAGCGGAAGTCTCCAACCTACACTGTTCAAACTGCTAAGTTTGTCTAAAAATTAATTTTTTATCCTATCCTCTATTAAGAAAATCAAGGTGATTGCTTTGAAATTAAATATCTTAATCATATACATAGAACCTGTAGCACTAGTGAAGTAAAAAAACTGTATATTTTGGTTAGTGTAGAACCTGGAAAACTGGATTGTACTCGAGAGGACTCCCTGAATGGTCATTGGTTTGGTCGCCATTCAAGGTGTGCAAAAGCAGAGTGGCTGGCTGTGGGCGTGGCACCAGGATAATACCCGTTCTTTGTGCTCCTCTTCTTGGCCTTCTATTTGTTTCGGTTTTGTGTTTCAGTTTCTGGTTTTGTTGTGTACTTTTCCGCTGCATACTTTCGAGAGTGTTTGTTGGGCATATTTCTGGTGGCCATTTGTCGGGATAGCGTTTGGGAGTGCGGCCGTGTGTGTTCGTGTGTGTATTGGCGCTTCGAGTGTGGTGCGGTTACTTTTGAGTGTTTTCGTATGTTTTGGGGCTCTTTTGTGGGTCGTTTTGCGGTGCGTATACGTAACATTGTCGCCTAAACACGAATATATTTAATTATATTGTCGGTTTCCTGGGTACACATATAACATTCCGGTGGAGTTATTCTCAGAATCATTCCATTTATTGTTTGTTCTGCGACGCACTTTAATCTCGTTTCCTTGCCACCAACACCGCACTTTTGAGTTTCTGCATGTTTTCCCAGGGATTTTCGCAATGCACATCGGTCCAACTTTTAATTAAGCATTTGTGCTGGTCTGATGGCATTCGAAACTTGTTAGCTCGACTTTTGTTTGTTTTTTTTTATTTCTGTGTTTGTTTGTCAGCGCAATTCGCGTGATTTCCAAATTATATTTGCCATGGCACATTTTGATGGTTTCCCCCGTTGAAAGCTGCAAAGTTTTCCTTTCCCGAGACGGAATTATCATGGCTTGCATGCATTTTTAATTAAGCAGGACTGCGGGTGAGCCATGGTTTTCGATGAGCTTATAATAATGCCACAGTGGCTATTATAATGGGATCAAAGTTGGAGTGGATGCGCTGCGGGAACTTTAACACATGCCAAATTTGTTGAGTTTAACCTTTTCTCCTCCAATTAGTCGTTAAAAGAACCTAAAACTTAATGAGAACGATTGAAATTCACTTTGGAATTTAACTCCAGCAAAACTCTGGCTTCGTCTTTAACCTTTAAGAGCTGAGCTTTTTCTGCTCAATCTTTATTTATTGCACATACGACTCGTGTGCCGGCAGACAAACGCTCTAAGCGTCCTCTCAACTATGTGGGATTACATAATAGAACCCGCAAATAAATACAGAGCGTAGCTGAACTGCTTCGATTCCAAATCCGTTTCCCATTGCAACACCAAGGCAAACATGTGTCTCCGGCGTAGGGAAAGCATCCTCGTACATACGTCCTTTGCAGAATGTGGAGCATGAAGAAGTTAGCAAACGGCAGGCCACCTTGGTCCATACATTCATGAATGACACCGTTGCCATACCACCGTCGCCCAGAGCTCCGGGCTTCTTCACGGGGGGCGCCTGAGCCGCCGGAATGGAGGTCAAAGTGCATAACTTAAGTAGCCGACAATAAAATGCATAACATGGCATACAAAACACAAACAGACAAGGCCGGCCAGCGGAGGGAAACTAAGTACAACCCGTACGAAAATGTGCAAAATATGGCTCTATTTATTTGTACATTAGGCCATGCCAGCCAAGACGTTGAAAAACTCTCCTCGCCCGCCGCCTCACATTCACCCACCCGTCCGCATGCCTTCCTGAGTGTTTGTGTGTCCTGTGGCATGTTGTACCTGCCTCAACAGCTGCTAGCAAAAGGCCAAGTGTTGTGCTTGACATGAACACAAGGCGGGCACAGAGGGATTTCAGCTTCTTTATTTCGTTCCATATATTTTTTTTTGTATTTTTCTTTACTTTACTCGTGTCGTCTTGTCTTTCCCGCTGCGTCGTAATAATTTCATGCTGGGCTGGACTTAACCAGAGCGCACAATTTATCTAATGTGGACCTGGAGACTAACAAATTTATTAAAGTAAAATCCGCACCAAAAATATGATTTTATAGAGGTTTATGAGAGAAACGTATGTAGGACTTTTTGAAAGTTTAAAGTTTTTAAAGAAAAATGTGAATACTTGGATGGAATTAAAGATTAAAGCAAAAGTATTGTTGTGGAACCTAAGGGATATTATTAAATAACTATTTATTTCATTCTATTAGTGAAAAGAGTACCCTAACTATTATTGCAAGCTTTGATTTAGTTAAGAAACATATAAAATGTTCCCAGGGAGACCTTCGTTTAATTATTTGGGCTGCCAATTGTACACATCTTGTCCGGAATTCGATTGCAATCAGCGGGACTTCTTAGTTGATTCGCGATTTTTTTTCTGCGGTTCGATTTTTTTGGCATTAGTTCCCATTGTTGGTGGCCATTGTTGACTGCCGACGGGGAGTGGTGAACACAAAAGCCAACCGCGTAATTAAGCTTTACGTACCGAGAGTAAATACACAAAAACAGGGACAAGAGTGGCACAAACCAGTCGCACTCTCGCAGTCACCAATACCAATAACCGCAGTGAGCCCCCAAATGTTAACAATGCACATTACGCATACGCCACGTTGCGATGATGTTCCTCTTGTTACTGACCGTTTTGCCTTCTCCTTGCCCCGCAGATACCAGGACATGTACAACAATCCGATTAAGGCCACTAATTTGGAGCACCGTGACGTGGTGCTGGACATTCTGTCCGATGCCCGAGTGGTGGGGCCGCTCCTGCAGACGGGAACGTTCCACGCGGATGTCAATCGGCGCAATTATATGTACGTATTCGGCCATAACAGCGCAACTGGACCTTATGCCCACGTAAGTATTAGCCAAACGGTTGAATGGCCACTCCAATTACTAGTCATGCGCTTCTGCGCTTTTAATTTAAGCGCCGGTGGTCGGGCCGTAACTAAGCCCAGCATGAATTCGCATCTAATGAGTTTCTGTGATGTACTCGATTTCTCCCATTCCCCCAAAAACCGCAACCTACTTTGTCCGTCCAATAATGGAACAATAATGCTGAAAAGTTTGTGGCATTGGGCCCGGGAGTGGTGTCCATCACTGGGCTGACGCTGCTTGTTTTTGGTTTTTTGGCCAAAACAATTGGCAAGTTTGCAGCTGCCGATGGCGGCGGACGGCCGTGAATGATAGTAATAAAGACAATGAACCCCGCAGCAGCAGAAACCAAAAAAAATCTCTACAGAGATACAAATGGAATATTACACTGGGGAAAATGCATAATTAAAGAAGCGTTTAAGAAAATGTTTGTATAACAAGACTGGAGAATAATAGGTAATGCTTTTCTTATGAAAATATGACTCTATATCTCTAAAAAAAATATATCTGAAATAGTTAAATCCATAAAGCACTCCTTTGCACATACAATTTTATGTCGATTTTATTTATAGTTACCCCATCAAATAATGAATATATATAGTGTTATTTTATTTTCCCAAGTATACAATAGAAAGTCTAATACTTCCGTTTTTTTCGGTGCCCCCAAAAAGGACAAGGCGCTGAAAATCCAAAACAAAAACAGAGTCAGACGAGCTTAGCTCGTGTCCTTTGCTAACCAGACGGCATCCTCTTGACTTAGGGTTCACTGGTGTCCAAGGAGGGGTCACCTCCCGGACTGCCGGGAGAGGTTTCGCCATGGTTATGGTTATTTGTGTCCTTGTTCGACTGCCGGTCCGTTTGGCTTTCTAGTCGGTTTTTATGGCTCTGTCATGCTTATGGATTTGTTACTGATTGCCTCGCCCAGATAGCTTTGTGTTGCCATGAAGCTGTCTTGGCCTCGGACCTTCGCTACTCTATAGATAAATGGGCATATTGATTTGTAATTAAGATGATTGGATTGATAGGCAAATGGCGAAAGCGTCTGCCCCTCCTTGTTGGACAGTCTTCTATTTTGGGTACGCCTGCCAGGAAATCCTTTCATCTCCCTCCAAGTATCTTCCAGGTTAGAGTCCTGAAGTTTCGCCTTTGCTTTCGTTGGGATTCGAAAATGGAATGGATAGCCAAGGCAGTCGAAACTTTCCAAATAATGAATTTCAAAACAAGTCAAACAGAGAGACAATACAAAGGCGACACTCATGTTCACTCTCCCCCTCAAAGCGGAAAGTTATTATTTCGTATTATATTTTTGGCAACTCTCAACTTGCGCTAAGCGAATTTTTATGGCCATAGTTGCGGAGCGGTGGGTCATAAAACAAGCTGCAACTGCAAATAGATGAACAGCCCGGGGGGATGGCCTTTTTAGTGCGACAACAGCTTGTGGCAAGCGGGTGCAACAACTTTTTAATAGCCCGCAATTAAAGCATGTGAATAAGTCTGATAAATTGCCATTGAACCAAAGTAGCCAAATCACACAAAAGAACATGTTTATGCTCCCTGATATATGGGCCGGATTCCAGGGCTCGTTCCAGAGCCCCGCATTAGTGCGAATAAATTGCGAGAATAAAATTCACTTAAATATTTCATGCTGCTGCGGAGCTCCGCTGCGGAACCCAAACATGAAAAGCGGATCCCAAGGATATTCGAGCAAGAGCTCGTGCCTACAAATTATCGCTGGCTGTCGCCAACGCAACCTAGTCGCTTGTATTTTCGTTTTTTTGTTTATCTTTTTATTTTGTGTGGGGCCCAGACAAGCTAACAGTCAGACAAGTTGCTACCCACACAAAAGACCTCCTCGTTTCATTTTATTTATGGCATAAACCCACAATTCTCCGTTGCCGCATTCTTGGTTTGTTAGAGAACTCGACTGAATGCGAATGAATTTGTGCATAAACTGCGCTTCTGCACTCCATCTTAGGCTTTTTCTGAAAAGTCAGCCACTCACTCACTTCAGCAACACCCAACCCCAGCCACGAACTTTTACGCCCCTTGGCTTTGACTATCTGGCTGGAGCCACAGGCTTATTGTAAAACTTTTTGGCACACGTCTTACATGCCTCAAAAAATGGGCCAGAGAGACTACTTACATCCTTGGTCGATTCCATTGAGGCCTTTGTGCGGCTCAAGCCGATTGTTAAAAATAGCGAAAATTATCCCAAGTATGGATTATTCAGCCCAAATGGGGATTGTGCTTAAAGTAGGGCTTAATTGAATTTAATCCCCGGCAAATAACCAGAATGCCCACCCAAATAAACATCACAGGGCTGCGGATAAAGATGGCTGCCTTGGAGTTTTTCCATTTTCCTCGTCTAATTTCCCAGGCTGAGCAATAAACGCAGCCAGCCAGAAACTTTGGCAAAACAAGTTCCAATTTATTTGGGCACAATCGAGGGAAAAGAGATGAAAACGACAATTCGCATCGACTTCGACTTGAGGACAGTTTAATAAGTTTTCCATATTAAATTTAGCATTTTCCCCAGTGGGCACACAGTCGCACGTAGACAAACGTCATTATCATCGCATTCTAAACGCGGTCAGCATCCCGAGAATGTACCAAAAAAATTCACCAACAAACCAAAAACAAAAACACAAAAAAAGGAAAATAATATGAAGTATGTCCCGTCTGGCCGGTATCTTTTTTTCTTGAAAAAGTTTTTTCCCGAGGACTATTCGGGCATTTCCTCCTTCTCCTCCGGCGCTACTTCTGATAAGAATGCCAAATGGTTGAGGAAGGAAAAGAAAATTTATGAAAATAAAATAAATATGACCGAAACTAAAGTTCTTATTTTTGTGCGTGGTTGAAAGTTTGCGGCCGCAAAAAGGATTCGGCGACTGGAGTGTTTGGCAAATACTATAAAAAACGTGCCCGTTATGCTTGATGCATAGCATACTTTTTTGTGCCGAGACCGAAATTCCGTGGGGAAAATATTTAATTGCCGTTTTCGTTTTCGCTTTCGGAAAACAAAAATTTCAAACGAAATGAATAGAGTCAGACTCATACAGAATATTATTATTTCACAAATTAAATTATCAGAAAAATAAAACCCTCGCGAATATTTTAATGTATTAAATTTCTATATTCACGCAAATTCGCAAAAATGCTTTGGGGTAGAAAATATTTAATTACCGAATACAAAAACATCAAATTAAAGCAGCCCGTTACGCCCAATTCTTGGTCTAATCCTATAAAATTATAAAGAGATGAGGGGCAATTGAGCGGCAAGGGGACCGGAGTCCTTTTTACCCGGCGAACTCACGCCCAAGTATTCGCCTCAGGACCTACTTCCTTCGACCCAACCATAAAGCGTTTTGCCCTGGGCCAATTCAGGGGAAAATATTTTTGGAAATTTTACACGCTGCGAGTGCCATTAACTCCATTAGGTTTATTACGACAAATGGCGCTAAGTCAAATTGTTGCTTCCGTTGCCATGGGCAAAAAATTCCGGGAGCTCCGCCCACCCGAGCATAAATTACAAAAGTTACGCATTTATTTCAAATTGAATTTCCGCCTCTGTTCCGGTAATTTTTTAATTTTCTACTTTAAAGCAACAAAATTCGCCGGTCAATAGCAATAATTTGTTACAGGAAGCGCCCACGTTTCGGCCATTGAAATAATACATAAATTTACGTTGACCAATTTATACAAATTTCTTTAATTATGCATAACCTTACATCCCAATGCGGGCTAATACAAAATGATCTTTATTAAAGCGGAAGTGTTTAATTGAAAAATATTTTTGCTTCGCTTATTGGTTTTACTCAATTATTTTCCATCGCGATAAATAAAAAAAATATTTGCTTTCAGAAAGCGCTTAATTTGATTGATATCGGAATATTTCTATATTGACCGTAAAAATAAACAGCTGCCAGTCGGCGAAATCAATTTCAATCATAAAAGAAGTCTTAAAGATACGCTTTGATTTTTGCAAAAGGCTATTGAACCTTAACCAAAGCGACTGGCAAAAGGATCCGCTGCTAAGCCTTCCAGGGACATCCAATATTGAATTCCGTTTGCTCATTTCATCAAATTCTCACACAATTGCAAAATGAAAATCAAAAGCGAAATTCATCATTCATAAATGCCATAAAATACATCAACGGCAGGGAGGACATCGTCCAAAATCCAAGAGGACAGTCAGCAGCATCAGGAGCTCCAGGACAGGACCGTTTTGATGTGCTCAGACAGAAATGCTTTGTGACTTTGTTACATTTTTCATGGCAACAATAAAAACTTGGCTTTATTACCTACTTACATACAGCATTGCCCTCCGGCGGCCCTGCTTCCTTTGGTCGCCTAGCGACCGGAGGAGTCCTGTCTTTGGCTAGCTAAATATTTATGCAGGCCGTCTAAAAAGATTGATGCTGCTTGGTCACAATGGCCAAAAGGAGCCATAAAAAAGTGCTGAAAACATTTCACACCGATCTCCGATTTACCGCATTCCTAACCGCAGTTTCCTTCACTTTTTTTGTCAGTGGGTATACCTACTTTTCGAGGAAAGACAAAAGGGTTCAACGACTTTAGTAATTTAAAGAAATTGAAAAATAAAAAACAAAATAAGCACCTTATGATGAATATCATTCACCCAACTCTTCCTGTTTCAAGTTTCCTTTACTAATACTTTCTTAATTATGATCCACCAACCTCCTTTCCAACCTAATAGCCATCTCATAGAGTATTCCCTTACCGGCTTGATTTACCGACTTTCATGAAATTTTTTCTTACATATTTTCACTTACAGCTACCGCACAGCATTATGGGCGAGGAATTGGCGTTCATCTTCGGGGCACCTCTGGCGCCCGCCGGTCCCTTTCCCAGCAACAACTACACGGTGCAGGAAAAGCTGCTTTCCGAGGCGGTAATGGCATATTGGACGAATTTCGCAAAGACTGGGTGAGTACTCGGGAAACTGGACTTGGACTTGCAGGCCGAAAGCGGATGTGAAAAGTGCATTTGGAGAAAGTTAGCAGGGCAGAGATGAAGTGGTTTTTGGCTTCCACAGAAAAGGCCCTAAAAGTGGGAGGGCCATCAACATCAACTCGACGAGTCACAGTTCTGCATGCAAATGTAGATGTGGATGCAAATACAGATGCGGAGGCGAATGCGGATGCGGTTGCGGATGCAGTGTGGGATATTCATGAGTTTTGGAATGGCGGCGACTGTTGGCTTTGGTTTGGTTTGCCTTCGACCGGGGCACGTTTTGCAATCTGCAACGCTTGGACAGCGAAATGAATAGAATTTTTACTGCCGGTTTTATTATTATTCCACAGGACACTATCGGGTGGCGGCACATGCAAATATTATTAGTTGTACTGGCCCCCCGGCTCGGGGATGAAAATAAAGGCCGGCATAAAAAAAAGAGGGAAAGGAATTTCAAACGAGTGTGGTAATCAAAACTGAAATCAGGGATCGTTAGCAGGACGTTTTGGCATTCGCCTGCATCCTATCCCAAAGGCAATCTCAGTCGGGGAGACCGAGTGCTTATTGGCCATAACCATGTCATTTAAATGAGCAAATGAATGGCCGGATTATGTCGATAAAATGAGATTTTTCTGAGCAGCCCCAATGGGGGATATCATTAAAGTGAATTAGACGATAACATATATGTCTGATATTTTTGTCCTAGATTTGCATTGATTTCTTTTTCGTTACAGTAATCCCAAGGCGCCATGGAAGGGAACCTTTCTGAATTCACATGCCCTCGAGTGGGATCGCTATGATTTGGACTGGCCGGAGTTTAACAGAAAGTCTCAGGCTTACTTAAATATAGGTATGTAGGATCCTTTTAAATACCAGACTATATAATTTTGGCTTCGTTTTTTAGGGATTCCTCCAACTGTGGGCTTCAAGTACCGGCAAATCTATATGAATTTCTGGAACAAAGAACTGCCGGACGAAATCAACCAAATAGCTGCTATTCAAGAACAATTGCATAGTCCTAGCCACGAAGTCATCACTGGCCACATGAGCAAGTATGGCCCACGAGATCATGACTCCGAGGATCCAGTCAGAGTCCTTAAACAGCTTCTGCAGGAGCCCACCTTAGCCGGTCCGGAGTCCACGGAAACAGCAGCGGAAAATATGTACAATGCCCCTCCAACTTTTGGGAACGTTCATAAGATACAGAGCGGAAGCGATTTTGAATTGATAACTCCACCGAATTCATACGATAATGGGGAAGATCAGCAAAGATCAGAGTCCCCAGAAACGGTAGCCAAGTCGGAGATAACACTTCAGCTGCTAATTGCCTTGATTGCTATAATAATTGCTTTAAATGTGATCATCTATGGCACCTTTTGGTTGCGCCAGCGAAGAAGAAGGGCCAAGGCCTTGCCCTTCCCAGGTCCCAAGCTGGGTGGACACATTCTCAGTTACGATGGCGCCAACGATGAGGAGCTGAAACGCTGCAGTAAGTCCCGCGATGGCGACGACAGCTTTGTCCTGGAAGTGACAAGAAAATCCAACACTTACGAAGCCATCAAAACAGGTCAAAGGTCGTTGAGTTGCTCCACTGTGGATACCCATACGAAAGTGTGTGAGTGGATGTCGGGACAGGAGGCGCCCAAGGCTGGAAGTTTTGCCACATCTACACCCCCGCCCCATCAGCCCATGTTGGCGGATGGCAGGCTCATCATTTGCCAGGACATCGAGGTGGCCGACGCAGCTCTACTCATTCCACAACACATGCACGAGCCACAGCACTACGAGATGCTGCTCCAGCGCCAGCATTCGGCTCTTACGGAGCCCAGCGAGGATGTCCTGCAGCCACAGTTTTCCACACGAAGCCACGCCCACTCCCACTCGGATCCGGTGGACATGATCTTGGCCGCCGATGAACAGATCACAAGTTTTGTACACGCCGACGATGTGGATATAAATGTGACAAGTAGGGATGATCCAGGAGTCCTGGAAATTATACCACTAACAGCCGCACAGCAACTAGAACTGTTGCGGCAACGCAACTACCCAAAGGTCCTGCCTACGGAGCAGGAATTCTTGGACACTACATACAAGAGGAACTCGTTGCCACCGCAGAATTATTATGCTCCCCAGCCGCCGCCCAGGACCATTAGCAATACCTTGGGTCGCCGGCGAAGAGATAGTAGCAACGTGACCACCTCGCCCCTCCAACTGGCCAAAGACAATGGCGCGGATGACGAGGACAGCCTGCGGGAGCCGCAAATCACGCAAAATACTCTGATAGTGGGACCCATTGTGCCCAAGTCGCCGGCCACATCGTTAAAGAGGCGCAAGGATAAGGAGCCCTTGGCGTCGGCCATGACGGCGTTGAGCGGATCCTTCCAGTCCTTCGAGTCTGTGCCTCCGGCTCATGAGACCACACCACCGCAGGGCGAGCGCACCGAGTGCATTTATGCCATTGAAGCCACCCCCAGCTCTCCAGCCACTCCCATGAGTCCTGGAAGTTGCAGCTGGTCGGCACCCAATGGCGATTTATATGCTCAGCCCATGAAATCGCCCTCAAGGACCTCGCTCATCCCACGCCCCACCCACTCGGTGCCGGTTGCTACCTTACAGGCTCCGCCAACGGGTGATGGTGTCCCAGGGGCTACACCAAGCCGCATTCCCCAACTGCAACGTCAGGCTTCCGGTAAGGATTTGCAGGCAACGTTGCAGGCCGCATTGACGGAAAACACCGCAAATCCCTCGGGATGCCAGCAACGAACTGATTCCACAATATCGTCGGGCTCGTCGGCATCCAATGACTCATCCACCGGCTCATCCACAGGATCCTCGTCATCGTCGTCCACCGGAACCGTACGCACCGAACTGCAGCAGTTCCAGCCGCTGCCCGGCCGAAGTATTACAACCAATATATAGAGGAACTTTCCCAGGACGAGCATTTACTCCAAGGAATGAACGGGGAATTTCCCGCTGCGTCCGCAATGCGGCGACAGGCAGATGCCTGCCAAATCCTCTCCAGGATTCTTGAGTCGGAATTTTATGGAGCCAGAGCCAGAGACAAAGCCGGAGCCGGAGCCAGCGTAAATTTAATAATACATTTCGGTGTAAAGTTTATCTTTGACGCGGCGGTTGGGTCGGATTGCTCTGGCCTTCTGGCTTTTCTGCGGGAAAACTTTCCGCCAGCGTAAATTAGTTAAGAAAATTTCAGTTTAGGTTTCCCGGAGATTGCAGCAAAGGTTAGAAGTATCGAAATAAGGAAATCATTTCGAATGGAAATTTAAATAATATTAGAAAGTTTAAGAAGACATTTTTTTGAATTCCTAAGCTCAATTTGAATGATGTAATATATTTGCAAACATCTAAATGACTTTGAAACTTTCTTTAAAATGTAACAATCAATATTATTCTAGTCTATTTTTATTCATTTGTAATTTTAAGATAAAATATTTAACCATTCATTATTATAGACCAAAGAAACTTAGTTACAAGGGAATTAAACTGTTTGTAAGGGAATTATTTCTGATTGTCCCCGAAAAGAGTATTATAGGAGAAATGTTTTTATTCTCTTCAGTTTAAATAAGTCTAACCATAAGATACAATAACAATTGAAGTGGCACATGTACATACTATATATTGAGTAAAATGGAAAATCACATCGATGAAAGCAATTTGTATGTGGCTGATTTTACATTTATTCCCCTGACAACCGACAACCGGGAGCAGCATCAGAAATTGCCAATAACAATGCCCTGCATTTTGCCACTCGCTCACCGAAGTTGTGTCAACTATTGTTGCCGGCAATTTACCAAACAAAAGCTACTTACGAACATTTTTGCTCAGCCTTTATATTTCGGCTTCTGTTTTTTGTATTTTGGAACGTTTTTGTTGCCAATACTCTCTGGGTGGAAGCAATTTCGCAGTGTCGCCAACTTAATTTGCCACAACATTTCTCCTAGCTGCTTTGGCACTTAAAAAAATATAAAGAGAAGAGACAGATATTACTTTTATGTTTTTGGTCAAAAATAGACTATAAAAATATTTAAAACATTGAAAAAATATGTAACCATCTTAAAATTAATTGCATCTACTGTATTATCTATTGTCTATTTATTAATTTTTTTCGAGTGCATGCGAAACAAAATTGGGAGCTTGGAGGCTGCCTCGAATCAGTTCAAATGTCAACATTTCTGCTGCTACACATATTTCAAATATTTGGCGTTTCGTGCATAGTTGTTAACTCTTCTTCACTCGCCGCCCCACCAGGACATCAAAGTTGTCGCTTCCCTCGACACCGCAGAATAGTTGTTCGTTGGGTTGCTAAGCTTAGAGCCGTATCCTGCAGGATTTACTGCCTTGGCAGAAAAGTTTTTGCGCCAGCTTTTATGCCTTATTCCCTTTGTGGCGCATTTATATTTTGGTTTTTTTCCCTTTCCATTTTTTTTTTTGAAGCGTTCTTAGTTTTGCGTTGCGAATTGAGTTATTGTGTCGCTTTTGCCCGGGTCCTTTATGCAAATTGTTCTGTCTTCGAGTTGTTGTGGCAGGAACATTCTTATTTCCCCTTTACGCAGGTTACGCAAACAGTCGAATGAGAAAGTTTGTCGCGGCACAACTACGGCACAAAATTGAAAATCTCAGCTAGAAGCCGAACAAACAGACCGGAATGGTTCTCCCCTTGGAGCGCCCTCAAAAAATTCGTAATTAAATTGTTTGCCCCAATGGATTGTTTTTACGTTTTCGTTTTGGCTTTCCCTCCTCCCCTGGGCGTTGGTCCTTTTTGTGTGCGATTATTTGTTGGCTTTAATTTGGTTGTTGGTCGAGCAGTTGAAAAGGTTACTTAATTATGGCAAAATACTCGGTCGGAACCAACTAATTGAGCTGCAGGAGCGACCACAGAAAACATCTTTTTATCGGAGCTGTTTGATCAAAATGAAGCTCATAAATTGATGTAATGGCCACACGGGCAACACGATATAAATGGATGCTGTTGACATTTATTTTGCGGCCTCAAAGCGAAACGTGAAACCAGATTTCCTTCGTTTCGTCCTGTTTACCATCTGTTTGCATCGCCTATCTTTCAAAGTGTCGAGGTCAGTTTTTGTTCTGTAATTTTTCCCGGGTGTTTTCTTTGTACTTCCCACTCTGTTCTCAAGTTTATTTTTCATCTTTGTATAGTTGTTTGAGAAGAAATTCCTACTGCCAAGTCCGAGCTCTTGGCCAAGTGCATGAAATGGTACTTGAATTGAATAAACCCAAAGTTAACTTCTGTGGCAAGTTATAAAGTGCTAAATGGAAGTTTGTTAGTCTGATATGCGTGTAATGGAATTTCTACACTTCCTCCAATTGAAAGGCAACAAATATGTATAGAGTGCCGCCTAGCCCAATGCTAAATACATTTATACCCAATTAGATGATAAGCGGCTGAATCAATTTGGTAAATATTGGTCTTTGTCTCGGTTTTTGGGCTTGAATAATTCATAAACTAGCAGGAACTTTGGAAAAAAGCCGCAAAAGCCAAATAGTTTGGGCCAACAAATCAAAGTTGCCTGGAAACATAACCGCAAGAAGCAACAACAACCAAAACCTAAACAGAAAATAAGAAAAATTAAATTCCCAAAGCAGATTTACCCAGAAGATGCCGGGACGGCGCTACATTATGTCCTGTGGATAGTCCAAAATTTGCTGACAGCCACAAATTAGAGCAAGTCGAGAGTATATTAAAGTCAAATATTCAGAGGGCGGTGGCATGATAAATAACGAGAGTGTACGGACAAGTACTGGGGAGGCCACGAAACATAAAACTTTCAGGAGACAGAAAGCGATTCATGCATTAATACTCGTATAACGTTCTGGTCTCTGATTTGATTTACTGTTTGGGGACTTGGCCGACATTTTGGGCAAATGAAGGAGGCCTTAGCTCCAAAATGGGCAGAAAAAGGGGCAGGAGCCTAACCGAGGCAAATGCAAAGTTATGACAGGAAGGCCATGAGGAACCAAACCAGAACCCAAATAAAAATATAGCTTTGTGTTGTTGTTTATGGTTTTAATTTTAAATGGAATTCGAAGCGGATTATTGCGTTCTTGTTTAATCTTCTTTAATTGATGCTAATTGAGAACGACATGGCTAATATAAAATGCATATGATGTTTTTCTCATTTTTTTTGTGCATTTGGTTAAGCAGATTAAACTCATCATGACTAATTAAGGAGCATTGTTATTGTTTTATAGAATTATTTACACATTTTCCTCTTGTGTTGACCACAACAAGAAAACCACTACCAACACTAAGCAGCCCTGGGCAAAGATTCCCGATTCAAAGGCTTTAACAATAAACTGGTTAAATACTCGAAAAACAAAGCAAATGAGTCCCGATCCGACAAAGTAAACAGCCAACGAAAATAAACGGAAATGACGCCGAGAGCAAATACTGAAATACACAAGTATGCAAATTATGTTTCTTCCTTTTTTATTCACAGCCTTTGTTTGACTTTTGTAATGAAAATTTTAATAATTTAATAGGTTTCACATAACACAACTGCTCTCCAATGTGGGCCACATTTATACATTTTAAATGACACACAATTATTTTGGCTTATCTCGTTTCAGCAATGAAAATTATTTCCGAAAAATCATTAAAATAATGTTTTAAATGGTTTGGTTAAGCCTTTGACCCTGTTAAGCACTCGTACCGTACATATTTACAATTATTTTCAATTGGTCCGTCACAAAACTTTCACCAGAATATTTAATTTGATTTCACGCAACATTTTTCGACCAACAAACTTTTATCAAATGTCCATTTTTTGACGTTCCACACTGCCAGAGCCAACGGAAAATGTTTAATTAATTTTATTTGGAGACTAGACAACAAACAATATAAACAGACACACAATAAAGGTCATTAGGGATATCAAGTGCATAAACAGATTCGTTTGTTGATAATTTTGTGCATCGTGAATTAAATGTAATTTTGCGGTTCAATGTGGGGGCGGTGTTGAATGCAAATTATCCGCTTCAGAAACCTCAATGAATATAAATTTGGAAATGAACAAGAATCGCCTGAAACAGAGCCAAATAATAATAGCATAAATATTTAATTAAACCCTTTTTGTTTTTTTGGTGGTAGGACTACACATTTAACTCTCTATTTTCCTGTTTTTTTTCAATTAATGTGCTCTATTGTTTATATGATTGTTCTGCGGCCGAGAGTTCAATGGGCTGTATAATTTTGGATTGCATGAAATTGTGCCTAGCAATTGATTTAAATTGGCCAAGACCAATCGAAAAAGGACAAAACGATAAAGTTCATTGACTGACAAACAACAAAAATGCAAATGGTGTGCTAGGATATTTGCATCAGGGACGAAGATCAATTAGGAGATGAATGTCTCAGAAAAACAAGTGACCCTACTGTGTGCATCTATCAAACGAGTTTAAATGGGAAACATTTTGTGCATATCATAAATGCTCTTCCTTCTGCAGGCACTTCAGAATCACATTGCTTGCATCTAAAAATGTAAACAAGCACCCCATTTGCATTTACATATTTCATAGTTTTTGCTTATATTAAATTTATAAATTTCATCTGGGGGAACTGGTGCTGTTCGTTCAAGGAATCCTTGGCAAGTAAGCACGCACTCACCAAAAACACATCTCTGCCCACATTTACACACACACTTACACTGAACCGCACAGCCACACACCCTCGCATGGACACTCACACGTATGGGATTTATGAGTGAGCGCATTTTATTTATATATATTTTATGACTTTTGTAGTTTTCATATTTTCGTTCTCGCTTTTCTTCGCCAACCAACATTTCTATCATAAATATTTTCCCTCCGCCTGTTTTGTTGTTGTTAGGAAAACGAAAGCAAAACTACAATTACCAGGAAAAAACATATAGTAAGGATATATAAGGGGAGCTGCGAGGGCTGTTTCTTGCAGAAGATCCTCTAAAAGTAAATAAAAGTGTAGAAAAGCGCAAAAAACTTTATAGAACGTGACTTGCATTCAGACACTGAAGAATAATAATTTGTAAAGCCCAACTCTTAAAATTTTGAAAATTGCCGACTATCACTTTAGTGCATTTATGATATGCTAAACTAGTAAAAAAAAACAGAAAGAAATGATTTTCAAAAAATAAAATATATTCCATAAATATACGGAAATCATTTCTCCACAGTGTAGTTGCCTTTGTGGGGCGCTGAAGCGTGTCCATTGAGTTTTCCAGGACCCCCACCCAGGCCATCGTCTTTGAGTGGCAATTAACGCCCATGATATTGCGCTTCGGTTGCATGCTGGCGGCATTTGGCGGCATGTGGCAGCATCAGGGTGTTAATGCGCCAAGTCACTCGCATCGGCAGCCGCTGGATTTTTATTGCTGCCTACTTTGCTGGGCCGGGTTCCCTTGGCATTTAATTTGCTTATTACCAACTTGGGCAGACAAAGCGGCCATAGTCGTCCCTTTTGTCGCCATCGTTGGCCCACTTTCGCTCAAGTTTGTTGCAATTTGCAATTTGGGTCGTTGTCGTGCCACACCCCACACTCCACTCGCCCGCTGCAACGCCCTGCAATCCGTTGCCACGCATTTGTCGCTAATTTGGCGGGGAAAGTCTTTGGCTTCCTTCCACGCACCATGCAAAAGGCAGCACGCCCCTGTTCCGTCTCAGTCTGAAAACGCACCCTCCGCGTAATTGTTTGGCACCAATTGTTTTAAATGCTCGACGAGCGTTCACAAATTGCTTCACAGACGCCGCAGCCAGTTAACTTGGCTGGGTGCACTTACACTCTGCTGTTGGCAATTTTATCGAAATCGAGTTATGGTTATGCAGAAGTTTTTACTTTCATCTTGATGCAAACAAGGCCAAACTAAAAAGTGCAAGAAAAAATAAGCATTTTTCTTAGCTGGTGGAGAAATAACAAGGATTTACATTATGTATATATCTTTAATTTGTCTGTATCAGTTCTTAAAGTTCAAAAAACCTTCGTCCTTTTTCATCCAAAAGGATCTACTTAAATTAATTCAACCTATAAGATGCCGAAAAAATAAGATCATCAATCATTATCCTTCTCATTTTTATTCTCCACAAAAAAGTATGAAAATTAATTCAAATCGAATAACATTAGAGCCAGTCAAGGCAAATTTCCATAAACTGTTAATAAAATAAATATTAAATGGAAAAGGGGATCCCTTGCTTGTTGCATAGTGTTTTTCTTCGAGGCATGACTGTAAGAAATTGCGAATGTTTTTATTATAAACAAAGGACACGAATGCGTATGTGTGGGTTGGCCCGGAACTGTTCTGATGCTTTCAAGTTGAAATCGATGCGCATCAATATTCAATATGTTGCTTTTACTGGCGCCACGCCCACCCCCGCCCAGTCTCCGCCTTCGCCTCCGTCTCAGCGTCCCAACACACAAAAAATAAGCCACAAGAAGCAGCAAACCCAATCATGCAGCGCAGCCAACGCCATCTGATGTTTGCTTTACGTAATGGAATTGTGCGGTGAATGCCGCGTGCCACATTTTCGCCATGTCTTGCCCCTGGTTCCCTTTTTCCCAAAACCCTCGCTTTATTTTCCTTCTTTTCACTTTTGGCCCTTTGTGACTTTTCGTGTCTGTGAATATTCGAACGGCTCACCATATGTCGAATCCATCTTTCGATGCACCATCAATGGCTGTTTACTTTCGATTTTAATTAAATAAAAATATGCATATCGACTGGCAGTTAATGAGAAATTGTTCTCTTATATAAGCTGATTATAATTACTATCTGCTTGGGGCCAGATGCCACATGCAGACAATTATAATGCGAGAATCTAATTCCAATTGGCATGGAAAAGTGATTTGGCTGGGAAGTTGATTAACAACAGAAAAGCGTAATTAAGCCGAGTTGTTTATGGTAAATGGTAAATTGAAAGCCTAATGATTGCGGTTCGATGATGGGGTTTTCGTGTTTTTCGTTAGCTGCAGTTGTTATTGATTCAGATGCCCGCCTGGGTAAGCATCAAGAATATTGCGCATACGCCGTGTTGTGCAACAAAGCAGACACGTGCTCGTATTAGCAGCCAGCTAAGTGCTGTTATTTTACAGTTTTACACCGCAATTACCAGTTCCACCCACGCACACATACACTGGCATCGTGTCAAAATCGACACCAGCACATGCTGTTCTCCCCCGGCCACCCCCTCACTTCCACGCCCATGGATTACACCGCTCTACGTGTCCTGGGATGCCTGCGTACGTGTCGAATTCCAAATAGCAACGCCAGTCATAACTGTAAGACAATGTCTGCATGTGATGTGATGACGGGGACGTTGTCACGGAGCGAAATTGGAAGGGATTCCCCCAACCCCGTCGGACGCCTACCTACCCAGCTACCTAGCCACTACCACAGGTCCAGGTTGGAGGGGGATGGACGTGTGGGTGATGCAAAGCAGCGCCGCTAGTTAGTATGTCATGTGCATGTTGGAATATTTCGCTGGAGACTTACCTTCAGGCTTGCCGTTCCCATATCCCTGCCTTCACACGTTTTCTTACCCTCAAAATGCTCCATACCCTTGGAAGGAGTCTTGGAATTTCGGTAACCAGTTTAAACGATTAGGTGGCGTCCATTAGGCGTACTGAAATGTGGCATGCATATTTTCAGTTTAACGGAAATTTAAGCTTGCTTCAAATACTTAGCATGATGCCAATTAATATGTTTAATATGGAAAATATATCTGATATTGCAATAAACAAACGCATTTCATTTCAATTTTAACAGCATAAAGCTTTCATACAGAGCTATGAAAAACTAGCTCTTTATATCTTAAATTTCTTTAAAAATGGGAAAACTAATACGAATTAATAAATATATTTAAAATAAATCAAATTTGTTATTATCTCTGCTATTGCAGAGTATCACATTCTCTTGCGTTACTCAATTTGTGTTGTTTTGAACGTGGCCTTGCTAAAAACTTGTGTAACAACGTAATCATATCAGAGCAACATTCTGGCTACAACCAGCCAGCCACCTCTCCCTTCGTTCGAAGAGTGTTTTTTCGTGTTTAGCAGAGTCGCTACAACTTGTCCTTCCTCTCACGTCGACCGATTCTGTGCTTGTCTTAGGCTTGGCCTTGCTACCAGCAAGAAAGGATTTCGAGAACATCTTAACCCACTCAGCAAAAAATGGCCAAATTGAATTTAAAATAATCCACAATCTGCTTAAGAGCTAATCGTATGAAGCAAATGCTTTAAACGCAGTCAATTAATGGAATTTAATCGCCGATGAAGAGGAATTAAAGCAGGGATACAATTTGTTCGCACTCCCACTCTCTGTCATTCAACACTTTCCGAAATTGTAAGGGGTCTGGGAAAACCTCATTCGCTTCTCTTGGGATTCCAATTTTGGGTTTCCTTCGTTTTTCTCTGTGTCCCCCAGTGAATAAACTGACGACACATTGTGGAACATGTGTCAGATACACATACACACACAACACCCATTCAGCATCATTCTGATGTCAATTATTTTTCCGCCAACAGTCAACTTGTTTTGCTTGTCGTCAGTCAGTCTGCCCCACTCGACCCACCGACAAACGCAAACCAAAACCCGCCAACCGGTTACGTACCCGAGTACGTCAAACCTTTGACACATGTGCAGTTGTGCGGCGGACTGACTTGAAGGTGCGGTCGATTTCCAACTCCCGAGAGGATCCCCTTGGCATAATGAACACTCCATCCCTTGTTTTTATTTTTTGCTACTGCCAGAGGTGGAAAAAGCGGGGAGATGGAAAATCAGTCGGTGCAAACGCCATCGGCAATGAGAGTACTGCATGTTAATTGCCAAAAATAAAGTAAAGCTGGAGCGACAACCATTCCAGGATGGCTGCGTTTTTTTCTTCACTTTCGTACAAAAGTATTTTAATTGCTTCCGACACACGGGAATGAGCAGCCAACGCCGGGATGAATCGAATAAACAAAGAGGAATTTTTTGGAATGGAATTTATAATCATTCTTACCGAAATGATGTGAGTAATGGATTTTCCTTCAAACAATATATGTAATTAGAGAGTAATGTAAAAAGTTGGCAATGTATGACTTTGTCTCCACAATTGTGTTCCGATCATCACCTCTTCCCAAGGACCTCCAAAGGACTTACTTTAAAATTTTCCTAATGCTGCCTAACCAAATGTGTCACTTTTTTCGATTTTCCTTATGGCTACTAGAACTGTGAAATTTTGAAATGTAAAATTATATTTTATAAATGCTACTTCAAAACCAAATCGACTCCCCATCAACTCAGAGACGGTTGCCATGCCGAAGAACGACAAGGGTGCGACCGCGGCGGAGACGATATCCTCCGATAAGTGGGTATCGGTGGACTCCAAGACTATTGTCTTTCCACAGCCCGATCGTTACCCCACTGGTGACAGCAGCAACAGTTACCAAGGTAGCGGCGACCTGGACCGTCCAATGCAATCGATGGGCAAGCACCGGAAGCTGCTGGAGGACCCACGTTTCCGGATTCGACCGCTGCAGCAAGTGCTCTCCGCCTGTGCGGGCGCCATGATCACGGCCTGCTTCATGACCCCCCTGGATGTCATCAAGACACGAATGCAATTGCAGCACTCTTCGCCGAACAAGTGTTTTTTTTATTCCAATGGCCTCATGGATCACTTGTTCTCCTCTGGCTCCGACGGTCTTCCAAATATACTGAACCGGAGGCCTAAGCCACAGTTCACCAGCACCTGGGACGCCCTGATAAAGATCAGCCGCCACGAGGGCGTCTGGACGCTCTGGTCTGGCCTCGGGCCAACTTTGGTCTCCGCTCTGCCCTCCACCATTATCTACTTTGTGGCCTACGAACAGTTCAAGGCCAAGTACGTAAAGATGTACCAGAATCACCTGCAGAAAAAGTCCGAAAGGTAAGTTATGGATACAATATCATGCATATAGAGCTGTTAGTTTTCTTATGAACACTTTATTTTCTATTTAATAACCAGTGGCTCCTCCACCCGCGTTAAAGACGAAGCCTTGCCAGCTGTAGTGCCTATGATGTCGGGAGTATCAGCCCGAGTATCCGCGGTCACTGTAGTCAGCCCCATAGAGCTAGTCCGAACCAAGATGCAGGCCCAGCGACAAACCTACGCCCAGATGCTGCAGTTCGTCCGGAATGTGATCGCACTACAGGGCATCTGGGGGTTGTGGCGAGGTCTGCGTCCCACCATATTGAGAGACGTACCCTTCTCCGGAATCTACTGGCCCATTTATGAGTACCTGAAACGGAGCCTCGGGAGCGGCAGTTCCCAGCCCTCGTTCGGTTTGAGTTTTTTTGCTGGGGTGCTGGCGGGATCGGTGGCGGCCATTGTGACCACGCCCTTTGACGTGGTAAAGACCCTCGAGCAGATCGAGTTTGGGGAAAGGGTTATTTTTACGGATTCCCCGACCAAGGATGTTGGCCAGAGATCCACTTATAGCCGGCTGGCAGCCGTCTACAAGATGCACGGCGTGCGTGGCCTCTTTGCCGGCGTCGGGCCCAGGCTGCTAAAGGTGGCGCCCGCCTGTGCCATCATGATATCCACCTTCGAGTACAGCAAGTCCTTCTTCTTTTACTACAACGTGAAGCAGCACAACGAGGCCCTGTTGCTAAGCAATCCCAACGCCACCTTGGTCAAGGAAGAGGACCTGGAGTAGATAAAGTAGTGGGTGCTTGGGTGTTTTGCCCGGGTTCCTGGGTGTGCAGTGAAGTCGATTCTCTTTTTTAAATAAAGAACGCATATTTTATGTACGAGAAGAATTCAATATCCCAATTAGGCTCAGCGAAGCTTTACGTGTTACGTCAATAAACCCAGATCCGGGTAATCAATTTACATTTTCCCAGTTTTAAGTCTCCAGCGGCCTGTTGCTTGGACGCTTTTCGACGATTTTCCACGGTATCCTCTTCCCCGAAAGTTGACTTTTCATGGAATATTCATTCATTTACATTAACTGCAATTTGAGCCAACTCAAAGGAAATTAAACGGAATCGCCAAAAGGTAAACTGCCTTAAATGTTGCAAGTACATTTACCAGGTGAGCTCGGAACTGCCTCGACTTTTCCACATGCACGGCATAAGCTTGTCCTGGAACTGAAACTGAATTTTCCACTCGAAGTTTTTCGCCGACGGTAATCGAATCCTCTTTGTTGGCCGGTCACGTTTTGGCTCCGTTTCCCTTACGGAAAACGCAATTCGTGCACCAAAGTATTTCGATGATTGAGTGCTGCTGAAAATCTATAAATCACAATCGGAAATATCAAAACTAAAACCAGTAATTAAGAAGTGTTTGTTTGCCACGGGGGCCCGGCTATGGCGCTGTGGCTCTGTGGCAGAAAACTTAATTGCATTTTGGTTGTCAGATTGTTTCTTTTCGGCCCACAGCAATTTCGGTCGAATAATTCGCCTATCACAAAAAAACTGTCCAACCGAAAATTTCATCTTTTTTTCTGTTCTGTTGTCCTTTGTTTTTATTAAAGCGCAAACAAAGTAGACAAAGCATGAACAAGCACAGGATGACAGAAAAAAGATGGTCAAATATATATACACTGTGTTGTTTCCTCCTTTTCCTTCTGGATGGCCAAAAAAAAATGAAACAAGAATAACAAAGTTGAGGGATTGCAGGATATAGTGATGAGTGGCCTCCGTGATTTGTGCCAGGTTGTGCCGTAAATTTAATATTTTATGCAGTGTACGTATTTTATTTTGTTTCACTTCATTTAATTGTTTACATTGAGAAATGTCGTCGAAAGTGTCAAAGTGCGGCTGGCCCAATTATGGTGACTTTTTCCATACGAAGTGGCATTTGTGGCGGTTCAATTAATTGTGTATTCTTTCATACCGAAACCGCTGATGAAATAATTGGCAAGTGCACACCAATGAATCATTCCTTTCTTGTAAAAATATCAATATTATATTTCTTATTTTATCTGCTTCCCCATAAATATTTTGACGAATAAATATGCATTTTTGTGCAATAAGGCCGCCCTTTAACTATTCCAATAAAAAATTGACGGCGACCTGATAAGTCTTCCCTCTGTGTCGTTTTTCATTTTTGAAAAAAAATCACATTATTAAAAATACTTACCCATCATCGGGATGAACCGCAGCGACCGCTGGGATGTATTTAATACTTAACGTTTTATTTCTACCCTTTTTTTTTCGTATTGGCATCCTTGGTGGGCGACCAAAATTGCCAATAAAGCGAATTAAAATATGCTTTCATGAAAATAATGGAAATTAAATTTAAGTGAATATCTCATTTGTTGCGCCACGCGTGTGCGGGTGCGGGTGAGTGAGTGGCCAATTTTTTTATTCGCCTGGACCCAAGGACCTCCGGCTACACTGCACTTCGTTCCCTTCTTCATTTTTTTTCTCCGAGTTCCTTTGTGGGCGGCTGGTGTTCTTGGTTGCAGGGGCGTGGCGCTTGTCTATATATTTTCCCCAGGCTGTTGCTCTCCAGTGTTTTTGTTGTCAGCATCAAAAATATTTTTCCAGCCGCAAAAAAAAGAAGGCAGGAAAAAAGTGCTGCTGATAGGAAAGGCAGCCGTCCGTCCGAATGTCCTTCATCTGTCCCTGGGCCATCCTTCAACATTTGCCTGTGTTCGTTGTCAGCCTGGAAGCTCTATCTTTTTTTCTTTCTTTTTTTTTTTTTGTATTTTACTTGTCGTATTGTATTTGCATTTAATTGTGGCATTAAAAATACACCGGAATACCATGGTGTAGTCCCTGGCCCGGTCGGATCCTTATTTATGGCTCCGTCAGCTCATCCCGTCTCTGTCGGCAGTCTATCTCATTTCTGGCCTGGTTTTTGCCCACCGAACACCGTACACCACTGACATTGTGTGGGCGTGGTCGTGTGAATGGATATTCGATTTATTTGCCTCACTCCAGCCCCCTTCACACTTTGCCACAAACACAAACGAACTGGGGCCATGAAAATGATTTAAGATTGGATTACTGGGTGACAAAGTGTGAAGATATTAAAGCACTGGCTCTTTCATCGATTGCTAACTAATGAACTGTTAATTGACTAATTTAATCAAACACGCTTAAGCACCCGGATATTTTCCTTTGAGATTTTTTTCATTTCCTGCTAGTCGATGGTGCTCCCTCAAAGGAGAGGATTAGGTAAATGCTTAATATGTTATTCGATAGATAATTTTACCAATTTATACCTCTCTTTGGAAAGTTTTCACTTTTGATCTTGGTACTCGCTTTTGTGTTTGTCTTAGAAAATAACCTTTGACTGGCAGCCATGTTCTTAAAGGCTTCCTTGAAAATGTTAACCTGCTACTAAGTTTCAAGAACTATTTGCTTAATTGTTTAATTTTATGCAAGGAGTTGGCGGAAACTTTATTAAAACGCGCAATTGTAGAGGCTACGATAGAACCGGGAAGTGGAAGGCCTTCGAGCTCTAGTTAGTTGAATTTTCCGTTTTCTTCGAATCAACAAAATTTCTATTTCAGTTTTCTCAAGTTTTTTTCTCCTGTACTCAAACATCCGCCTCGGCTAGGTCCCTCAGGGAGGCTAATTGTCGAAAGACCCTGCAATGCAAGGGGAGAAGGCCATTCCCTTTTTTATACTGACTGACCTTGTACCGGCGAGTGTTTAATTAATTTCGAGAACTGAGCCAAATAAATGGCAGGCGGTGCCATTGGCCCTGCAAGTTGGTAGAGCAAAAAAGGCAGCCCAAGTCTATTTAAAAATGAGGCCGAATTTTTCACACTTCATGGCCATGCATCATCAAGCGGAAAACTGGAAGGAAGACGGCCCGAAACGTCTTTAAAGGGCAAAGCGTTCTATTTTTTAATTAGCGAACCTTTCCCTTTGCTTATCCCTTTTTTGACGGTCTGTGTGTTTACCATGTACCTGAGCACGCAGGATTTTTAATTAAAAAGCACAAAATTGACAGGATGAAAAAATAATGTTTACCCTCGCCACCGTGTCGGTCGATTGTTTGACGGCAGCCTTTTGGCGGCCCTTTAATTTCGGGGCAGCCCCAATAAATATCTTACTTTATTCCGGTCGACTCACTTGATTATTCAGACTCCCGGCTCCACACACTGAGTCTGAGGCGGACAATTGTAATCAGTGCGGTCGTTTGACTCTCCGTCCGTTTTATGAAATGTTTTTGTCCGCTTTCCAAAATCTAATTGCGGTTAATTTGGCTCTTTATAAATGCAGGCCCTGCCCCTTTCAAGCCATTGCCTCGTTTTTTGTTTGGCGGCATAAGTTATGCAAGGTTTCTTGTTTTTCTAGCAATTTTGGCTTTGCTTTTCCGTCCCGTGGCCGGCTAAATTATTTAAGCGATAATGGGGCGTAAAAGTCATAACTTTTGGGCTGTAAATTGCGGGATTTCTTGAAGGTCCGGGTCTGGTCCTGTCAAGTGCATTAAACATGAGCCAAAAGGGTTCTGTTTTTGCCCATTTTCAGTGTTTTGTTTTCGGTCTGGAGTTTACTCAAGTGCGATAATTTGCTAAGCCATTTCCAGAATGGCTTTATCAATCCTTGTGTTGCCAGGAAATGGTGCGATTATTTCAAATGTAATTTATGGTAATCGGTGTCTTAATAACAAACCAATTAGAAAGTTTCCCATAATTTAATCAGATTTTCGTATTACCAAAGCCAAGTCCGCCTGGCTCTTAGTCGGCACAGTTTTTCTATCCAAGCCGTGCCATCTTGAGCGCTTTCCTAGAAGCAAACTTAAAGATTCTTCCCTTTTTTCCTGTTTTTCCTACGTTACGGTACGTCTGCTTCGTTTATGAATAATTCATGAGGTAACTTTATAAAAATAACGCACAAATGGCACTAAAACAAGCCAAGTAGAATGGCGAACCTTTGAGCAGAATTTTAAATGCCCTGAAAGTGTTTCGAGGCGCGAGTTAAGCGAAGTGAATTCTGATGGCTAGTCATTTATTAGGTCAGTCATCTAGGTCAGTCCAGATCACAAACATTATTTCTGATCGTGTCAGTGGAAAATTGGTAATAAAAACTAATATGTACCATGCGAAGTTAATGGTCTCGTCTTTGCACTACAAATAAGTAATAGAAGCGCGACTAGGGAAATGGGCAGGGAAAAATGCTGCTCTGCCCTGGCCATGCGACTCTGCATAAGAGAAAATTCAAAAAATGTTAAAATTTTAGATGCGCGTGTGCCTTACAACGAGCGAACAAAATATCTTCAATATTACGTCCGGAAAATATGAAAGGTTGAAGTGAGAATCTGAAAGCAGCTTAAAGCAAAAGCTTGAAGTGAGACGATAAATTATTAAATTTATTTAAGAGGGCCAAAAGTTTTGTTGAGGAAATTTACAAAAATGGTCGCAGCAATCATTTAAGTGCAATTTGCATATTCAACAGATTTTTGAACAAAACCACAAGGCCCATATAGTCAGGACCTCGGCATCATATCATATCAGGCCGAGTGGAAACTTTGAACTTCACCTTTTTGTTTTTGGCCCATCGCAAACTTTGCTGCGGTTTGTGTTTGTTCAATTTGCATACCGAGTTGCCCTCTCGCTTTCGCATTTGGAATTGCTAAATTTTTATTTTGATAGCACCTCGTATGCAAATGAGTTGTCGTTTGAAAGGCAGCGCAACGGATCCTGTTGACCCGGGCGGAAGGTGCTTTTCAGGACTTCCTTTCCGACAAGTTGCTTCATTATGTCTGCCGGAGCTTTGTTAGATAAACAAATAAAGAGGAAATTAATTAAATTTGTAGCGGAGAGTTGGTGAATATTTAAGATTCCATTAGAATAATGCGTAAAGTTTGCTCGTTTTCGGTCAAAATTTAATTGTGATAATTGAATAATAAATCTATAAAATGTTACTCATCTCCAAGCCATTGTTAATGCTTCCTGGAAAGGACAGAAAAACCAAATTTAGGCATGCTTCCTCACCAGTACTGAATAATCTGTCAAATATTTGCTAAGCTGCTTATAATTCAAGATAATAACCATTAGGATTTCCCAAAGTCAGTTCATAATTATGAAAGCGGCTTTGAAAAATGCCATTGTCATAAGGAAGACACGTCACTAAGCTGATATTAATTTCACTTTCGCATTTTAATTGCTCCTCGGCTCCCACACACGTTTGGCGTTCCCCTGCCTTTTTGTAGCTTAATTTCATGTCGTTTACCTTGACAACGAGCAGGGACAGCCCGTCAACGCGATCCTGCAAGGTGCCCGACGACACCAGCAATATGAGGCTGATGGGCAATGACAGCAAACGGCGACACCAACGGACATATCCTGCAGATGTCAGCCGTCTGCCGACAGTCAGCTCTTGCCGGACGAGTCTCCGGTCTTTGGACTCCGTGTTCCAGCAGCCCTGCCGACTTCAGACTACCCAGAGCCCGTGTCCGGAAACATTTCTGACTTATGAAATATGCCGAGGAGTGTAGAGCATGCGGAACAAGCTGTCAGCACATGGGTTCCCAGAATTATTTGTTGCTTATTTTTGACTAACATGCTAGGACATTTTACACGTAAAGAAATGATTTATTTTTTAAGTAAGAAACTAAAAGCAAGTATTAATTAAATTTAAAAAGATGAAACTTTTAAGTAAGTAAGAGTATGAGTAAGAGTAAACTCTAGTAAGAGTAATAAGAATTTGTACAGCTGGTAAAATTTTATATTTTCTTTTGCTCTTTAAATAAAATGTGTTACAGTGAATCCTCCATGAGCGGGGATCACACTCCGGGCCAAAGTTGTCGTCAGTTTTACCCCATCTTTCCTCTAATCCTGCATAATGTTTTTTTCAGCCCTTGTAATTTAGTTTGTAGTGCGTTTTTTTCAGATAGAGGAGACGCGACAACGACTAATGACTTGGAATTTGTTGCCCACAGCCAAATGAGCATGTGTGCAGGCAGCAGGCCTCCTCCTTCACTGCACTCTCGGTCTCTTTGGCCCTCCATCTTGTGCTGCCGTGCAGCTGTTGTCGCTTCTGTTGCCATTAACGCCTTTGCCAAGCCAAAAAATAGAGAAAACTTCAACTTAAGAGCAAGAGAAGCGTGAAAATCATTAAGCTACAGCTCCCACATATAGAAATATGTACATACATATATACTCTAGACACCAGCTGACGAAGAGAGAAACTCTAGAGAGACAAACTAACTGACAGAGACGTGGACACAGGAGAACCCGAAATGCATTTCTCCAACACGCCGTCCAACGTGACGTATGAGTTATGCAGATAAATGCCATGCCACATTACTCATACCACCCGTTGGCTTTAATTACATTTTGCCCTGATAGTATCAGTCTGATACTGTTTAATGAGAAACTTATAAATTTTAATAAATGTCATGATTTTAGTTATTAAATTCATAGACCATGGCACATAAACTTAACTTTTAAAATGAACCTATTTAATATTGTTGGTTTTCTTAACAATCCCATAAGATTGGGGGTTTCCCTATTTCTCAATTTTGCTCCTTTCGATAGTTCTATCATTTTGTATCCGATCACGAAATAAATTACCATTTTGTAATCAGCGAACTAAAAAGCGATTTTACTTACATAAAAATAAAAAACAGGAGTGAAGTTTCATGTGCGTATTTTTTTCATTGTTCAAATGATTACTTTCTTCCTATATTGCTAGAAATCCAGCAATACTTTTTATAAACTATCTGCGTAATCCAGTTTTTGCTATCAGTTTTAAAACAGTCAATTTGCTTTTTCGGATTTATCGTATTTCCACTGCCCAGATCATCATTAACGCTATTAATAATTTCCTCTATTGATGGTCCCTTTGCTCTATATCCACTTACTTTTGAAAAAATAAAATTTAATTCACACTTTAGCCACATAACAATAAATATTTAAAAATACCTGTCGGAGCTTCCAAAACAAGAGGAGCCACTGAAACTTGTCCGTTAACAATATTTAATAAAGCAACGAACCAAAGTAACCACCACATTTTGACTGAAAAAGTTTACGTTAAATGAGAAGTTTTACAAATGCCAATATACATTTAAGATTTAAATGGAAACCAAGACAAATTTCCGTATCTTACATTACGAAAATAATTAATTTATTACACTCGAGTGTGTAAAATATTATAAGTTCAGAAGGGAATCCAGCAGGTATAAAAATATTTACAATTAAATGCCACCGCAATCGGAAATTTACACGTTGAGCACAAAAGATATAATCACACTCATAAAAGCGAAACCACAAAACCCATTCAGGACAAAATCTCGTTGGTTTATGCACAATGCTCTTAATGAAGAGCGGAAATTGGCGGCCATTAAAGGACATTCCCAATAAAATCGCATAAAAATAAATCAAGCAAACAAAGGCGGAATAGTGAGTTTTTAGTACGGAAAGCTCTCAGTACATTAATTAAACGGATTTCAGTTAGAGAGGGTGTTTCAGTTTTTGCGTATTGGTTAATTCCTATATTGGATGCGTATTGGATAATTCATATGATAAAAAGTGGAAATAAGCAGAAAAAATAACCATTTTTTTAAAGATCCAAAGGACATGGTTTTGTCAAATTCAAGCTTAAAATGGAAAATGAAAAAAACTTTAAAGTTAAGTAAAGATTATTTTTGCTGGAATACATTCTGTCACTTTTCATCCGCGAGCAATTGCGAAAAGCTCAAAATGTCACAATGTTCTGACACCGTCGGTTATGGTTTTGCCGCCGCTGTTTTTCTTCCATAAGCGAGCATACATTTATGCTCCCTGATAAATAACGACGCAATTGACTTGAAATCGCGACCGCTTTTACCGCACTCACTGCCAAAGGGATGCGATGCCGGGTTGTAGGCCATTATATTCAGTTATGTGTGGCAGTGATGGGGACCCGTTGACAAACGAGTTTGAATAAAATATTTTTCAGAAGCAGGGAATGTTCAATTTCAATGATTTTGCCCTCTCCTTGAATACATACTATACATATAGTACATATGTATGTTTGTTATACTTCTCCATCCTCGTGAAATACACATTCTGGATTTATCCTCATCACGCGACCATCTCTGGTTTTGCGGGTCCTGTCGGACGTGTTTTATTGTTGCCTTTTCACACACGCCCTATTTATTTATTTATATGCTCTGTTCCACTCGGGTCTTTCAGTTTTTTCCAACCATTCAGCTGTACACAACTTGTATTCATTTTTTGTTTATCAATATTTGCTTTTTGTATCAATATGCAAAAAACTTTTATTAATGACCAATATGTGCAGATTTCCTTTTCACAGCCTTTTATTTAGTTTGCGTTCCCCGGACCGTTCCGCCGGCGATTTTCCTGCGAGTTGGCTGAAATGATGCAATGTAAATTTCATTTTAAAAGCTTTTTCGCGGCTTTAAGTGAACTCCCCTTTGGCTGGCCATAAAAATATTCCAGAGTGGTGACATTGAAAGGTTGTCAAATGTGTATACAGTATATAATTCAGCGATTTCTTATATTTTTTGATTGCTCGGCATTATGCATTGTCCAATTTGGCATTAATTTAAATGATTTATTTTGTTTCATTTTATTTTCGTTTTGGTTTTCTGGGTGCCAGTCGCACAAAAGACTGTAAATCGTGATTGATGGTCAAACGGTTCGACAACATTTTTTCAACGGCATCGGCACAGTATAGGCATCGGCGTCGGCATCAGCAGGCGCACGGATTTAATTTGATTGAAAAGCAAACCGAAAAATCAATTCCAGCTAATGGATTTTCGACACCGCACTAGGCTAGATCTCTTGCTCTCAGATTTCATTTAATTTTATCTTTTTTTTAAGCACATAGCGCCTTTGGTATCTCGTCATTTGCATCCACTGCGGCATCGATTTGGGCAAAGCAATTTTTCAATAAAGGCATACAAAGAAAAAATGTTTGGTATTCCACTTTAGAGCGGAGGCATCCTTTATTGTTAAGTTGATGTCTAAAGCATTTGGGTTCTGGGTTCTGCCTTCTGGCTTCCGGGGGCTTTCCACCCCGCCGCAGCATATAAGGTGTAATCATCATCAAGAAGTTAACCCAATTTGTGTCGATGGTCGAGAAATCGCCAAGGGATATTGCAAATTGATTTCATTTTTTTTTCCTTTTGGACAAATAAAGATGTGTGTGTACAGAAATAAAATAAAATAAGTTTTCTTTTCTTAAAATAAGGTTAAAGCGTGAAAATAATCAAAGAGCTTGAGTTTTCCTTAACAAATTGTTTTTAATACCTAAGCTAGTTTTCTTTACTTTAATGACTGAGTGTGAACATTTAGCTCGTTCCCACTATTAAATCTTACTAGGTATTTCAATTATTCGGGGTTATTTGCCACAAAATTCAAACCTCGTCCGCCGCGACCTTGGCATTGTTGTTTACATATCTGCAACTCACGGCCTTGACTTCCAGTTAATTAGCAGTCTCGGCATTTAAAACTTAATTAAACCGCCCTGGCCCATTATTAACGGCATTGGCAGCTGGTGCTGCTGTTGGCGGCAACAAAAACACCATCAGGACTATGGGGTGTGAACTGTGGACAGGGCCACCCAGCTGTCGAGCTCCATTAACTTCCGGCCTGGTCGGGCCAGAGAATAGACCCGGAAGATTGGCATATTCAAAGCAGATCAATGTGGACGTTCAGTGACAGGGAAATATGTCCAGCAATTGTTGTTTTGCTCCATGGGACAAGGCTACTGAAGAAACAGAAGCTGTTAGATGTCTCCATGTCTCTGGCAATTAAGCATAAAGCTGTTGTCGCTGCCCCGGCACATTGATGTTGCCACTGTTTTTGCAGGGGGTGGTGCAACACTGTTGCCTTTGTGCGGCAAGCGCACCCAGTTGCTGGTGAAAAATGCATGAGCTCTCCAACCGGAAGCGCCAACCACCAGCTGTGTTGGCTTGATCCCAGCCAAAGGGGCAAAAAGGAGCGAAAAATTTCAAAAACACACAGGAGACCCAACATACTGCAGACGGAAAAATAAAGACTGTTTACAATGGCCTTACAATTCAATGATGCATTCAAAAGTACCCATTTTCCATAACTATAAGCTTGTGTGAAAAATTTATTAAAAAGCAAACATTTTTCAATATGAATAAATTGAAATTGAAAAACAATTTCTCACTAACATAAACAAAAAACATTTTTTATTTAATACATTTTTGACACGTGTTAACATAATAGAAACAATGAAATAAATTGAATAAACAGTGTCACTGCCATTGAATATTTTACTGGACAAATTTTTCTCTGTGCTGGTGTGAATGTTTGTGTCCAAGGGAATGTGGAAAGTTTATACAATAAACGCCTGGCGAGTTCAACACAATTTCCCCATGCATCTGTCGTCCGGTCTTCTCGTCACTGTTTAGCCAGCTTTTCTTCGCTCGCCTTTTGCACATCCTTCGCCAGCAGAATGTTCGTCCTATGCTTTCGCTCAACAAAAAGAAATAATTAATTTTTACGGTTTTGTCTCTGCGTTGCCACTTTCTGATGCATGAAACCCCATATATAGTATGTGGTCGGGAGGTCGGTGCAGTTTGGCCAAAGGTGTGTTGCGGTTAACAAAGCCACTACAGATGAAATCTGAAATAATTTAGAAATTGCTCGTCGCTTGTTGAGGAATGTTTTGCACCAAAAAGCGTATTCTTCTTGTAATGAAATGGACTCATTTTGAGAGTCCTCTAGTTTATTATTTGAGCTAAAAACACTTTTGAAGTTCCTTATTATAAATCTATCTAGTCCGGTAAGTCTTATTGCTTTTTAAACCACTAAAGCTTATATAATTTAATTGAGTTGACACTCTTTCAACCGCATTTAATGACCAGAGGTCATATAACCATTTACTGCCCAACATAATACTGTTTACCCGAACATAAGAATCAAGCCATAAAGAGAAAGTTCGAGCAGGTCAGTTTGCCTTTTTCCCTTCCAGAAGCCCGTGTCCTGGATTTTTGCTGCTCATATCGTTGTTGCCGTGACTGCTGTGGCCAGCAGGTGAGAAGTCGAGCACGGCACACACTTTACAGGTAGCCGCAGGATCTGCAGCAGCCAAGCAGCCAAGCTGCCGAGCAGCCAAGTGGAACCGCAGCAGCCACGCCCACAGCTTGGTTCTACCTTACCGTTCACTTGGCCAACCCACACAGTCCCCCACTCAGTCATTCGGTGGCCACTTCAGTTACATTACGGTTACCATTACAGTTACAGTTACTGTTTCGGTTTCTGCCTCGGTATGATCCTGTTTCAGATCCAGTTCCTTTGTCTTGTCGCTCATAACCGTAAAAGCATCATTGAGAATAATAAAATAAAAGAAAATCAGCTGTATAAGAGGGCACACGTTTCCGAAAATTTTAAATATTTTATTGTTTAATTCCAGTGCGTTCCGTGCACTAGTTTAATGGGCTGCAACGCTTCGCTGCACATTATCATTACAATTACGAGTATTTCGCGCATCTCCTGGAACTTCGAGCAGGCATTAATTATAATGCCATATGGGTTTCTGGTTATAGACACCGAACATCTCGGTATCGCACTTAATTTTCAGCTTGAATTGCGCTCCATTAAGCCCTGCCTCAGGAAGCCGCAAGTATAATGAGGAGAAAACTTTAATAAAGTGAAACCTTAAGTCGAAATACTCCTTTTAATTAGAATGTTACTTTCTTGTCTATTTCTTTCTTTATGCAAAAGCACTGCTAGCAGAACATTGCATATTTCATTTTAAATTTTACTTAAAATAACAATTTTGTACTTTTTCATTAAATTTTTCGGTAAAAGAAAACATTTTGTAGCCCCGAAGGACACCTTAATGTTTTCTCAAAGTTTTTCCCAATAATCACGTTACAATTATTAGGTCAGCCTTTGAACTCCCTGGAGGGAATTGACTTTTATGGCACACTGACACCAACACACCCAACGGCAAAAACACACATACATTGGCCCCATAAAAGAGGCCCCCATACAGTCATAGCCATTTCCCACTTTGCATTCAAGTTTTCCATTTCCGCTTTGGCGCCTTTTCCTGCCAGTGGCCCCCAGTTCCCCCTCTCCCAGTCCCAGTTGCATAATATTTTATTATCCCAAACGCCTATCTGCATTGTCCTGGCACTACAGGACACCGCCCGCGCTCCCCGCCCACTCTCATTGCCAGTTATCTGCAAGGATCCGTGTTTTTTGCTCGCCAGAGCAAAATTATAATCTTACAGGCTCTAACAAGTGCAAGTGCGGCTGGAATTTAATATCTCGAAGGCCTTTGTTGTTCTCCTGGCTGGTTTGTTGGTTTTAAGTTTTCGTGTATTTCATTACATGGGAGCTGGGATTGCGAATGGAACCGCCACCGCCTCCAGGACTGGGAATAAGGATCGGGCTTGTGTGCCGCTTGCCACACTCAGCAGACGCTTAAATCCTTTACACAAGCTGTTTGCCGCGCATAACGAAATAAAATAAATAATCCCGTTTAATGGAAAGGCGGAGCACAGTCGGAGTCAACTTCTTGTACCCCCCTCGCACATTACCATCCAGGCACCAACAATGCCGAGCAGCATCGCATTTCCTTTCCAATTTTCCTCGCCTGCGCCTGCTGGTTCTGGTTTTTTTGGTCCTTTTGGTGCTTCTGGTGCTCCTGCTGGTCCTGGTGAATCAGCTCCATTCAGCTCCTTTTCCTTTTCATATCGCTGCTGTTGTGCACACGTACGCGGCTTAAGAATTTCCCATTCATATCGTGCCCGACGGCTGGTGTTGATTTAAACAGGGATGCAAAAGGATTTCAGTCGAACCACAAGTGACTGACACTAGGATAAAAGTTATCCAAATTTCACAAATAAACCATAAACCTAAATTCAAATATTGAAACCAAACCATATATTATATTTTGAAGCAATTGGCTTATAAAGCTTATTAGTTCACTTCTATAGGAGAAAGAATTAAAAAAAAAATTTTTACTTAAAAATATAATTATTTATTTACTATATTATTATTTCCAAAGTCTGATTCCCTCACCTATCTTTCCATTATTTTCAATGTGCTTTTCGTCCCTGGTTTAAAGAGGCAGATACTTTCTCTATGAAGGAAAAAATCGACATCCTGTTCAATATGCATTTGGATGGAGGTTAATGCCACCTTGGGAGTAACTGATTGCCACAGTGGCACCATTATTATGCATTCAGATTGATGCACGTCCTCGGCATTTTTTCAGCCAGCTTACCGCTTGCCGCAAGATGCACACCCACGCGCACATCCTGCCGCAGTCCTGATTATAGCCAAGTTCTTAGGGCAAGAGACCCAAGCTCAAGCTACTTGCCACAATCCAGGACACACACACACTTAACACTTAACGAGCTCTTAAACGTCTCCTGAGCTGTTTAGCTCTAAATATTACATTTAATTAAATATGAGCTCATAATCGCTTCTCCCAGCTCAGCCAGACAGCAGCCGGCTGGCTTTCCTCTATCTATTTCATAGCCACCTTATCTGTTTAATTAAACGGTTGGCCTTTAATTGAAATCGCTCCGATATCTGACCTGTCACAATTTCCAGCTGTCCCCTGAGCAGGAGGGGAAATGATTAGTGTAATTGCCTGGGGTTGGCCTGGAAATTATTATACGATATGTAGAGGATTAGCCAGTAGAAGAGACTTGAATATGTCGATGCTGGGGAATTTATCTTGAGCTTAATCAATCAACCCCGGCACTGAATAAAATATCTCTGTCTGACGAAAAATATCTTAAGGCTATAAAGGGGAAGATCCAACATTTTATTGGCTATTCCCAGGGTGCCCTGAACATTGGCCGTTTGGAGAGGCCTCTGTCACTTTGGATTTTATTTGGCTTTCCTCGGAAAACATATTTATTAGCAACATGTCGAATGGGTAATGCAATCGAGGCCTTGGATCTTTCTCGTCCTGTTATGTGTGCGAATGTCAGAGTGTGGGCGAAAGGAGACTTTTCAATTTGAATAAACGAATGTGTGCTAGCTAAATATTTGATTTATTTTCGGGTGACCTTTGTCAAATAGACACACAAGCACAATCTACCACTCCGGTCCCTGGAAATCAAATTCAAGACGATTCGAAACTCGCACACTTGTCTCTTTTGTATCTTTTTTGCCCAAAATTCAATTTACATATTCTGCGTTCGTTTTCTGTTCCTTGCTGGCTGCATAAAAGTTGATAATTTCCATTTGTGTTGCGTTAGCCCGACAAGCAATTTTCGCTTTATAACTCCATTGCCGCACAAGGTCACCCCGTGATGGGAGAGGAACCAATTCCGAGAATAATCTAACCAATTACGGCCAGGACTCCAACAACAAGGTCAACCGAGTCATTTTGGCAACGCACAAACGATTATTACTGCATTAGAAGTCGGGCCAAAGAAACGCACATGTGAGTCGCATGCAGATAAGCAAACGTAATAGAAACAGATTATATCCTCCAGTTTCCAGTTCCCAGTTCCCAGTTCGCAGTTCCCAGACTCCAGACCCTATGTCCCATTTCCCAGTCTCTAGTACCCACAAGCTCCCACCGGGGAACTCATCTCCCGATTCCACTGCCCCTCCTCCGACTCCCATTCATCCGTAACATAATCGTAAAAGTCAAAGCTTAGCTCAATGCTAGATTGCAGCATTTTGTACGCAGGACTGGGGTGTGGATTTTTAAGGCACTCGGCAGGGGATGAGGCCTGATAGAGATGCTCTTCGGTTCCAAGGATCCGACTCTCAACGAAGGGATTTCTGAGCCTTGGTGCCGGGTACTTTAATTTTAAGCCGAAAATAATAAGGTTTTGTGCGAATATGCATACCGGAATTTGTTTTTGCGAAGTAAATGGAATATGCAAAAAATGTATATGTGTTTTAAGTGAGAAGGTGGGTTATTCTTTTAAATTAGTTAGGGGTTGTTTATAAAAGATTATAAATTTTAATAACAAAACCTTAAAAAATGCTCATATTTATGAAATATAACAAAATAAAATGTGAAAATGCCATCGATTTAAGGCTCGAACAGAACCCATTCATACAATTCCATTAGCTGTCCATTTACAGGGATATTTTTAAAGCTTCCCTGCCTGTTAATTATGTCTCCTTGATGATCTGTGGCTTGAAGTCATGTTGAGCAGCTTTTTGAAAGGATTCGGCATACAGAGGCAAGCGCTGTGTCATTCGGAATCCCCAGAAGTCCTTTACCTGACGGCAAAGGTTTAAGTCGAGCTCAACTACCAGCAGACCATCTTTGTCCCGGGACAAGCTCTGAAAAAAGAAGTTCACTTTAGTATTTTTAACAGGAAAAACTTTAAAGGTAACCTACTGGAGTCCTTGAGCCATCAGGAGCAGCCACATAAGTAGAGCCATAGAAAGGTCCAAACTCCTTGTGGGCCTTTTTGCCATCGCCGGAGGTATATTCGTTGGGGAACTCCTCCGTGCCAACTCGATTTATGGGAACCGTAAAATAACTATTCGCGATAGCTGCATTCCTTGCCTCAATGCCCCAAAGTGGCTCCGAGAGGCGTCCAATCGTGGCCGAAGGATTGAAGACAATCTCGGCTCCATTCAAACCGAACATCATCCAGTTCTGGGGATGGTGCCGGCCGTAACAGATATTAATGGCCAACTTACCGAACTCGGTTTCAAAAACCGGATGCAAGGTGTTGCCCTCCATGTAATAAGTCGATTCGTTAAAATCGCCCACTCGGGGAATGTGGTTCTTGCGATGTTTGCCCAAGTAGCGACCGCTGTTCGAGATGACCACCGCCGTATTCCAAATTGTCTCGCCGTGTTCGATGTCTCGCTCTAGGATCGAGTGGATGATAACCATGTTGTACTCTTTGGCCAGTTCAGAGAGCATCTTGGTGGTTGGGCCATTTTCAGCCTCCTCGGCGAACTCACACCACGGGAACTTCTCTCGAGTACAAAAGGCAAAGGGCATTGCTGAAAATATAATTTTTATGTAAATAAAGATAAACAAAGTTTTTCATCTTAAAAATACTTAGTACACATTTCAAAAATAATTTTTGGGCTAAATTTACAAAAAGATCAAATGTTTCACAGTTTATTACTCATACGCAGTGTGATCTCTTAGAGAAACTTTTTGGTTAAACTTTGTACATATTGCAAACTGGTTTAGTTCAAACTGGTACTTTGTGTTAAAACTTTTGTTCTCATGAATCTAAGAATCTAGGTTATCTGCTCCACTAAGTTTTCTGTGATATGATTCTACTGTTTATGAAATAGATTATACAAGAAAGAAGAAAAGAAGTAATCGAATAAGTTACCAATAAACTTTTGACTGGTAAAAAATATATGTTAAATGGTATTGTAATTTAAATGGGATATTTCGGTATTTTTTCAGCAATAGAACTCACTCCAAGCCTCCTGTGTACCAACAATATTGCATCCGGCTGCCGCTGCTGCCTTGATCATCGTCTTGACCTTGTTCCAAATGGCCTCCCTTTGCTTTTCAATGGGCGCCGTTGTGGGTAGCACTATGGAATTCTGGATGGCACCGACCCGCACGATCCGGGGTTTTCGGGTTTGCTCGGGACGCGCTGTGAAACGATAGCCCTTGATGTCAAATCCATTTTGCTCCGCAATCGCAGTTGCATTTTCGGGCAGACTCAGCGTTTGGCTGCCGAGAAATTAAATAAAGATTAAATGTATGCTTTATGACATAGAAAACTAGTTGTTAAACAGACTAAATTATACATCTCAGAGTATTTTTGTTTATATTTGTTTTGTATAAAAGATCGTTTTACTTTCTCTGCCGTTCAAGTTCAAACATATAAACGAATGTGTATGTATAGATATTGTTATTCTTATTTCTATATTTAAAATATATTTGGATGGACACATGCTTCAATAAAATATTGGATAATATTAAACGGTTTTTATTTTAAGTTATAAAATGCTTATAAAGCACATTTAGATTATTTTTAGAATTATCTGAAGATTTTTACAGCTGGTCCACATGATGTGATGTTCCTACTTTGTGAGGCGGTGGGGCTTAGCGTATTTACTTTTTAATCAAATATATTGCAGTACTCACTCTTCTTCAACGCCGTACAGAATTCGCTTCACCTCCTTTAGTTCATCAGCTGGCAAATGCTTCTCCAAGCATTCATTCAAATTTTTCAGCTCAAATGCCGACATGCTTACAAATTCAGAGCAACTGAAATTAAATTAAATTAGAGCAACCTATTGCGTCCAGCGCACTTTGTGGAATGAGCTTTTCCACGATCGCGTTCGTCGAGGTCTTCTTATCGCTCTCTGGCTCTCTGTATTTTTAAATAACACTCTCTCGGGCATATAGTATTTGTTCAGATATATATAGAAAAGCTTACACCCTATGGCACTAAAGTAGCATCTATTCTATTTCGTAGAACGTAGTTTGAATATACTGCGATTGAATTTATAATCGAAACTACTTCTAAACTTAAAAATATATAATAAAATAGTTATAAGTTATTATAAATAGTTCATATTTCTTTCTTTACATTGGAAAATTGTTTATAAAACTAGTTGACCGTTTTCACTTAATAACTTTAGGCTGAGATTAAACCAATCCAAAGTTGATCTCCAATAAGTAAAATAACTCTTTTTAAAGGCCAAAACTTCGATTCCTCGATTTACATAAAAATACTTGCTCTTATCCTTTTTACCCTTGAGGCATTTGCATTTTCGTTTAGACTTTAAACCGGATTGAATTCATTCAAGGTTATCTCCTCACCAGCTGAGCATCTCCGATGTCAGCTACTTTGTGCGAAAGCTGACAGCGTTTGGGCCATTTTGTATTAGAAAAGATTAACTTCAAGCCGAATGTGGGTCGTTGGTGCTTGAAGGCAATGCAAATTACCCCGAAATCTTTTGTCGGTCGAAACATGTTTGTTTGTCTAGTTCGGGATGCGCGGCGGATGCCGATGCTGGGCTTCTTGGTTCGCTTTTGTTTTCTTTACCAGTTGGCAACTCAATTGAGTGTAAAACAATTTCATTAAATTGGGAGCCGCATGGCCCCACCCCACCCCAGCCCGCTCCGCTTTGCCATTTTCCTTTCCGTTTCTCTCGGTGTAGGAGAGCGAGTGTTTGGGTGAGCGTGTGTTTGTTTTGGCGAACAGCTTAGTGGGGTCCTCCAGTATCCTCCATTTTGTCCACATTCATTTATTGAACTGCGGCACCAGGACCCGACGCAAAACCGATCCAAACGGGATGGAACCTCATCATTGTCGATGTCGTCTGCTCGCCGGCATTGTTCTATTTTTATTATTATTTTATTGTCTGCCTGCAGCTTGTCGGCGTGGGTAGCCATCGCTAGCAGGTCCTGGGTTCAGGATCGAAAGCACAGTATGGCGGACCGAATGGCGAGGACCTTCTTGCCATTGCAATTTATCGCATACGCTTTGGAAACATGTTCGCAGGCATTTTTATCATTTCCGCATTTATATGGTTTCCGCTTGAGCTGCAAGCAAACTAAGAAGTGGCTTTCTGCCTTATTGCCCCGGAGAATCCCTCTTCCCTGCATCTGTCCCATCTGAAATGTCCTGCCATGGCACTCGCTCCTGAAACAGAGACAGAACGGACCTGAAATCGAACCTCGCTCAGCCGAATGAATTGTTTAGGTTTAATTTATTGTACTGAGATTGGTTATGGGCTTCTGGTCGGGTCACTCTCGCAATCGCACACTTTTTCCCAAGCCCAGTTTCACACACACACACAGTGCACTGCTAAAAATTGATGACCCAGGGGAGAAAATGGGGCGGGAAGTCGGGGGCCAAAGTTCGAAAAAGTTTCACATTCCAGTTTTAGTTTGATGACATCAATTTATTCATAAAACTAAACTGCATGAAGATAAATGAAAATGTCTGTGATTTCACAAATCAATGTAAAAGAACGAAAAAGTGATTGAATAAAGTTTAAAAAATGAAAATTGAATTCAATTCAGAGGAATGGTAGAATTTTAAAATTTAATTACAGTCAAGACTTACCAATGATTGCAAAAATAGAGAATACTAATTGAAACAGATTTTAGCTCTTGTGTAATGTGTAAAGCTCTTTTTGTAGCTTAAGTCCTTTATGAATTTAAAGAAATAACAATAACTATTAGCCTGAGACCTTGGGGCGCTTAAAATTTGGCTTTTGAATTGAAACTTTCAAGAAAGCCTACAAGTTTTCGTCCTTTCCAACAGCAAGGTCAAAGAAATCGTAAGCAAAGCCATAAAAATGAATATTAAAAACACGGATTTTGCACACATGAGCTGTTTTATCTTTATACACCAAGCTGGCCCTCCACTAAAAGCACTCGCCAAAAGTTCTTTCCTGTGTAATTTCCAATAAAAAATATAATACTCAAAAGGACAGGGGCAAAAAAATTACAACTCTTACATTGTGTCCACTGCCACAGCCCCCTTGCCACTTTCCACTAAAAAAAAAAGGGAGAGAAGGGCCTGAAAGGCAACGGACACAAAAAGCAGAGCGAGACTTGTTAAGGGTCAGTAATAAATCTCGGCAGCTTGTGCTGTAACTTAAATTAAATGCTGCAAAATCGGCTGGGCAATGGCCAGCTCGTGTGGACGCCTGACAGCCGCAAAGGAAAACGCCGATCCGGAGAAAGGCGGAGAAAGTGCGAAGGAACGTGGAAGGCGAACTCGCCGCACGCAGTCGAGTTGAAAAATGGTAGGCGATACGGAAAACAAAAGTGCACTGAAACGTGAGCGGAGCGAAACAAGAGCTTATATTAAATAGAGTTTTCGAAAACAAGCGGCTAAATATGCTGTTGCAATTTCAGCCGGTTCGGACATGCTGCCCAACTTTCATACCTCACTTTTTGCGTTTTGGCCAGCCAAAAAGCCAGAGAGCCAGGCAGTCATGGAAGCCAGGCCAGAACCCAATACGAGACTGCACGTGGCAAACAAAACTGTTGGCCACTTTTTTAGCAGAAGAGCGGCAAATTTATGGCCGCCAGCATTTGCGTGTTGGCAACTTTTTTTGGATACCGGAAGCACCTGGAAAAAGATGAAAATATTGCATTTGGCACACGTAAAATATAGAAGAGTTAAATTGCCAAAAAAATGCAGGAGGGTGGAGTTCGAGAATTTGTTTCCACAGAAATTTGGTTTCTAAATGGGGTAAACTGTGGCGTCTTTGGACTATTCAATTTGTGTTAATGCCCAAAATATGGGCAATGGGTCCTCAATTTAGCATTAATATTTCAATGGCATGCTCAAGCATTTCGGAGGCAAATCGGCTTACATCTAATTTGATTTTGTGAAATTATGTTTTCATAGAACCGGGTCAAATAAATTGTTTGATTTATTTTCTGCGGGCACGTCGTATTATTCATGATAAATTGTCGACGAAAATCGCTAAGCACTGCTGCCTTTCATTTCGCCACAATTAGTTTTCACCGGGGGAAAAATTGGCTCCCCAACGGACAATCAACTGTGAAAACCAATCAAAAATTTTCCATCCAAAAACTGCATTAAGTGGGCGGTTGGGCCACCATAAATGAATGTGCTGGCAAAACTATAAAATTGAAATTATGGCAACTGCCAACTAATGAACAGCGATAAAAATAAATACAAGAGCTGTCTTTGGCGGCAGTTGGCGGAGAAAGTTCGCCACTTGCACCTGAACGACTTTGTGCTCCTCTGCTCCGAAACTATGTCAATACATTCTGGCTTGAGTTCAGAGTCAACGCCTTAAACTCGTCCAAAGTTTTTGAAGTTTCCGGTCGGGCGGAGAGCATAGCATACTTTCCAGCGACTCTTGAAACGGCCCACCGGCCGTCGACTAAAAATTGCGCCACATCCTTCGGAAACATTCCGAACGCGCTGGACCCGAAAGGACTCATTCACTCGGCATGCTGGGAGCTTTCGTTCTCTTGTGTCCTTTGCAGACTCTCTTGGGCCATGACAAGGAAAGCAATATATTGCTTGCGCCGCGAAAACGGAATAGCAATAAAGCTTGCCGCACTCCTCGCTCTACGAAAGCTAAAGGCAAAGTGTACCTAGGTTGGTCTAAAACAGTTAATATAGCCCGCGCATTTCAAAATGGTTAGAAAGCTTCAAAAATAAAATAAAGTGACATTTGTTGTTTGTCATTTACTTTTAAAAGTTTCAGTAACGCTATATTCTTACCAAGATTTTTGGTCAAAAATAATGTAGTTCGGTTTTCAATTTTAAAATATTTTTTCCGACCATTTTGGCTGGCTTATAATAAATTAATTTTAAAAGATCAGAGAAACTTTTTTTTCTCTTAAAAAGAAAAAAGCATATATTGAAAAAAAAAACATTTTACAGCATATTAAAACAGAATATAGATATTAACGACTGTAACGAAAAAACACAAAAAAATGTATTTAATTTTAGAATTTCATTTAAAAAGAAATCGGCAGAAAAAGTAAATGGAAACCTTGATGAGCATTTTTCATCATGGTAATCGTGTCATTACCATTCCTACTAAATAAAATCTTATTAAAATTTTTCTCAAAAATTATTTTCTGTGTAAGCCACAGTATTTGTATTTGTGTGCGGGTGCCACATGCAACATTTGGAATTGTTGTTAGGCTGTGTTGACTTGTTTCCTAGTCGCCGCTTGCTGTTAAGGGATTTGCTATGGCAAATGAAAAGGTTCGTTGGTGTGGGGAAATGCATTTCAAGTCCGTTGCTCATTGTTGTTGCACTTGTTGTTTATTGTTTGTTGTTTGCATCGCCCACATGCCCACACAAACTCACAGGCACACATTGCAGTGAACATACATACTTACAAAGTCAGAGACGGAGACCAAATGGGAAGACAGTTGAGTGGGGCACGTCTGAGCATTTAAGCGGGGGGAAAAATGTGGGTTAATGGGTTTTTAGTTGCCCTTTTCATTACTCAACTGGCACCCACATACGCGCTGCCAGCAAATTGTTTTCTTCTGCCAACCAAATGCTAATCAAATGGCATTCCACGCGCTTCTTAGCCGGGACTTTAAGTTCTAACGCAATTTTGATTGCCTCTTGTCGGGGATAAGCGGAACCCCTGTTTGGCCAATAAAACAAACACCATCAGGTAACTGGGATACAGGGTAAGTTTTGGCCACATAATAATGGCTACTGTTTCCTTGTTCACGCTTCGCCGATCATCGCAGGAAACTTTCCAACCAGCGAGTGAGCAGCTAATTGGAATTTAATTTAATGAACGCGCTCAGTGCGTGGATAGCATTTGCCCGAAAATGTGCAGAAACTAGCGTCGCATTCTAGCATGCTAATTAAATTAGTAGCCTTTGATTTATGAATTACACGCAACCACCAAGACAACGCCACACTGACCACACGCTAAAAGTGCCCCACAGAACTGGCATTTTCCTAATTGAACATGTGTCCGCCATTCGGGACAGTTTACAGGTAACATCCATGCAAATGCAAACAGAGACACGAAAGTGCACACAAAGCTCAGTTTTTGTTGGTCGCCGCTCTTTACAGTTCATTAATATTGAAGAGGTGGGTGGGTCAATTGGAAATTAAAAGCCATCTACATTTGTTTGCCCCGGCTTTTCTGAGCTCTTCCTCCATTTACCTGCTGGTGGCTAATTTAAATTTTTTGCTTGTCTAGTCGAGAATTTATGCTCGACAGCAGGTGGAGGCCATAAATTTGGATGCATTTCAATTGAGGCATAAATTTGGATGCATTTCCATGTTTTCATTTTGCTTTTTAATTTAAACATAGCTTTGGATTCCAAAATTAACTAATAAATATTCAAGGTTTGCATTTTTTTCTGTTTTGTTTTGCACGTTAACGGGATTACATTTTTGACAGTTTTGGCTATTCGACAGGTTTAGACATTTGAAATCCAAAATATATACAAGGTACATATCCTCTCCAAATTGGCAAATGAGTGAAAAAAACACAAACTCATTATCTGCTTTTCAAATAATTTATTTGGACTATACATACAAACATATTTACAAAAGGGCTTTTTAAAATGTTCACTCCCGCATTCGTCTGACCTAATTAATATTTAATTGGAAAACTCTTAGAATCATTTTCGTTGGGTTAATTTCCTAACCGAATTGTAGCCACAACAATTTGAAATTAAATATTTAGGCTGAAATTACACGTTCCGCCAGTTAAAATATTCCCAGTTACAAGCATAAATTCATAATAACTTTAATGGCAGAACACTTGATGGACACTCGAAAGTGTTTTTAATTTCAATTAATATACAAGACACTTGAGCCGGACGCTGCTGCCGGGCAGGCATTCCGCTGAAATCGACACGAGAGTAAGTCGGGTCCTTGACCAGGACTCGACTCGATCTCAATGGCTCCGGACGGAAATCAACTCAAGTGCCGTCTGCCTTTGATGGCAGCCCAGCTGTCTGTCTTCAGTAGCTGGGCGCTCATCTGGGGAAGTCGTATATATAATACCTTCAACTCTGCTTAAACTTTCGCCGGCGGCCAAGCAAATTAGCAATGATACCCCATCATCGGCTTAAGGGCTGTTCGCTGCCATAATTCTAGCCTCATTAAGGGTTAACCTCATTAAGGGTTAAAGTTAAAGTTTCTCCAGACTTTTTCTTAAATTTGACGGAGGCCAGGGAAAAATGTTTCGATAAGTTTTGTGTGTGCCTGGAATATCCGGCTCTGAGCAGTAAAATTATTAAACAATGCCGAAGGGACACGTTAGGGGCCGGGGAAGTGCAAGGATGGGACTAGAGATGACAATGAGAACCAGGACCCTCCTGGTGCATGCAGCTATGAAAATGGCAAAGTGCTGACCTAAGCCCACAAACAAAATGGTTCAGGAAAAAGGCACACGACGACTCACGGATAGCAAAAAAGTGTCACAGCAACTTAACACAAAAACTGGAATTCAGCAGCCCCAATCCCCTTCCGACTTCATCGCCTCGTCCCCATCTCTGTCTTCGTTTCTGTCTCGGTGTCCGTCTCTCTGGCTGAAAATGAAACTGAACCCGGAGCAAGTGACCGACAGGCGACATGACGGAGTGTCACTGGCTCAGAGCTACAAAATCCCAATGTAGCCAGTGATAAGGCCAACTACACAGCCACGTGTTTGCTTTTCAATTTGTGCCAGCAGTCGGCTGAGGAATTATGAATAGGCCAGCACAAAAACAAAGCGTCCGGCCAGCAGATAGACATCGTGAGTGGGCCAAATGGAACGGTGGTCTGCCACCCTAGGAGGGTGATACGGGTGGATGCAGGGACCATAGCCACGACCACTAGTATCAGGACCAGGAAGAGGAGTCGCAGCGGGAGCGTTGGAGCATTCATTGAAGCTAAACAGAATGCCGAAGAATGTCAGGGTGGTGGCAGGACTACGCTCCGATGCCGACAGGCAAAAGGAAAACAACTTTTGCCAAAGTTGTACTCGATTTGTGCTGTATTTCATGCCGCTTGTTCGAGTTCTTCTTCAGCGTCCTTTTTTGCCAAACTACTTATGACAGGTTGCAGCGAGTTTTATGGTCAGTTTTCTGAATACTCGACATTCTAAGAACTCGACCTAAAATGTCTATAGATAAATTGAATGGAACAATTACGGACATAAACTTTTTGGTTAGGCCCAAGTCACTACTTCTTTTCACATAATTGTCTCATTCAAAAAATCAACAAGCCCTATTTTAATTTTGGGAAAAGAACAAAAAAATTAACTTTTAAAACTTTTCAAAAATATACAGTATGAAAGTTCAGTCTCTTAAGAAGTTGTTTTCAAATAAAGTTAATTTGGTACCATAGTGGGCACTAATATTACATTTTGACATTAAGTTGTTAACAGTTAAAATGCACAAAAAGTAAAAAAACCAAACAAAAAAAAAGTTTAATATTATAAAAAGAGATTTTTAAATGATTTTTCATCATTATTTTAGTTTATCATTATTATTATTAATCATCATTATATTTTTAATATTTTATCCAATAATATTTTCCAAAATATCATGGTAGGCTTCATAGAAATAACACATATTCTGTCAGTCTATCAGTACATCTACACAAATACTTAAAAAAAAAAGAACAAAAAAAATATACGATAATATACCTCCAAAAAACACGTAAAAATGAGTTCACTTCGGATCAGGATTAGTAGAGGCTCGTATTCCACGGAAGAGCAGAGAAAGACCAATACAGATCGAAAGACAATCATGGAAGAAAAGAGAAAACTATATATCCAAAAAAGAAGTACCATGGGCCTCGCGCTTTTGGCAACAGATACTTGGGTTCCTCCTGAGCTATCACGGAACACGCTTGCCAATCTATGCAGACGTCACGATTTTGATGGTTTTCATATTGACGAGCTGTTTAAAGAAGATTTGGATGAATGGGTTCCTTCTGCCCAGAGTGTCTTTGACGATGACAGAGATCTGTGCCGTGAGCCGACTTTTTCCAAATTTCGCGTTCCACTGTGAGGGCTCAAAGTAATGAATTTAATAATTTTTTATATCCAAATATTTTTCAAAGAGAAATCCGATGCCTTGAGCGGTATAGGCACTCTAAAAAAAAGCAAGCCAAGCAATTTAAGTGGGAGATAAAAAAGCTGATCGAAAATATGCCTAGTGCCGGGTGTGCCTGGGAGTTTGTAAGGTAGGTAACATTTTATTTTGGAATAAGAAAAAAATGTTTAAAATTTTAATATTTTATTTAGAGTTACGAGTTACACCACGCTCTGGCCTCCGTTGCACACTCGGGAAGAGCTCCAGATGTTCAACAAATTCTTCACAATGACTCCAAGAGAACAGGCGCGCTTCAATAAAATAATGACCACAAACATAACTTAACAATTTATACTTTACACAGCTTAACGCCAAATTAAACACGTACCTTATGTAATAAGATAATACTGTAAAAGATGTGTGAAACTAATCTATGAACAAATCAAAATGATTATAATAAAATGACGAAAAAATAAACAAACAAGAAAGGAGAGGCAATATCAATATATAATGGCAATATCTTTCCCAATTCTCATCCGATTCTTAAACGATTTCTAATTCGATTGACCACCATTTTGCATCAAAATCCTAAAAAATATTTTTTAGATTTTTTGTTCATTTTTCTGATTGGATCCCTTGAAAATAGCGTTTTCCCCTATAGGGTCCACAGTGATGGCTATACTTTCCCCAAGTCTCATCCGATTCTCAAGCGGAGTACCTTTCACGATTTCTGGATCGATTCGCCACCATTCTGCATCAAAATCCTGAAACAAAATATTTTTTTAGATTTTTTGTCCATTTTTCGTGATGCGATCCCTTAAAAATGCGGTTTTCCCCTATAGGGTGCACAGTGATGGCTATATTTTTCCCAAGTCTCATCCGATTCTCAAGCGGAGTACCTTTAACGATTTCTGGATCGATTCGCCACCATTCTGCATCAAAATCCTGAGACAAAATATTTGTTCGATTTTTTGTCCATTTTTCGTGATGCGATCCCTTAAAAATGCGGTTTTCACCTATATTCCCCACAATTAAGGCTATATCATTTCCAATTCTCATCAGATTCTCAAGCGGAGTACCTTAAACGATTTCTGGATCGATTCGCCACCATTCTGCATCAAAATCCTGAGACAAAATATTTTTTAGATTTTTTGTCCATTTTTCTGATGGGATCCCTTGAATACAGCGTTTTTCCCTATAGGGTCCACAGTGATGACCATATCTTCCCCAATTCTCATCCGATTATCAAGCGGAGTACCTTTAACGATTTCTGGATCGATTCGCCACCATTCTGCATCAAAATCCTGAGACACAATATTTTTTAGATTTTTTGTCCATTTTTCTGATGGGATCCCTTGAAAATAGCGTTTTCCCCTATAGGGTCCACAGTGATGGCTGTGGTATCTGCCCCAATTCCCAACCGATTCTCAAGCAGAGTACCTTTAACGATTTCTGCATCAATTCGCCACCATTCTGCATCAAAATTCTGAGACAAAATATTTGTTCGATTTTTTGTCCATTTTTCGTGATGCGATCCCTTAAAAATGCGGTTTTCACCTATATTCCCCACAATTAAGGCTATATCATTTCCAATTCTCATCAGATTCTCAAGCGGAGTACCTTAAACGATTTCTGGATCGATTCGCCACCATTCTGCATCAAAATCCTGAGACAAAATATTTTATAGATTTTTTGTCCATTTTTCTGATGGGATCCCTTGAATATAGCGTTTTTCCCTATAGGGTCCACAGTGATGGCTATATCTTCCTCAATTCTTATCCGATTCTCAAGCGGAGTACCTCAAACGATTTCTAGATCAATTCTCCACCTTTCTGCATCAAAATCATGAGACAAAATATTTTTCAGATTTTTTGTCCATTTTTCTGATGGGATCCCTTAAAAATGGGGTTTTCCCTTATATGGCCCACAGTGATGGCTATATCTTCCTCAATTCTTATCCGATTCTCAAGCGGAGTACCTCAAACGATTTCTAGATCAATTCTCCACCTTTCTGCATCAAAATCCTGAGAAAAAATATTTTTCAGATTTTTTGTCCATTTTTCTGATGGGATCCCTTAAAAATGGGGTTTTCCCTTATATGGCCCAACAGTGATGGCTATATCTTCCTCAATTCTTATACGATTCTCAAGCGGAGTACCTTAAACGATTTCTAGATCAATTCTCCACCTTTCTGCATCAAAACACAGAGACAAAATATTTTTCAGATTTTTTGTCCATTTTTCTGATGGGATCCCTTAAAAATGTGGTTTTCACCTATATTCCCCACAATTAAGGCTATATCATTTCCAATTCTCATCAGATTCTCAAGCGGAGTACCTTAAACGATTTCTGGATCGATTCGCCACCATTCTGCATCAAAATCATGAGACAAAATATTTTTTAGATTTTTTGTCCACTTTTCTGATGGATTCGCCACCATTCTGCGTCAAAATCCTGAGACAAAATATTTTTTAGATTTTTTGTCCATTTTTCTGATGGGATCCCTTGAATATAGCGTTTTTCCCTATAGGGTCCACAGTGATGACCATATCTTCCCCAATTCTCATCCGATTATCAAGCGGAGTACCTTTAACGATTTCTGGATCGATTCGCCACCATTCTGCATCAAAATCCTGAGACACAATATTTTTTAGATTTTTTGTCCATTTTTCTGATGGATTCCCTTGAAAATAGCGTTTTCCCCTATAGGGTCCACAGTGATGGCTGTGGTATCTTCCCCAATTCCCAACCGATTCTCAAGCAGAGTACCTTTAACGATTTCTGCATCAATTCGCCACCATTGTGCATCAAAATCCTGAGACAAAATATTTTTTAGATTTTTTGTCCATTTTTCTGATGGGATCCCTTGAATATAGCGTTTTTCCCTATAGGGTCCACAGTGATGGCTATATTTTCCCCAAGTCTCATCCGATTATCAAGCGGAGAAACTTTAACGATTTCTGGATCGATTCGCCACCATTCTGCATCAAAATCCTGAGACAAAATATTTGTTCGATTTTGTGTCCATTTTTCTGATGGATTCCCTTGAAAATAGCGTTTTCCCCTATAGGGTCCACAGTGATGGCTGTGGTATCTTCCCCAATTCCCAACCGATTCTCAAGCGGATACCTTTAACGATTTCTGGATCGATTCGCCACCATTCTGCGTCAAAATCCTGAGACAAAATATTTTTTAGATTTTTTGTCCATTTTTCTGATGGGATCCCTTGAATATAGCGTTTTTCCCTATAGGGTCCACAGTGATGACCATATCTTCCCCAATTCTCATCCGATTATCAAGCGGAGTACCTTTAACAATTTCTGAACCGATTCACCACCATTCTGCATCAAAACCCTGAGACAAACTTTTGTTTTAGATTATTTTTTTTATCATTATTTTTGAAGAAACTGATGGACAATTGATTTATAAATTAATGTGTTTAGGTAAACTTGATTTTGAAATTATAATAATTTCCTTATCCACGCTAAGCAAATGGTTGGGCCTCCTTATTTCGCGTTTTCAAACAGTTAATAATTGTTTGTTAAAAGGTTACTTTGGGCCAGATACACCAACCAACTGATTAAAGCTGACATGTATAGTAAAAATAGTTTTTTTGATACATCCAACAGGCCACAAAAGCGAACCCTAAATTCGTATAAATTCAGTTGAGTGTAGAATATATCCAGCTGCAAATTAAAGTTATTAACTCATAATTTAAAAAATAAAATTTTTTATCTTACCAGATTGTGAAGCTCTTTTAAATGCCCTCCAATATTATATGATTCGAGGTGGACCCAGCGAATCATTGAAAACTGAGTTCTTGCTTCTTCGACAGAAACAGTCAGCATAAAAATATCCAAAACTTGATTGCCAATAAAAAGGTTGTACCAAAAATTTTGTACTTTTAGATCTATAAACAGGATGTAAGCCGCCACTCCAACTACACAAATCTTTTGCATAAACCCAAGAAAAATTACCAATTCAAATAATCTTTGAAAAAATGTATGCACTTCAAAAATCTCTCTATGTAGATTTAGGCTTTTTTTAAGTTTGCTTATCAGTTTGTCAAACTTTTTTTGATCATATTTGAGTTCCAGTTCCCGAAGATGGTATTCCAAAGTGTCTCGAATATAATTGTTGAGCTCAGAATAAAGAAATCCAAAGGAAAAATAGGCCAGAATGTGGATGTAAAGCATCAAATTCATTCCCACTACAATGTATGCGGTGCACATGTAATATACGACGTCTTTAAAATTGATTGAGTTGGAAACATGTAGAGTAAATCGGTATATTAACCCATATAATGCACTAATCATTATTATTAAGACGAGGAAAAGCTCCCATTTTCCTAGGAGACCGTATTTCTTTCGTCTGCATAACAGTTTTGTTTTGCAAAAAAGTTCCAAAAATTGATCGACCAATATTTTTATTTTCGATCCTTGAAACATCTGGAGTCTCACAATGAAGTAATTGAAGAATATAAATACAAGCAATCGAGCTCCATGAAAAAATTTCTCAATAAAATTTTCATGCTTGATGAGAAGCAACACATAGAATACAACAAAGCCGCAAAGACTTATGAGGCGATTAATTACACTAAGCCCCACAAGCCAGTTTACATTGTAAATTGTATTTTTTTCTATATTGAAAACAATTATTCCCACACATTGCGCGTATTTTAAAAGCAAACGTAAAATTTTCACAGTAAATTTCGAAATTTTCATCCTGCGAAGAACTTTGAACTCTCCAGCACGGTTTCTGTTTTGAGTATCATAGAAAGGAAAAGCTTTCCAGGTTAAGACTAAATTGCAATTTGTTAATGCCTTTAATAGGAACGGATAAGATTACGATATGTCATAAAACAGACAGGCGAAGTGTATCAAAGGGAAAGTCTAAGGTTCTTTGGACTAAATTGTATTTGTATTGTATTGCTTCAATTTACTTTACTGGAGAATAATATCAACACTGCTTTAGTAATTTAAAATAAATTTTATTTTACATTTTTTTTTTTAAACTAAGTTGATTAACTGTTTTATGTGTAAATTGTATGTCAAATACAAAGTTCTACAAATTTTCTTAACACCGCAAGAGGTTTTTTGTAAATTTAGTTACACATTTTATTTGGAATTATTGTGAAAGGAATCCAGGCCAATTTTTACAAATTACAGAAGAACTTTCAAATTAAGACAATATTATCCAAGATCTGTGCAGCGTCTCTTTAAATTTTGTGACTGAAGTAACGAAAAAATGGAGATTTCGTTCAAATTTGTTTGTGTTGCAATACAAATTGTATAACAATAATTAAATAATTAACCGTGTTAGATACCATTAGTAAGAACCAGCTATTAGAAATAGCAAATAGACCTAATAGTCGGACCCTAAATGGATGCATATTCAGAAAAGTAATGAACATTTCCATCTAAAAAAAACAGAATTAAATAAATTTAGGACTATTTAAGATTTATACTTACAGCTTGAACGCTTTCTTTTGTATTTGTATTCATGCTTAACTCAAAAATGAGTAATCGTGTCTTGCCAAGTTCTTTAAAAATTCGCTCAACAACCGAGCATAACATTTTATATTCAAACATTATTTTCAAAATTCCAGTCCACACCCAACAATGTTCCAGTGATAAGCTTTGTACCATTTGGTAAGACGTATCACCAATATATAAAATGGTTGATAAAATGTGGAAAATTAGATGACTGTAGTAAATTTTATTGAACGAGGTCGATAGTTCGTGAATTTTTCGATAAACATCCAAATAAACGTCAAATTTTGGACGCCTGGATTTATTTACATCGTTTTGCATTATTTCATTGAACTCTGAATAAAGTTCCCCCAATGATAAATACCAGAGAACAGTGAAGTTTTAAACGATTTCTATGGAATGAATGGCATAGTAAACACTCCACCATTCGAAAATATTTCTTAGTACAATATAGAAATCCTCCTGCTGAAGATAATAAGCCAATATGGAAGTGAAATCGTAAATCCGACAGAACAATATCAGCATTATTAACACGAACTCCCGTTCACCTCCAAAACCAACTCTTTTATGGTTTCCCAGGGATCTCACGCGACGAAAAAGCTTCAAACTCTTGTTGGCCAATGAAATCACCTCGGTGTTCATAAAAAACTGTTGCCGGATGATCCAAATAAGTACAAGCACTGTTCGTGTACATTTAAGTGCTTGCTGCAATATGACGTTAGGTCCAATAAACCAATCCGAGTAAACGTAGCCGACGACACAAACACAAACAGTTCTGTGTAGAAACATAAAACATCTCCACCATTTTTGGTTATCTTCTAAAATAATCAGTCCATCTTTATTGTTCCCGTATCTAAAGAACAGAAATCCAAGAAATCTAGAGGAGGATAAAATTTTCCGCAGTAGACGCGCGGATAATTTTGGAACGTTTTGCCTTCGAAGAATATTAAACATGACTGCAACAAGTAAAATATTTTCCTTGGAAATATTTTCCTTCCTTTTAATGCATTTCAATAACAAACTTTGTGACAGGAATCAGATAAAAAAGACAGGTGCCCAATAAAAGGACTTACATTGAGGTAAAGGTCAATGCGTGATGTATTTTCTTATTAAAAAGTAAGTGTCGAAAAGGGAAGACACAGCTCTACTAGAAACATTTTTGATGTCAAGCTAAAAATGGAGTATTTCCAGTAATCTGTTATTAAATAGTATTCTATTGAGGTTGTACTCTAATCTGAGGTTTAATGAAGAATAAGATTGAAAAAGGTTTCATTTGACACACTCAACAATTGATTTAAAAAATTAATATTATTATTTACACTGCAATGAAAGCGGCAGTATAGTGCGACTTTATAAATGTGAATTTTTCAGTTTGTGAAATATCTCCGCAAAATGAAGTCAACATTACGAATTGGGGATTTTGGAGTTTTGTTGGCTACCTGCCTGCTGACGTTTACAGTTCTGGAAACTGTTCAGGCTCAACAAAGTAAGTACATCTTGAAACCTGAATCACTCAGCACTGACTTCTTATGATCGGTAGCCGGCAGTTATCTATGCCGGCTATGCCAGTTATCATTAGAGTTAATTGAGACTTAAATCACATAAAGCATGCTTTGAACAATAAGCAAGTGTGACTGACTAAATAGCGCACTCGTGTGATATTATTCCTGTAATCGAAATTTAACGGGGGCTTTTGCCGCACAGCTGATTACGTTTAAAAATGTATATATAGATCGCTTATTTGACTCATCGGCTACAATTATACTCTTCTTATGTTCAATAAATCATTCAATAAACTTTGATTTTAAAATTCCCTTGACTTAAAAATTAATTCACAAAAAACAAGCTTAACAGGTTATCAAGTCCTATCCAACCCACTTTAAAAAGCAACTTACCTGTAATTAGTAATATTTACGTTATAGGTCAATATCAAAAACAATAATATTCCAAAAATTATCTATTTTAGGCTGCAGAAACCCAAACCAGAACAGGGGCACGTGTATATCTATTTATGATTGCCCTAGTTTGTTCTCCGTGGTCCAGCAAAGCCTCCTGTCTTCCGATGATCGCAATTTCCTTGTTAGTTCCAAATGCATCAATGGAGTTGGTCGTCAACCGCATGTATGCTGTACAAATGACAAGGTATTCGGTAGTCGGTATACTCGCAATAGCGGTCCGCATGGTCCGCAAGGTCAGGGAAACCTGCTGCCATCGCCACCCAATTGTGGACCAAATTCTTTTATGAATAAGATTTACAATGGCAATGATACAGCTATCGATGAGTTCGTCTGGATGGCTCTTCTGGAATATGTAAATCGTTAGTGTTATTTATAGCTTTTCAAGGTGGACTCATGTCCCGATATATTATTTTTAAAAGGTACTGGAAGTCGGGAATTTAGCTGTGGCGGCAGCTTAATCAACAATCGCTATGTTTTGACTGCTGCCCATTGTGTGATTGGTGAAATTGTAGAGGAAGTGGGAAATCTGTAAGTAAATTAAGGTATTTGGTCTTCATAACCAATGAAATTTTAATATTTTTAGCACCACAGTTCGCTTGGGTGAGTACGATACAAGCAAGGACTTGGATTGCATTGATAACAATTGCAACCAGCCAATAATTGATAGGAGTATTGAGGTGGCCATTGTGCATCCCGAGTATGATCCGCTCAGTAAGGATCGCACCCACGACATAGCTCTATTGCGCCTTGATCATCCTGTCGTACTAAATGAATATATCCAGCCAGTGTGTCTCCCTTTGGTCAGCACCCGACAGGCCATCAACACGGGAGAACTGTTGGTGGTCAGCGGATGGGGACGTATAACCACAGGTAGGCTTCATAAACCCAGAGACCTTTTACAGGTAAAACTCATTCGACGACTCTTACAGCCCGAAGGAGCACCATCAAGCAAAAACTAAACGTGCCTGTATTCGATCATGCCACCTGCCAGAAAAAGTTTGCCACAAAGAAAATCAAACTGATTGAATCGCAGCTGTGCGCGGGCGGAGAATACTACAAGGACAGCTGCGACGGAGACTCCGGCGGACCGCTAATGCGAGAAGGCTTCAACAATGCCTGGTACCAGGAGGGCGTGGTTTCGATCGGACATGCTTGCGGTCTGGAGGGATGGCCAGCTGTTTACACCCGAGTCTCTGACTATGTAGACTGGATCCAGGAGACCATTCGACCCTGAGGGATACTACGCCGGCTACTGCGAATCCAATTGCCTCTTTTGTTCGAATGAAGTTTTAATTAAAGCCCAGTCGAAAGTGTTTTCCAGGACAGGAAACTTGTATTTGGTGCGATTTTATCAGCTGCTGTTGCCACGCTGCGTGTTGCCACGCTGCCGCGCACAGTTTGCGGTAATTAAAATCGTTGTTCTTGGTTAGAGAGATCCAAGTGGAGGCTTAAAAATGGGGTTTTCCCCTATGGGGTCCACAGCGATGGCTGTATCTTGCCCAATTCTCATCCGATTCTCAAGCGAAGTACCTTAAACGATTTCTTGGTCCATTTCTCGTCCATTTCTCGGATCCCTTGAATATAGCGTTTTCCCCTATAGGGTCCACAGTGATGTTTATAGCTTTCCCAATTCTCATCCGATTCTCAAGCGGAGTACCTTAAACGGTTTCTGGATCGATTCACCACCATTCTGCATTAAAACCCTGGGAAAAACTTTTTTTTAGATTATTTTTTTTATTTTTATTTTTGAAGAAACTGATGGACAATTGATTTATAAATTAATGTGTTTAGGTAAACTGGATTTTGAAATTTTAATAATTTCCTTATCCAAAGCTGGTTGGGCCTCCTCATTTCGCGTTTTTAAAGAGTTAATAATTGTTTGTTAGAAGATTACTTTGGGCCAGATACACCAACCAACTGATTAAAGATGACATGTATAGTAAAAATAGTTTTTTTGATATATCCAACAGGAAACCGTCAGCAAAAATGTTTAAAGCTTTATTGCCAATAAAAAGGTTGTACCAAAAACTTTTTACTTTTTGATCTATAAATAGGATGTAAGCCGTCACTCCAACTTTACAAATTTTTTGGATGAATCCCGAAAATGGTATTCCAAAGAGTCTCGCATATAATTGTTGAGCTTAGAATAAAGAAATCCAAAGGAAAAATAGGCCAGGATGTGGATGTAGTGATGTAGAGCATCAAGTTGAGTCCCACAACAATGTATGTGGTGCACCTGTAATATACGTCATGTCTTTAAAATTGATTGAGTTGGAAATAGTAGAGTAAATCAGTATATTGAGACCGTATTGAGACCACTGAGACCGTATTTCTTTCGTCTGCATTAAAGTCTTGTTCTGCGGAAAAGGTCCAAAAACCGATCGACCAATATTTTTATATTTGAAACAGTTGGAGTCATATAATAGAGTAACTGAAGAATATAAACACAAACAATCGAATACCATGAAAAAATTCTTCAATAAAGTTTTCATGTTTGGTAAAAAGCAATATAAAGAATTCAACGAAGACGCAAAGACTTATTATACGATTAATTACACTTAGCCACACAAGCCAGTATACATTGTAAATTGAATTTTTATTTATATTAAAAACAATTATTCCCGCACATTGCGCGTATTTAAAAAGCAAATGTAAAATTTTCACAGTAAATATCGAAATTTTCATCTTCCGAAAAACTTTGAACTCTCCAGCACGGTTTCTATTTTGAGTGTCATAGAAAAGGAAAGCGTTCCAGGTTAAAACTAAATTGCAATTTGTTAATGCCTTTAATAAAAAAAGGATAAGATCACGATAAGTCACACAAAAGACAGGCGAATTGTACTAAAAGGACAGTCTAAGATGCTTAAACGTAAGAGCAATAAAATTCACTTTATTGGAAAATAATATCAACACTTTTTTGGTTGTTATAAATAAAGTAAATTATAATAATTATAGTGATTTAAAGTAATTATAATAACTTTTTTTTTAAATGTTGGTTCTGTTTATCTGTTTTAAGTGTAAAGTGAACTTAAAATACAAAGTTCTACAAATTTTTTTTAACACCTTAAGGGTTTTTTACTAAAATCTTATGTTAGTGTTGGCTAAACAAACAGAAAAATTAATACAAATTACAGCAGTGCTATCCAACTTAGACAATTTCCTCCAAGATCTGTTCAGATTCTGAAGTTCAGAATATCTTTAATTTTGACGAAGAGTTTTAGTAACGAAAAAAAATGAGGATATCGTTCAAATTCGTCGGTCTTGCAATACACATTGTATAATAAAAATTAAATAATTAACCGTGTAAGATACCATTAGTAAGAACCAGCCATTAGAAATTGCAAATAGACCAAATAGTTGAACCCTAAATGGATGCATATTCAGAAAAGTAATGAACATTTCCACCTAAAAAAAAAATGAATTTAGTCAATTTAGGACTATTTTAGAGTTATACCTACTACGCTTACAGCTTGGTCGCTTTCTTTTGTATTTGTATTCATGCTTAACTCAAGTAAACGAGTTTTGCCAAGTTCTTTAAAAATTCGCTCAACAACCGAGCATAACATTTTATATTCAAACATTATTTTCAAAATTCCAGTCCACACCAAACCATGTTCGAGTGATAAGCTTTGTACCATTTGGTAAGACGTATCACCAATATATAAAACGGTTGATAAAATGTGGAAAATTAGATGACTGTAGTAAATTTTATTGAACGAGGTCGATAGTTCGTGAATTTTTCGATAAACATCCAAATAAACGTCAAATTTTGGACGCCTGGATTTATTTACATCGTTTTGCATTATTTCATTGAACTATGAATAAAGTTCCCCCAATGATAAATACCAAAAAAAAAGTGTAATTTAAAACGATCTCTATAGAAAAAACGGCAAAGTAAATACTCCACCATTCGTAAATAGTTTTTAGTTTAACATAGTATTCTTGCTGCTGAAGATAATAAGCCAGTATAGAAGCGAAATCGTAAATCCGACAGAACAATATTAGCATTATTAACACGAACTCCCGTTCATCTCCAAAACCAACTCTTTTATGGTTCCCAGGGATCTCACGCGACGAAAAAGCTTCAAGCTATTGTTGGCCAATAAAATCACTTCGGTGTTCATAAAAAACTGTTGACGGATTATCCAAGCAATTACAAGCACTGCTCGTGTACATTTAAGCGCTTGCTGAAATATCCTGTTAAATCCAATAAACCAATCCGAGTAAACGTAGCTGATGACAAAAACACAAATAATTCTGTGCAGAAACATTAAACATCTCCACCATTTTCGATTATCATCTAAAATGATAAGTCCGTCTTTATCAGTCCCATATCTGAAGAATGTAAATCCAAGAAATCTGGAGGTGGAGACACGCGGATAGTTTGGGAACGTTTTGCCTTCGAAGAGTTTTAAACATGACTGCAACAAGTAACATATATTTCTTGGAAAAACGCCCTTAAGTGCATTTTTATAACAAACATTGTGACAGTTATCAGATAAAAAAGACAGGTGCCCGATAAAAGGACTTACTTTGAGTCAAAGGTCAATGCGAGGTGTATTTTCTTATTAAAAAGAAAGTGTCGAAAAAGGAAGACACAGCTGGACCCATTTTTGCACAGAAACATTTTTGATGTCAAGCTAAAAATGGAGTATTTCAAGTAATCTGTTATTAAAAAGTATTCTATTGAGGTAGTACTCTAATCTGAGGTTTAATGAAGAATAAGATGGAAAAAGGTTGTATTTGATACACTCAACAATTGATTAAAAAAACGAATATTATTATTTAAACTGCAATGAAACCGGCAGTAGTGCGAATTCATAGATGTGAATTTTTCAGTTTTGTGGTATTCCCCAATGCGAAAGCTCTTTCTCAGCTGTGCGTTTAAAATACTTGATCAGCTCAAAAGCTGCTCAGTATTTCATGGAACCGGCTTAATCGGTCGCCGCCTCTCCAGTGATAATCTTCGATCGTATTTAAAGGTCTCTCCGATTGCGCTCGCGATCAGTTTGTTGCGGCACTTTAGCCTCGAGATTAGTTCCAGCTCCGGTCCGATCCAATTTGTCGTTTCCAGGTTCGAGGTCGAAAACGCAAAGTCGGGGCTAGTGTGATTAACTGTGTTGTGAATTACACTTAGTGCGCCAAGTGGGAAATATCCCCGCAAAATGAAGTCAACATTACGAATTGGGGATTTTGGAGTTTTTTTGGCTACCTGCCTGCTGTCGTTTACAGTTCTGGAAACTGTTCAGGCTCAACAAAGTTTGTACATCTTGAAACCTGAATCACTCAGCACTGACTCATGATCGGTAGCCGGCAGTTACCTACGTCATTAATTGAGTTAACTGAGACTTAAATCACATAAAGCATGCTTTGAACAATAAGCAAGTGTGACTGCCTAAATAAGCGCACTCGTGTGATATTGTTCCTGTAATAAAAATTTAATGGGGGCCTTTGCCGCACAGCTGATTACGTTTTAAAATATATAGATAGATCGCTTATTTGGGTCATTGGCTACAATAATACTCTTCTTAAGTTCAATAAATCATTCATTAAACTTTGATTTTAAAATTCCCTTGACTGAAAAGTCATTCACAAGAAACAAGCTTAACAGGTTATCAAGTCCTATCCAACCATCTTTTAAAATCAACTTACCTGTAATTATTAATATTTACGTTATAGGTCAATATCTACAACAATAATATTCTAACAATTATCTATTTTAGGTTGCAGAAATCCAAACCAGAACAGGGGCACGTGTATATCTATTTATGATTGCCCAAGTTTGTTCTCCGTGGTCCAAAAAAACCCCCTGTCTTCCGAAGATCGCAATTTCCTTGTTAGTTCTAAATGCATCAATGGAGTTGGTCGTCAACCGCATGTATGCTGTACAAATGACAGGGGATTCGGTGTCCAGGAGAGTACTCCACAGCCTTCTCCGGTGACTCCAACTCCCACTCGCAATAGCGGTCCGAATGGTCCGCAAGGTCAGGGAAACCTGCTGCCATCGCCACCCAATTGTGGACCAAATTCTTTTATGAATAAGATTTACAATGGCAATGATACAGCTCTCGATGAGTTCGTCTGGATGGCTCTTCTGGAATATGTAGATCGTAAGTTTTAGTTTTAACTGTAAGATTTCAAGATTTCACATATACCATGGTATTGTTTTTAAAAGGTACTGGACGTCGGGAACTAAGCTGTGGCGGCAGCTTAATCAACAATCGCTATGTTTTGACTGCTGCCCATTGTGTGATTGGTGAAGTTTTAAAGGAAGTGGGAAGACTGTAAGTAAATTACGGTATTTGTTCTTCATAACCATTTTATAATAACTTCATAACTATAACCAAATTTTAATATTTTTAGCACCACAGTTCGCTTGGGTGAGTATGATACAAGCAAGGACTTGGATTGCATTGATAACAATTGCAACCAGCCAATAATTGAAAGGAGCATTGAGGAAACCATTGTACATCCCGAGTATGATCCGCTCAATAAGGATCGCACCCACGACATAGCTCTCTTGCGCCTTGATCCTCCTGTCCTGCTGAATGAATACATCCAGCCAGTGTGTCTCCCTTTGGTCAGCACCCGACAGGCCATCAACACTGGAGAACTGTTGGTGGTAAGCGGATGGGGACGTACAACCACAGGTAGGCTTCATAAATCCAGAAACCTTGTCCGGTAAAACTCATTTGACGACTCTTACAGCCCGGAAGAGCACCATCAAGCAGAAACTAAACCTGGCTGTAACCGATCATGCCACCTGCCAGAGAAAGTTTGCCACGCGGAATATCAAACTGATTGAATCGCAGCTGTGCGCGGGCGGAGAATACTACAAGGACAGCTGCGACGGAGACTCAGGCGGACCGCTAATGCGAGAAGGCTTCAACAATGCCTGGTACCAGGAGGGCGTGGTTTCGTTCGGAAATCGGTGCGGTCTGGAGGGATGGCCAGGTGTTTACACCCGAGTCTCTGACTATGTAGACTGGATCCAGGAGACCATTCGACCCTGAGGGATACTATGCAGGCCACTGCGAATCCAAATGCCTGTTCGAATGAAGTTTTAATTAAAGCCCAGTCGAAAGTGTTTTTCGGGACAGGACGCTCGTCTTTTAATTAACTTGCATTTGGTGCGATTTTATCAGCTGCTGTTGCCACGCTGCGTATACGTAATGCGCTTACAGCCGCGCACAGTTTGCGGTAATTAAAATCGTTGTTCTTGGTTAGAGAGATCCAAGTGGAGTGGAGCGGTTACTGGTGCAGCGAAATAACTTTCGAGATGCTGTAAACTTGCCCAGCGGCACCTTCTTAGCGCCCTCAACGATTTTCTATGCAATTTGGCAATGAATTTCTATTATGCAAGCCGCGCATTTTCGCATTTCCGCACCAAGTTCGCCCTTGTTTTCGGGCTGATTGCCTTGGGAGACGAGAAAACAAAGTAGACAATGGACCGGCTCGTTAATTGTATTCGCGTAGAAAGGTTAATGATGCCTGCAGGAACCAGTTAGCACCGGACTAGCACTGCCTCTTGCCACTTGTGTCCACGGACTCTGGACCAATTCCCCCTTAAGTATAGTTTAGTGCTTGCCGTAGCCCAACAAAAAATATACAAAATCTATAGAATGCAATGCAGCATTTAACATTTATTTTTCAACTATCAGTGGCCAGGAACTTGAGCCAACTTTTACCAAAACAGAGTAAAAAACAAAGAAAATCCCAACTCAGCCAAACTATCTGGCCATGTGTGGCTAAATGCGGCAAGTGAAAACAAAAAACACTTTTGCTAAATGCTGGCAAGCGGAAAACTTGTAATTCAATTTTGAGGGGCAACTTTTGCCCAAATGCAGCCCAAATGTAATTAACACGGCACACACACAATCTCGCTTTCGCAGGCCAACTGCAATGGAGTGGCAAAACGACTTGTACACCTGTCAGAAGGACGAAGGGGCTGGCCGTTGAGGGTAGGGGTTAGGAGGAGTGACCGGAAACATCCACAGTCCTGGCGTCGATTGGCCCGAAGTGCGTCCGGGCAACATAGCCCACTAACTCGATGGCTGTGCGAATTTCTGGCCCAGAGTGGCAGTCGAGCCGGCTCCGGCGGTTACAGGCTTAATTGAGTTGTGTTCGCAGCATTTAAAATGGCCAACAGTGCTAACGATCCAGTCAGACAAACCGTGGTCTGACTGGATCATCAAGGAAAGCCAAGCACTGGTTTACATTTTTTTTAACTTAAGCGTTTCTATTGTAAATGGAAAAATTATCTTTTTTGGCAAAGAGCTTTCATCTAATAAAATCCCATGAAAATAACAATTCAATTTATACAATGACCCACTGTACCTTAAAAAAGCTGTAGCAGTAGCACACCGAAAAAATTGGATTAAATGCCAACGATTTGCATCTGAAATACCAACCCTTAGGCACCAAAAAAAAAACAAAATTTAAGCTTAAGTGGCCAAAATAATATAGTGATGCTGACGTGGATGAAAGCGAAAAGAATTTTTAAACAAACGGCTTGTTGGAAAGTCCCGAAAAAATAGTCCACAGCGCAACGAAGCTGCGGCAACTGTCGCATAAATCTAAACCATTTTTTAACAACAAAAAAATGAACAAACAAGTCAAAGAACAACGGGACAAATGCGGTGATTGATGAATTGGGTGAACGTTACGCATACGCCATGTGGGTTGGGATTGGAGGACAAAAAATGTTGCAATAATTTCATTTAACATGCATAGCCAAACTGCCACTGGCACTGCCACTGTGATAACCGATGGAAAGCCAAACCAAAAAAAAACCAAAAGCCCGAACCGATACCAATGCGAACGATCCTGAATTTTTGCAATTTATGAGCTTGTCCTGGATGCACTCGTCACAAATGCCAAAGTCTATTTCGCGACCATTTTAGCGGCGACCTCTCTTTCTATTTTTGCTTGAATGGGTTGAAAATGAATGTAAATTGTACAGCAAAGAGCAGCATAGGATATTCTTGGAAATAAGTAGAGAAAATGCAAAACCTGATGGGAATTCAAGGAAATTCTCTCTTCGGGTCAGGAATTTCGGGTTGCAAGGGCCAACAATGAGTATCGAAAATCCATTTTGTTTGTTCGATAGTGCATGCAGCACATTTGATTACTGCTGTGGGCCATTTCGATTCGATGGGCATTATTGAAGGCCACGGGAGCACCCTAATGCGATTTGCGCCCACCCTGCTGATTGTTACCGCCATCATTTGGCCCTTTTTCAGTTAGCCTTTTGCCGTTTTGCCGTTTGTCGTTGCCGCTTTCCCAATGACATTATTTACTTAGCATTTGCATTTCGAATTTTGCATGCTGTGCATTGGAAATTGGCTCTGCAAATACACAAGTACACACATCCAATGCGGGAGGCCAGTTGATTTTTACGTCTGCTGATTGTGTGCTCCCATAATGTTTATTTCGTTCCAAATAATGAATGGTTCAATTAATTCGAAATGGAAATCAAAGGGGCTTTGCATATTCTTCACCACAACTTTTACCAAAGACATTCTTCCAGTTGAAATATGAAAATCTTCCGGAGAATTACCAAACAAGTAGCCAAGCCAATCAAACGGAAAACGGCTTAAAACTGCAACAACATTCAACATTGTCGAGAGATTACAGTTTTCGGCTGGAAAAATTCATTTTCCATTCCTGCAGCTGGTTTTTTGTTTTCGTTTTGTGAGCGTAAAGCAAAATAAAAGCCGAGACTGCATTCTCAGCCATTTTGTTAGCAAGTCAAACATTTTAAAAGCATTTTTGGACAAAAGCGAAAAACTCTTGCTGGACGATGGAATATTTTAACAATTCCTGCTACGCAGAAACTATGAACCGGAGAGTTTTGTTACTCAAAACCCAAACTGTTGTCGATGCTAAAAATATTTGATTAAATTTTCATTTTCGAAAGCACAAATTTGTGGTCTCTTACAGGCATTACCGACCTTTAACCTTTGCCTGGGGGCTAAAAAGTTTCGTATCACCCGGTCTAAAATATGACCCGAAGGTAAATGCGATGATGAGGCAATTTATTTGTGTTTATTTTTAGCATTCATTTTTCCCAAGTTCTTTTCACTTCTTTGTCGATATTTTACAGGAGCCATGCCCATGCCCCCGATTTGCGACCCCTGCGCCACCGAAATGATTAAGTGCCTGCTGCTGGGGCAAGTATTAATAAACTTGTGGCACACGCTTTTCTACCACAAGTGGAAAATGTGAGTGTAAGGCAAAGGAATGACCAACGAGCCGCAGAAACGGCTTGTAAAGGGAGCGACAATATAATTTAAATTTATTTAACAACCAACTTGTTAAAATCGTAAAGTGCTTGGTTAGGTGACGGGGTAGTCGGTCGTCGCAAGGCGGACGGGAACGGCGGAAGCGAATCTACAAACTGCAGCTAGAGCCACAACAACATTAAGTAGCTCATTAAATTTCCTTAACCAACACAGAACACAACGCAAACAAGCCACTAGCAGACCAACTGACTTTTCGTTTTTATTTTGTAAGTAGGAAATATTATAGTAGAAAAACGGCGCCAAAAGAAATGAAATCGCCGGAATGGGAGGGTCATGGGGCTGGTCATGGGCGTGGGCTTGGGTATGGGTATGGGCATGGGGGCGTGGCGGTAAGCGGCAGGCGGCAGGCAGCATGCGGCAAACGGCGGGCGAGATGAAAGCGAGCGAGCTGTAAAAAATCCCGTAAGTGTATTTTTATTGCGTATAAAATGCATTTTGCAATGCCACACAAAACTCAAGTGGTGTGCGTTGCGAGCGGAAGTTACGACCAACGGGCTAGGATCGCAAAACACACACACTCCCGCATACCCGAGCAACACAAACAAAAATCTCTGGCTTGTGGCAAGCAGTTATACTTGTGTGTGCACCACAAGGAGTCCTGGATGTTAAAAATTATGGACTACGATATCAAGGATATCATAGGAAATTTATTTACCCTTTGCTGAGGTAATTTTTAAATAATATTCATTAAAATGTATGCAATAAAGCAAGAGGACGTCATAACAGAGAATTAAAATGGAGAATATTTATGGGTGCTTGGTGCTTGTGATTTATTTGCATTCCGTTCTCGAACACCTCACAAAAACCACATGCTTATTGAATCTGTTATTAAATATATTCTGGCCTTTATATCAGAATAAATAAATATTTGTTTATACTTCTTGAAGGATATCAGCATCAAACAAATATTTAAATTTGATCCACTGAACAAGCTCTTGCGCCAAACTAACTTAATAAACATGCATTTAAGACTCAACTTTTATAAAGTAACCCAACCAAACATCATTTTACGTATTTATATGCAAGTGGAGCCACTTAAACTATCATTTATCATACTTTCCCCCCGAAAGCAAACTGCGTGAGCCAGTGCAAATACCCCACTCAAGTAAAACAGACGAGTTGGCAAGCAATGATTGCTCAGCATTGGTACTTGTTGTTAAATATGTTCTGCAAACAAACACCATTCATTACCCAAGCAAATGGGAGGTTCTGGATAAGGAGCTCAAATAAAATGGCGCTTATGAGTGCGGTGGGAAATTGGCTGTGCGGCATAAAAATCAAAAGGTATTTGCGAACTTGACTTAAACTTGACATGGGCCAAGTGTCTCAGCTGTGGCATTGAGGCATTCAGCTTATGTTGAACATCATGTTTTCGTTTAATGTTCAGTCAGCCAGAAGTTACCAATTACACGAGACTTTTCGAAAGTATCTTACTTTTTTTTGGGCACACACTGCGTATGCGTGATAAAAATAAAAAGTTAGCATAGTGGTCTTTCTGGATTTAAGTTATGCACACTGTTCGTCTTTTTTTAATCTTTATTTTTTGAGACTCTCCTTTGGAGCGCAATTAATTATAATTTTTTCTCCGGCTATTCTGGCAACATATGTATGTATGAGCACGGACACGGGTGTCGGCCAAACATTTTTTAAATTATATATACGAAAGTGCACCCGGACACTGACGATGGCAGAGGCAGAGGCACGGGCTAGGACTCGGGCACAGACACTCCCACATGTGCCGGAAATTGGCGCACACCTTGCAGCCATGCAGTGGCAAGAATTTTTTCCATAAGCATCATAAAACCAGGAGTGGCCCGACGATGACCGGCACTTTGGCCATGGGCAGCGATGAAAACGGGGTGGGCAAGGGTGCCTCGGTATGCGGAAATTATAATTTATAGCTGTGAGCTGCGGATGCCAGACCATCTACTGTGATTTTTTCCCCATGGGGTAACCAACACTCCAAACCACTCCGCTCCTCCCAGCCAGTTATAAGGACCCGACTTTAAAATTGGTGCAACGGGGCATTAATTGAAGTTGGCTATTAGAAATGCTCGACGGTTCGAGGTCCAAAGACCACTCAAGCATGAATCATTTTCTATGGGAGTTTCAAAGTGTCAGAAAGGCTCTAGAGAGCAAAAAAAAAAAGAAAGGAATCAGGAAAAAAGGAGCAAAGTTTTCGGTTTTTGTTAATCTCGTGTGTTGCACGTACTGGGGTGGAACATTCTCTTTGTGATGCAAAAGCAAAAGCTCATTCTAGTATAGACTAATGGTGTGAAACTTTGCACATTGTTCGAAATGAATTCCACCACTTTAAATTATTTCCACTGGATTCATAATAGTGATTAAAACATTTTCCACCAGAGCTGATAAATTGTTAAGTCAAAGCAAAGGAAAATGTGTAAATCAATGAGAAGCCTGACTGCTTTCACAGCTCTGATTTCGCAAATACATACATAGGTAAGCCTTTGCAAATTACTTTCGGTTGAGAAATTATTCATCATTGTTTGTTTTGCTAGCCATTCAAAAGTACAACAATATATTTTATGGTCAATTGATTAATATTAAAGAAGAACTCCAGCCTTGGGCATTACCATATTAAAGCTCAACATTTGCCCAGCATTCCTTTGCCATTGTTCGCCGAGTAAACATTTGTCAAGTTGACCTTTTTCAGGTGTTTACCCAGGACAAACAAAACTCGATTCAACAGCTTAAAAAAACGGTCATAAAATAGCATTTGACAAATGACGCACTTCCTGTCAACGTACACGTAAACACACACGTACATATAAACCAGCACAAGGACATGCAAAAAGGACATTCGTACATGCAAAACATATCTCTCTTATCGGACACTTTTGAAAAAAGTTCGCCACATTTGTGACAGCATTTAAATACACAATTTCGCACATAGTTACCCAGTCGGGCCATAAAATAATTCGTTTATTGTTTGAATTTATGAATGCAAATCAAATATTTAATATGCGCAGCGACAGTTGGCTTAAAATTAATTTAGTGGAAAAAAAACTGCGGCATACTGAAGTCGGGTAATTACGAAATTGTATACATTTGTTCGAACAAGGAACTTAACTTTATGTGTGAAAGATCTAATTATGACAGCGTTTAAAATGTACATATTTATTGAATGCCTTACGGCTCAGATTACTACCATAATAAATGAAAAAGTTTTTGCGAAATTAATTTCGCACCGCCGCAAATAAAAACAAATTTAATTCAACAGATTCAATTTATGCTTTTAATTTATTGTATATGGACTTTTTTATACAAAGTAATTAGCTGGAAAATGGCTAGCTTGATTGCAAAAACAAGTGTGCTAATTAAACCATTTTCGAATGAAATAAATAGCACAATTGTTTTTGCAATTTTTGCGGACTCTAGTTCCCCAGACTTAAATCAGTTTTCATGAGATATTCGACGCGAGCCTTAGCCTTGGGAGGAAGCTGAAAAAATTTTTTGACAAAAACGTTCAGCTCCCGTTTTGTGTGCAACGGAGGCCAGCGTGTGTTATAGCAGAGAATTCTGAAAAGAAACGATTATTTTATGACTTCCTTTCACAATTTGAGCTCACTTCTTCAGGAAGTATTGATCGCAGATATTGCGCTGACTTTCAATAAGGTGTTCCATTTCGCGCATAAACTGCTTGTCATATTTCTCCTTGGAATCCAAATACTTGACGTAGGAATTTAAGTGTCTAGAAAGTTTATGGATTGATATTATACTTATATGTCTTTATAATACGTACTTGAATTTCATAATATTGTAACTGGGATGAGTACTGACATCGGCAGCATCGTCATTCTTCTTCAGATACATAAAAGGGCCCAGTGCTTCGACCAGAGAGCTCTGAAATTGATCGCTCGGTCTCCGTAGGGATATTAACGATTCAGATTGGTCCTTTTTGAGCAAAGTTTCCACCTTCTTCGTGTGACTCTTGGCCTTGGCCAATGATTCCGGAGTCAGCCGAGTGATGGGTATCTTCTTTCCTCGCAGGATATCTGCCGCCGATGTTTTATTATTAGATATTTCGACTATCGGGATTGGCTCAAGACGCGATGCACTTGATGCTACAGTTACATTGGATCCACTTCCGTCCATAAGTCCCATCAGTTCCATTTTAGAGTCTAAGAATATTTCAGTGTCGTACAAATTGTGTGTGAATAATTTTAAACAGCTTACTTTCGTTGAATAACATTTATGCCACAATTAATGCCAAAATAAATATGCACTATAGTTTCCAGTGTCAACAGTAAATTCATCATTCAGCGAAGATTGCTTTAATGCCGCTAGTGTTAATTAATAATAATGAAAATGACAGAGAATATCGTTCCTATACGTGAGTGCCTGCAATGCGACTGCGGGATTTTATTTACACAGCAATTCACATTGGCATTTCAAAATTCATTCATTAATTTTTTAATTCAGCAATCAGGATGGCAAATCGAAGCAGTGAATAATAACAAAAAATCTCTGTAAAAATATCGCATACAATTAATGAAAGCAATATGCATGCAATTATGGTAAAGGATACGCGTGGTTCAAAAATATTCCTGAAGTATGTGAGTATCAAATGGGAGTAGACTATAGAATACCCCGCAAAAACCGTATTCTTACTTATAAGTTTATTTTCTGAAAATCGACTCAACTCTTACCTTTTTTTATGTATAAAAGTTTTATTATAAAATAATTATTTGCTTTAAAAATAATAATACTTTTTTAAGCTAACGTACTAGGTAGTTTGTTAAAATCTGCTTCAAAATTATTCCACACATTTTTGCACCATTAAATATGCATTCGCGCGTTTAATTTCATTTTCTGGCCCTCGATGACGAAACTGAGCCGCCATCATGCGAACCACTAAAGTGGCCCACGAAAGGGGAGAAGGCCTGAAAAAGATTCGCTGGCCTACAGCTGGAGACCTGACCAAATGTTTGCCCAGCAAAAACACGGCCGCAAATGTTGTGTCTATTAAGAGCACATTTAACCAAAGCCAGGGCTCTGGCACGTGTGCAATGAAAACAAACGAGCCCATTATTGTTACACTTTTCTGTTTCCTTGGCAGTGGGTAAGGGTAAGGACAAACGGCAACGGCAAAAGGCTGCCGCACCGAGAGTAGAGGCCATTAATGATATATTATGGCCTCGAGAGGCTGGCCTAGACGATCCTTGAACTTCGACCAGGCATCGCCTCTGAATTGAACTCTAATTGCACATAATGAATTGCACACATTAGGTCAATGAACGGCCCGGTGCGGATTCGCACAAAGTGCCTAATGGAAATGCAATGAACTATTTATGAACATTGGGCGTTATTGGTTACCAAGTCTTGGCCGATTCTTGGCCAAAGTTCCAGCACGCACCCGGGCCGTTAAAGCCAGTGAGCCAATTCCCTTTAAAGGCGCCCAGATTTATGTTTATTTTTTCTTGGCATTTTGACAAACACCGGCTGCCACAGAAGTGACAACAAATCCCCACGGCGCGTAATGACAAAACACTGACTAAAATGTTAACAGCAAATCCAATTTATTACCCTGGCCGTCCCGTCGTTGGACGTTAATTAGCAAAACGGACACGTAAAAGGTATTAAATGCAAACCCAATCTGCCACCGGGGGGAATCTGCCACTGGTCCACCAAATCAGAAAGTGGCAAATTTAGTTGATCAAATTCGATGACACACCACAAGCCTAATAAATGGGTAGACCGATGGAAAATATCCAACATTGGCGCAAAAATGCGGAAACATCGTCAGCAAACATATATTTTTGTGGCTTTAATTGGAGGCTTTGCTCAATTTATTTTCTAGAAATTTCCAGCCACATTTGCCAATGACATTAATGACTTAAGCGCTGATCAATAAAAATGTGGATGGTCAATGGGAATGTAAACAACATAAAATAACATGAGCTATTGGATTACATGTGTAATTACACGCAGATCTGACATGAGAGCAAAGCTCAATTTTTTGAGCCGAAAACTGATTTTAAAGTCCATTAAGGAATTATATTTACTCTTGACATATCCTATTTTTTTGTTTTTAATTATATAGAACATCTCTTTGCCACTTACTGATCCTTCGGCAAAGTAAAACAATTTCACTTATGCATGGGTATTTTATTTTGTCAGACAAATTCATTTTAAGCTTTCACTTCAATGTCCCCCAAATCCAACAATCCTGATATAATCTCTGTCAAACTGGCACACACAGCCCAAACACTGGACGGGAAATAACCCACCCACAAAACACACACTCGCCCAGCGGTTTGAACAACTCAACTGAGACTTAAGAGATTTTCCAGCTTCAGCTTCCTCCTTTTGTTTCTAGGTCCTTGGTCAACTTTTAATTTATTTGATAACTGCAGAAATTGTGCACCTCCTCGAGCTGAAGGAGCATGAAGATGACTTTTGTATAGTTTTGCAGGCAATTAATTTCAACCATGGCTGCAGCCATTATTCACAGCGGGGAAAGCATATTTTAATTTGATGAAGACCTAATAGTGTTTCGAGCATATGTTTACAGCAAAACTTCTGACAGGGATATGGGGGAAAACTTTAAATGCAAATGAGTTGGCATATGGCGAATTCCGAAGGACTAACATCATGCAACCCAACAGTTCAGATGTTTCGGTAAAGGATTTCGCCACTCGTTAAATGCAGATGCTAAATGCCATATATTTGAGAAGTTTGTGGGTAGAATTCCGACGGGGGAGCAGGTCTCACATTCCACTGAGTCATCAGGTTAATTCAATTTGAGTTGTAAGCAAATTTTGAACAAATTAAATGCATAAACTTTTCCCATTGACAGACACAGTCATACGAACCCACACGTAGCCGACAGCAATAAATTTCAGAAGTGTTTATGTAAACGACCCCGATTGTGTCAGAAAATGAAAACCATCGCCGTCTGGCTGCACTCTGTCATCAGGGAAGCGGAACGCAAAGCCTGTGCGATTTTTTCGCCTGGAAAATGGCATAGCGATAATAAATCTTCCGCTTGGAACAAATCACAGTAATTCCATTATATAAACATTTAATGATGTTGCCAGTCAAAGCCGCCAAATCCGAATTCCAAAATACGAAAATCCAAATCCTCCGCCAACGAGCCAGAGCGACAATTACTTGCAGCCCGCTAGCAATTTGTACGACTTCATGACAATGGCCAGAATCGCTTTTACTGGCTTTTCAGCGCGAATGCAGCAACATGGCCAAGTTGTTAAAATAATCACAAAGAATGGCCACCTGCTCAGGGGAATTTCACTGAACAGGAAACACGGCTGGCAGGGTGGCTGGAAAGGGTTTTCCATCCGGATTCCGGACGAAAGACAAAGTTGCAGTGCAACCCGTGCAGCTAGTGCAGCTCGTGCAGCCTTGCCATTGCGATTATTTTTAATTAGCAAAATTTCTTTATGCATCGACAGTGGCAGAAAAGGCAAAGGAAAGTCTTTCATTAATTAGAAGCAGCCGCATGGCATGGCATGCCACGGTACCATGGTATATGCAGTTCTTCTCTTCGTTGCCCAAAGGAGCTGGCTAAAAAGTGAGCAACAAACAAACACAGTGAAAAACACATCCACATGTGGGCACTAAACTTTTGCCACCTGCCTAACCTCAACGTCAACACACCTGTGCTTTATATTCTCCCATAAATCTGCCACGAAATAGAAGCGACAGCAAAAAAGCCAGTCTCGTCCCGCGAGGAAAATACTCGTATTTGCCGCCGAAGTTGAAGCTGCTTATTAGCTTTGACATTCGAGTGCGATGCACTCTGGCCAGAGGTGTTTCGGTTGATGTTTTGCAATCTTCTTTTTATCATCCGCTTGTACATCATTTTTTTAGGACCCACATAAAAGCCAAAGAGGCGGTGGAGTTGCAGGGGCAGCTCCATGCCATGCTCCTAATTTATTGCTCCAAGCCATGCAATTTGATGGATTTTAAAAATCTGAAAAGCATACCTTTAATAATCTAGTTTTAAAGTATATTTCCCATCTGATTCTCGAGTCTTGTTCATTTTTAATAAATCGATAACCCCTCCGGTGGGTCGGAGTATGTATCATAAAGCGGACATAGTTGTCCGCAAGTTTTGAGATAAAATATCCTTGCCGTTTGACCTCAATGCGACAAGGTACGTACAACTTTTAAGCTCCGGTGATTTTTAGCTGGCAAGAGAAACTTGCTGCTGCCCTCAGCCTGTATTGCCATAACCTTAAGCCACGCATCGGATATCCAGCTAACCAAAAAATATCGTAAAACTTTTCAACTTTTCCATTTCACTAAATGTGTGTAAAGCAGCAAAGATATTTGGGAGTCGGGAGTAGGAGAAGAAGGTCTTGCCTGTTTCTGGGCCATTTCAAAAATGACTAGCTCACGTTCCGTTGTTGAGTTGACCGCATCACGCTCCAGAGCATAAAGCAATTACAGTACCGTGCATTGAATCCTGCTGTTCCTTGGATCCTCCCAATGCATGCCTCTTGGTCCTGGTCTACCTCTTGGGCGGCACTTTGATTTATGAAATTTTCCGAGCACCGACCCGGACTCTTTTCAACAGCCGACAGCCTCTCAATGGATCCAGAGTGTCTGTGCGTTACACCAGATTTGATTTTCAGTCAGTCATTGACTTGACTTGACTGGGCTAACCAACTTTCTGACACCGAGAGCATGTGTGTTGGGAGTAAACGAAGACGGAACTAAGATAGCTGCATCAAGAAAAATAAATGCAAGAAAAATATAAAAGCCACTTTAACTTTTCCTTCAACCACTTTGGTTTTTTTGAAAAAAATTGTGATACTTAAGTAATATATAACCAAAGTAAAACGGCCTTAAATTATTAAAATAAGCTTTCATTGATGCACTCTATTACCTCTTTTTTGCAACCTCATTTTGTTAATATTTTGCCTGAAAGTTGCTACCTTCTGTCTATTGAACGGAAGTTGCTACTCTCAGTGCAATATAATGTACTTTACTGCTTTTTTTTTGGTAAAGAAACTAGTGAGAAACTGGAAAAGTTTTGGTTGCATTTGGTTGTTGTCGCTGCATCTCGGAAAAGTGGCTTAGACTGTCGACACAAAACTTCAGTCAGACCGGGCTTAAATCTTGTCAATTCCCATTTTTGTACAGGAAGGTATGGGTGTCTGGATTTCTTCCATTTCGTACAAGTGACAATAAAGTTTTTAGTTTTGGCTCCCAAAGGAGCGTGATGAGTTTTTGCCATTAGCCAGAATTGGGTAAACTTTCTGGTTTATAGAGAGCATGCGACCGAGCAACGAGCTGCCTGTTAATGAAGCCGTAATGAGAATAGCCTTGAAAGTTGTCTGAAATAATGCTCCACAAGCTCCAATCGAAGTGAAAGAAAGACCATTTGGAGAAGCAATTTTTGAGGCTTTCTTAGTTGTGGGGGAATTGCTTTTCCGCCACTAATCACAAGTGCCCAATCATCTTTATTGCTTGACTCGAAATCAAATACCGGCGGCTGTCGATTGCAAACAAGGACTCCGAACACAAGGACAAGAACCTCCCAGATTGCTGCCGTCAAAGCGGCTGAAATTCGTTGGCATCTGGGGGAAATTCACTTGCGATTGTTTGTCAGAAGAGCTGGCGCCACCACAATGTAGCTGAAGGAAGCTCGAGTGGTTTGGTGGGCGGTGGTGGCTCCTTCCGGTGGTTCTGGGCGGGTTAGCTGGAAGCAACCATCGATGAAATGCCCGTGAAAGCCGCAAAGCACCCTCACACACACACACTCGTCGTGCCAAAGACAGGCAGGCAACTGGGGCAAAGGTGCAAACCGTTGAGGATAAACAAAAAACACGTTGCGTTTCACCAGAAAAAGAAAACAGAAACCAAAACGGCAAAAGCAACAGAAACAGCTTCCACTACGAGGGCAAAGCCATAGGAAAAATCGTAGCCCACGGCAAAAGCCAAAAAAACAACCTAACCAAGAAAAAATAAACGAAGCGGGAAAATCGAATCCACAAAAAATGCTAATTTCGGTTGGGTTTGGTCTATTTGGTGATGCTACCTCCCATGGTCGGGAGGCGGACCATAATGTACAACATTGGCCAGCAAATCGGGCTAAACATGTCTATCTGTGTGGCACGTATATCGGCATTATCTATAATCCATTAGGAGCGCAATCAAGGCAGGCGGGCGGCAGAATCAATTGCAGGCACTTGACACATGAATAAATGGGCTTTTGTACTGACACCGAAATAAATTAAATAATAAAAGTCTCAACAGCAACGCCTCGGGATTTGTTTTTGCTTCCAAAGCCGTAAAAACTCGAATGTTTCCAAATATCTAAACAAGGCAATTTTGGTTTATTCCAAGCTTCGGCTCAATATTCAAACTCATTTGCATGTTTTTACATTCCTCGCGCCGAAGGCTAATCTCTACTAATTTGGTTTTTCTGTTTTTCACTTTTTCTATCTGTAAAAAAAAATAACCAACAATTTCACCAAAATTCGTTTCTGCAGCAACAAGCAAATAAGCATCCAGAATCCACTCGGAACAAGAAGTCGAAACTAGTTATGCATTTAGTTTACCCTGTTTGGCGTTCGGACATGCCGAAGCCAAATGCCAATTACCACGAGAACGCCATTGACTAAGCCATTTAAATGCAGGAACCGCCCAATGCGACGGGTAGTCTGCCCGGAATTCAGACCCTGATTCTCAATAGACTGAGCAGACATTTGGGGGGAATGGAAATTACTTAATGCGGTCATTAGTTCGGCGCATTTGGCCAACTCGATTCGACTGGGTGCGGTGTCTATACTACGTGACCACACACAAAAAAATGCTTACTCCTCTTTTCGACAAGAAACTAATTAACACAATTTATCAAAAAATTGGCCAAAATGTTGTTTGATTCCCTGACTTGGTTTTGGCTTCTGGCGGTTATGAAATAAATTATTTAATGTAATATTTTTATCTGTATTTCCTCCGGCTCTACATGAATTCTTGGAATCCGTGTGGGAGTGCAATTAAGCTGCCACCGGCAAGTGGACTCAATTGAGTTGAGGTGGAATTTTTAGTTAGAAGAAAGACGGATTATGAGTTGGCAAAATGCTTTCAATGCTTAATTCCCAAGTGTCAATTGCTCGGGATCCGCTTACACTTAAACCACCATTACCACCGACAGCATCACCAATACCACCAACACCAACGCCATCAGCACCCGATACTTGGAATGAATTGGAAAAATCGAGGTGTGGATGTGCAGGATCTGGAGGGCAGCAGGACGGGAGGACTGAATCCGAAGAGATTACCAACAGAAAGTTGTGCATTGAGGCTGCTGGAGTGGAGGTGGAAAAGTGGGGTCACCGGTAAGCACGGGTCCGCGAACAAATGCGCGAATGATAAAAACTAAACATGTCCGTGGCTTTGTGTTTTGTTTTCCACCCTGAAAATTGTCCCTGCTGGTTGATGGCTTTTTGGGCGTGCCGGAGGCTAAATTTAAGCATTTACGATGCCCGCTCTCGACGCCCGAAAAACGTTTTCCGCAAAATACTTGTACTTGTGTACAAACTTAATTCGGCCGCATACCTTGGCGTATTGGGATAAGGAGATATTTCGGGACATAAGAGCTCCAAAGACGGAAAGTGCGTTTTAACGAACGTCACCGTAAAAGCAGAATAATGTTTTGGTTTTAAAACCTATTGATCTTTAATAAATATTTTTGTACCATTATATTCCAAGTATTAAAACTTCTATCCCCTAAAAAAATTGTTTGTTAAATAATAAAATTGTAATCTAGGTAGATTTATGACTTATCATTTTTGTTTAAACAAATTAAAAAAAGTGAAAAATAAAATTAAATACAATGACCTGATTTCGTAGTTTTTTTTAGCTATGGATGTTTATCTAAAAAATGACTACCAAAAGCAACATGTTGCCAACATCAAAACTTACTGTTAAAAATTGTAGTCCTTCTGCAACAAAACCGATGTACCTAACATGGAAAATGTTCTGTTAACAATTTTTGTGTATCCTTTAGCTTAAACGGAATAGGAAAAAATGAGGAACAAAGTCCATTTTCATCCAGCAATATTTACCCAAAGTAAGAGAACTTCAAAATGTTGCCAACAGAAAAATGCGTAAACGGTTTTATACCAAAAATAAAAATCAAAACTGTTAGTCCTTTTGCAACATAACATTTTATAGTTAGTCCTTTTGCAACACAAAATTTTAGTCCGTTTGCAACATAACATTTTAGTCCTATTGCAACATAACATTTTAGTCCTTTTGCAACATAAAATTTTATACCCATTTCTACAAAAGACTTATAATTAGGCCTTTAAAATGTATAGGAAGTTTAGGATATAACAGTTTATAAGAGTTAACAGTGTATGGTATTTTATAGGCAACATTTTAAAAAAAGGTATAAAGTTTCAGCTATAAATCTTTATTTAACAAAGCTTTGGTTGACGAAGCCAGCATTCTGCGCATTGGCCGAAAGCACAGGCGTCGGGCTGGGGATGCTGTAGACCGGGTAGAGGGGGGCGAACTCATTGACTCCAAAGGCGTGTACCTCCTCCTCGTTAATGTTGCCTTTCTGTGTGTGTTTGGACTCCTCGTATTTCGGTGGATCTAGGGAAATACAAATATAACCAAATATTTATTATTAATCAACTGGATCTGAATAAAATATTCCTTTAAGAGCCTTAAAAAAAAGATGAATCATACATTATTTAAAAAGCGTATACAAGCAAAGAAAGCTTTTTGTTGGCCACCAATGCTTTAATATGTATTTCACTCATGTATTTTTCTAGCTAAACATAAAAAATTACGCGAAATTGGTTTCTGATTTTGCATCTTAAATTTTTGGAAAATGTTCTAATCGATGCAAAAAAATTGATTCAGCTTTAATTTATTACACATAAAACATAAGAACATAATGGGCCAAACACTCTAATTGCATTTAAATAATTTTTTTGGCATTCTGACATGTGCATTAGCGCAATCAATAGATACGTATCAGCGTATTTTTTGATAAATGGATTGATAAGAATATTATTAATCGGAAACAAGTTCAGGGGCACGTAATTTCGGAATAATGGAAACAATTTATCACTAACCTGCATCCGTTGGACTGGGTGTCAGATCGTTGGGGACACTTCCCAAGGCAGCGACTAGGGGCAGCTCACCGGGTGGATCCCTCCTGGAGACTGGACCCTCATAATGAGCACTGCGCCTGGGGGGCTGCTGCACCACCATTCCGGACACTGCCAGGGGAATGGTGCCAATCGTGACCGGCATCACCATCAGCTGCTGCTCTCGAAGACTCTTCACTAGCGCCTCCACCTCCAGCTGGTAGGCGATCTGGATGAGGTTGCTCAGCTCCACACAGGTAGGTGGCGTGGATGGAATGGGCAGGTCGATGGTCAGGGAACGGGTGCACTGCTTCAGCACAGAGTCGCCTTTGGCTCGCGAAATGATGATGCGTTCCACGCGAGAGTGCTCTGGGGTGACGCTGTAGTATCGCACCAGCATCACCAGACACAGTCGCAACTCGGAGACGGCCACGGAGGTGTTGTTAACCACCACTACTGTGACGGGAATCCGCTGACCGGGCACATAGCCAGCCTGAGGCAGGTGAAGCTCCAGCTTGAGCGGATCTGTCTTGCAGGGACCACAGCAGAAGGTACGGTAGCCCTCGCTGTGTGCAGCCAACTATCAAATTTAATTATGAGAAATAAGGCAACCCAAAGCTTAACTCTTTTCCCCGAACTGGGAGAGAAGGGACTTACCCTCAACTGAGGAGTATCAAAATTCAGATCTAGCATTTTCAGCACTGTGAATCCCTGGGTGTATGCCTGGTCAAGTTTCCAGGGTCTGACGAGCAAAACTTTGGCTATATACCGGATGCAGCCATGACGGCCCTCAAAGGACGAAGGACACTGGTAGGGCAGCTGACAGGCAAAGTTATAGTTGTGCACCCCAGCTTGAATGGTGTGCCTGTTATTGTCTAGCAAAAGATAAAAATAAATAAGTGGGCCAGGCCAGCTCTTGTTTTCATACTCACTTTGCTCAGAACCCACCAGATAAGTGTTGGATGATAAATAATCCTCCCGGCCAGCGTAAAGTTTGGTCGAGCCCAGACTCTTTTCGCTCCATTTGGTTATAGAATAGCCGACCACCTTGAGTAACACGGCTGGGGGAAGAGAAAACACAAATGAGTATTATCTCGACGAATGAGTTAACACATAATCGGCCACTCACTGATACACCATGGACTTTAAATATATACAATAAAGTTAAGATTAAACATCTTTAATCTGTACTCAACTAGTCATTCAAAATTGTTTTCCCTTTCCTTTAAAATTATTTAAATTTTTATGTCTCCTAGCTTGTTATTTGAGCTCAACGGAAATTCTTTCCATAATCTCTTCATAAAAAAAAGAGACTTTGGCGTGTTATCAATCAACTTTATACATTCCTCGCCAAAGAATGCCCGCTAAAGTCAATGTCGTCATAAAAATATACAATTCACATATAGACATTTTGTTATCGAACAAATATTTATAACACTCTGGCCATGTATTGCTAATTATAAAACGGTTTGATCAAATTCTATTTTAGTAGGGATTAGGGTTCGTGGAAAGTTTTTACCTTGTACTTCCTTGGGTCTGTCGCATTTGAGGGTCACACAGCCGCTGACCAATTGACCGGCGTAGAAAGTGCCGTGTCTATTATTGTCGAAGCTGATCTCACACGTAACGACCATTTCTGGGCAAATAATTAAGGTCCGGGAAAGCAATCCGCTAAAACCGATGGCCCGGGCAACGAGTTGCGACTAATTTAAGTACAAAACTTCTGGACTGCTTGCGGTCCGTCGGCGTCGTAAGATAAGCGATAAGAACCCCAGTTGCGATCGTGTTTCTCCGGGAATGATATGGAATTGGAATGGAAATTTGGTCTTAGATCGGTATAAGAGCCGGAATAGCTTCTGCCCTTGGCAGTTGAGGAGCGAACTTTGTTTTTGGATGAATTCAGTAGTGGGTTTTTATATGACTTTTCTGCTATCGGAACTTTTGGAACCTCAGACCTTGGCAATGGACATTTTTCCACACAAAACGCTTATGTTGAAGGGGTTGTGATAAGACCTACTTCGTATTAACATAGTTGATACTTGAGAATGAAAAGGGCAATAAAGTGGCAAATGGGATTCTGATTTTAGGAATAATTGTTGTTCGTACTTTGAATATTAAAAGCCATTGATAAAATTATTCAAAATAAAGCTTTTTGTATTTGGTATTCATCTCAGATTTTAGTTTATGTACATTTTAATCCAATGAATAACTTCTTTAAAAAAATATTGCTTTGTAAAGCAAACACACATCGTTGCAAATCCAAGTTCAATTACGCACGTTCAAATATTAAAATGGATTTTAATTCTCTCAAAATTCAAAGGTTTATTTTGATTGTACAAATTTACAATTTTCATTGCATCATAGTTTATCGTAGGTACTTAAACAGACTTATATGTAAGCCTTTGATTAGTTTTATTGTCAATATTCACAGCCAGGTCCCCTTGTCCTTGTCCAAATCCAAAGCCGGATTGACAAAGGCCCTTTCGGCCATATAGTTCTGTGTGTAATCCGTTGGGGGTGGAGCCGAGGGACTGGGAATGTCGAAAACTGGATAGAGGGGCTTGTAGGCACTGCCATCCAGACTGAGAGTATTGGGAGGCACTGGTTCTGGGTCGTCGCAGTCCTCAGGAGCCTTTGGTGCAGTCGATCCCATGTGAATAGCCTCCTGGTAGTTGGGGGGAGCTGAAAATTAAATGTTCATTATAGAAAAGTGAATCCAATAAAAGTTTGATTTTAGCTTACGTATAGATTCGTCTACAGCCCAGGGACTTGCTCCATCAATGGGCGGTGCAGTGGCCGTGTATCCGGAATCCAAGCCCTGCACATCAAGTGGCTGATTGAGCAACCCCCGTGGCTGAATGGGCACGTGCTGGGTCAGGGGAATAGTGCCAACAGTGACGGGCACGCTGACTAACTCGTTTTGGTGGCAGCCCTTCACCTGGGCCTCAACCTCGACCTGGTAGGCAATCTGGATGATGCCACAAACGTTGAAGCAGGTGGGCGGTGTGGCCGGCACCTTTATTTCGTAGCTGTACAGTTTTTTGCAATTCCTCTGGACGGGGTCGCCTTTCAGAGTGTTGACCACTACACGCTCGGAGGTGGAGTTGGGCATGGAGGGTGGCTTAGTGTGGTAGGTCACTAGCATGACCAAGGTAACCACCAGCTGCTCCACCGGAATGTGACTCTCGTTGGTCACCAAGACACTCAGTGGAATGCTCTGGCCCGGAACGAATCCAGTTTGTGGCACAGTGAGCTGCAGTGACAATGGATCCGAGCGACAGGGCCAGCAGCAGTACGTTTTTGAGGTTTCACTGTGGGCGGGAACCTAACAAAATAAAAATAAATACTTCAGACTTTCATTTTCCTCAGATTCAAAGATATTCTTACCCTCAGAAGTGGGCCATTAAAGTTTAGGTCCATTACTTTAAGTACAGTGAAACACCTTGTGTAGCTTTGATCAAATTTCCAAGGCCTAACCAATGTCACATTCGCCATGTAACGCACCCTGCCATGCATTCCCTCAAAGGACGAAGGACATTCGGTGGGTATTTGGCACGTAAAGTTGTACACGTGAATGCCAGCCTCAATCGGTACTTGGGCTGCGTAAGTAAATATTAAATACTAGGTAGTCATTGTGCTCCAGGTAAAGCGCTGTAAGCACTCACTGCTTAGATTTGATCCCACCAGAAATGTTTTGGATGAAATGTAATCCTCACGGCCGTAGAACGAGCGACGTCGTCTCCGCCCTTGTCTGGTCACCCTTTCGGTCCATCGGGTCTCGGCGTTACCCGTCACATGCAAGGTAATGGCTGCGGAAAAAAGAAAAAACTGATAATAAAAACAAGCTTGGCAAACACATTTGATAAATATTTACACAATAAAGTACAAGGCATCAATGAACATGGACATGTTACAGACTTAAATAAAATGTAAGCTTATAAGAAATATTCCTAAATAATCATAGTAGATGATTTTTTATGACCATCCCTGGCACCCAAATAATTTATACTTACATATTATACAAACGATCAATTAATGCGAGCCCATTGATTATTTAAAAATAATTTAATCTTATCGCTGGCAAATATTTATCGGTGATATACAATTTATGTGTGCCTTTCGAACACCTATTTGTTAGCATTAGAAGTTTGCACGTGTGACCCCCTCACAGTTATAAATATTATGAATCACAGTATTCGATCTTTGCCGCAAATGCTTAAATTCACTTGAAAGTACTTGCTCCGATAAGATAAGCATGACTCATGCTCAAAGTATCGCAGAATTTTTGCAGGTAATTGCAATCACAAAGTAAAAGTCGCTCACCTTTCACCAACTTCATCTTGTCCGATTTGATGGTTACCCGTCCCGTCATCACCTGGCCCCCAAAATAAGTGCCGTGGGGATTGTTATCGAACTCGATTTCGCACGTTACCACCATACTGGTAATTGTAATTGTAACAACTAATTTATTTATTTATTGGTCCGATACACCCCTGATGGCGGTGCAAACACAACTGATTTGATTTTAATGATTATCGCCAGTTCAGGTTCCACCATTCACTCCGCAGAAAACTTTGGATAGACGGGACTTCCAAACTCTCGGGTGCGATATTACGAGGACTACATGCCCATTAGGTTTCGCTGCCGGAAACAAACTGAAAATGAAACAAACTCTGTGCTGGGTCTATATGTTCTTTTATTCGCGGCGATGGCTGGGCCAATTTTTATCTTATCGCCGACACAGCAATATAAAGTATACAAAGACCTCCCCAGCTGCCGCTAAAAAGGGGCAGTAGAACCCTGGTATAGGTTTACGCGAACCCATTGGATCCTAGAAGGATCAAAGAACAGTGCCTTAAATTTCTTGGTGCGTCTGTGAGCCTGTCTCATTTGTTTTCCTCTTTGTCTAAGCCAGATTGTTTGTCCTTCGTTTCCTGGGCTATTGTCGGGACATTAAATACGGGATATAAAGGCTTATAGGGTTTATCCGCCAAAGCTCCATCCGGTAGCTGTTTTTCCTTTGATTTGTCCGGAAGTGGTTGTAAGTGCATGGCCTCCGCATAACTGGGTGGGGCTGTAAATTAAATTTAAAATTGATTTATTTGTCATATTGGTAGCTGGGTAAATATCTTACCCATGGAACCATCCTCTGCCCAAGGATAAGCAGGAGCAGCTGGTGCACAAGCGCCCTCATTCTCCAGCAAAACCAAAGCCCTTTCATCTGGAGCCTGGGGAGCTGTTGGGGTGACTGGAAGATTTTGTGGCATTTGTGGCGTAATGGGCACGCCACAAATGGTAACCGGCATCACAAGTGTGCCATTAATGTGCATTCCCTTAACCTTTGCCACAACTTCGATCTGGTAACCAATTTTAATAATGCGACACAAGTCATAGCACGTTGGCGGAGTGGAGGGCACTAGCAACTGAAAATCATACAGTCTCCGAGAATTTCTCATCACTCCATCGGATTTCATTTTAACCACAGACCATCTCTCAGAGTTAGTGCCACTGCTTAAGTCACTGTAGTAGGTAATCATCATGGCCAGGCTGACTTTAAGCTCATGAACCTTGATTTTGCTTTCGTTACCCACTAAAACCCTCACGGGCACCACTTGGCCAGGAACAAAACCGTTCTGAGGCAGGGTTAGCTCCAAGCTCAAAGGGTCCGAACGGAAAGGCCACACACCAAAGGTCTTCTCACTCTTGGCCATCACGGGAATCTATGTAATATATATAAAAATATAAAAGTGATGTATGAAATTATGATTATAAAAATGATACATTATCAAGACAAGAAGCTATTATCATTTTATGGCAAGGCTATTAACAAAATTTAGTGCTTTTCATAAAGTGATAATTTGGCGAATGATAACTATAAACTGTCTATTTACCTTTGAAACCGACTCGTAAGTATGCAAGTTCATCACTTGAACTACAGTGAACGGTCTTGCGAAGTGACTGTCGTACTTCCAGGGCTGAACCATATTCACATCGACCGCATAACGTATACGCCCGTGGGTCCCCTCGAAAGATGAAGGGCAATGGAGAGGGATTTCGCGGGCAAAGTTAAAGGTGTAGGTACCAGGTGTCAAAGACATTTCTGAAAGGACTTCATTAACTAATTGGCTACAGGAATTTTAGGTTTTGTCTTACCGTTACTTGTGCTTGAACCCATTAAATAAACTTTGCTGGAAAGGTACTTCTCAAAGCCATTATACGACTCGGAAGTCGATTTGTTGTTGGAATCCGTTTTACTTTCCGTCCAATGGGTTTCTGCGTAACCCTTAATCTTAAGGCGAATGGCTAACCATGATATTAGGCCAATTAAATCAGGATAAAAGGTTAATCTCATAAATTGTTACCTTTTATTTGGTAAACCTTATCTGTAGATATAGTCACTTGACCAGAAATGGTTTGGCCCGCATAGAAGACTCCGTGCACGTTGTTGTGAAATAGGATTTGACAAATTATACCCATGATATCTTATTACAAGGGAAACTAGACGTTAAGTAACAATATTTCAAATAATATTTGTATCTGCGTCGGATGTTGAGGTGTTTGCGCTTTAATGGTCACAAGTTTACTGAGTAAAAAAACTAGAGCCAAGTACTTTTATGCTGCTCGACCCTTAGTTCGATTTATCTTATCTGCAATAATATTAATATAATTCCTGGTATTCTCAAATACCATAAAATGTTCTCTCTTAACTCATTAAAACATGCCACCCACTGATAACAGCTGATGGCAAAAGTTTGTGGTTCAATAAAAAAAAACCCCAGCTGATTTTTGACTCAAAGAGAGTCACTTCTTTTTTTTACTCAACTAATTAGTATTTTTTCACTCAATCTCTTGATTGCACCTGCCGGCCCGTGCTTGATTAGATAAAGTCCAACCCAAAACAAATATTGGTCATTGCACATACTCTATAGAGCTACTTTATTAGTTTCTAAGTTTATTAAAATTATAATTTTAGAGCCATGTACTTCTGTCCATATCCTCGTTAACGAAGCCACCTTCAGTCTTTACTTTGGGTCTCACAATCGATTCATCAGATTCACAAGACAAATCAAACACAGCATATAGTGGCGTAAAAGTAATTTTTTCAATAGGATTCGTAGACTCTTTTTTTGATATTTTTATTGACTTTTTCTTAGATTTTTTAGCCTTTTGCTGGACAGGAAGAATGTGTTTGGCTTCGAGAAAATGAGGAGGTGCTAGAAGGGAAGTTATTGGAAATTAAACACATATATTCCATTGTATAATATAGACTTACGTATCGAAGGATCACCTTCCCAAGGATTTGGGGGACTCTGGAGCTCCTCGGCCTGGTGGGATTCAATCAAAACCAATGCTTTGGTATCTAGTTGTTGGAGCTGGAGATCTGCCCCCCAGATCCGTGGCTCCTTTTGCAACTGACTAGTCAAGGGCACACTTCCAATGGTAACAGGTGTGTGTACTGACTGATTCGCATGGCAGCCCTTGACCCTGGCCTCCGCTTCTACTTGGTAACCAATCTGAATGATGCTGCAAAGGTTGAAGCAGGTTGGCGGTGTGGCAGGAATCTCCAGATCGAAGGTAAATTGTTGGCGACTTTTCGTGGCAACACCGTCACCTGTCTTTTCCACCATCACGAATCTATCTTTATTGGTGTCTGCACTCGGGGGCTGACTGTAGTAGATCACCACCATGGCCAGACGAACAGTAATATCCTCCACAGCAACACGACTGTCATTGGACACTATCACGTCCACCGGTACGGTCTGGCCTGGCACAAAGCCACCCTGCGGCAGGGAGAGTCGGATACTGAGTGGGGCAGACCGGCAGGGAAAACAGCAATAGGTTCGTTGCGATTCCACCTGGGTGGGCACCTAAAAATATAATGAACATTTCCTCGATGACATTAATTTTAGAATTTAAGGCCTAATTTAATAGGCACATTTTCGTGGAAACTCTCCGCAAGTCGCTTTAATAATTAAAAAGCTCAGAAACATCGATTTGTATTCAACCCACCCTGCCCAAACCTCGGAAAATTTCCATCTTCGGCACTTTAATTTTCTTTAAATATTAAACTCTCTCACCCTCAGCATCATGCTTTCGGTATTCAAATCCATCACTTTGAGTACGGTGAAGGAGCGACTGAAATTCTGATCGAATTTCCAGGGCCTCAAAAATCGTACGTTGGCCAAGTACCGGACCCGGCCGTGGGTTCCCTCGAACGAGGAGGGACAGGTGACGGGCAGCTGACAGGCAAATCTATACGTGCTTGTGCCTGGCTCGATAATCACCTCTGAAATGGAGCTTTGATTCAGCTATCTGTGAATTTATGATGATTTATCGTCTTGGAGCACTCACCAATGCTGCTGCCAGAGCCGTGGAGATAGGCCTTAGTGGCCATGTAGTCCACATGTCCGTTGAATGATTCACCACTGGACAGATCGTCCTCTTCAGCATCGAATTCAGGGTCGGTCCAGTGGGTTTCGGCATATCCTTTTATCTGCAAAATAACAGCTACGAAACAAACCAAAAGGTGTGTTGTCTATATTTAACATTTTCAAATGCACTCATAATCCAATTAGGGACCCACTCGGCAGTAAAAAAATTCCCCCTTCAATGGAGATAACCCGAATGGGGAGAAGTGAGTCACCGTCTTACCCTTAACTGGTTTTGCCTTGTCAACTTTGATAACCACCTGTCCTGAAATCAATTGGCCCGCGTAGAAAACCCCCCGGGGGTTATTGCAAAATTCAATCTCACAGATTACCATCGTTGAACGGATTGAATACGGCCGATAATCCCGGAGCTAGTGAACTTTTGGCCTGTCTGCTCAGTGTCTACCAGCAAACTGAAGTCCAACCGCTGACTCTATTTTTATTTAATTTTTTTTTTGCAGAATTATTTTACCCCACATTTTTATTTTATCTTATCAACGCGATAGGTATTTATGTATTTAAACACAAATTGGTGTCGTTTTTTCGAGGAAGTATTTACATATGTAAGTGACATCAGTACCGGTAATACAAAATTGATGGGGCTTTTTAATCAATAGGAATAAATAGAAACTCACCCAAGGTTGAGATAACAGTTTAAAAAATAGTTACTACGAATATTTACAAGAGGGTGTCTTGTCATGTTGCTACTGAATTTATTTGTTTGGCGAATGTATATTTCACTCAATTGTGTTGCCAACTTTGTAGGGGCTTTGCACTCGCTCAGAACAAAAAACATTGCAGTGGGTTTTGTAGAGAGAATTAGGGCGATAAGATAAACACGGCCAACGGCGAATAGGCCCAGTTAACAAGACAGATAAATTTTAGTTCAATTTCAGCAACGAGTGCGTGCGGACCGCTCGCAGAAGTAATATTAATTCTGGAGGAGGATCGACTAGGAGCACTGGATCGCCGTCATGTCGAAGAACTGCATGATAACATTCGACCAGAATGAGCACGGCACCTATTTCACGGGCCAGGTGATAACCGGGAAGGTGATCGTCAATCTGAACAAGTCCAAGAAACTACGCGGTACGTAGGACCAACTATGATCTAGTACTATTTTACATTAAACTGTACATAGTATATGGGGGTTATCTAGGCCCCTACTTATCTTATCTCATCGGATAATGTCGAGTTTGCCAAAAGCAAAAGTTTCAACAAACCATTCAAATGGGTAATTTAATGATAACCATGCGGACACTCCAAAAATGCGATAATTGATGATGGAGCCCCAGGCGTGTGGATAGTATTTGTTTTTTTCTGTCTGTTCGGTGGTTTTTTTTTAGATTGGAGGAAGTGCCTGAGGTAGTTAGTCATCCTGTCGGTTAGGTGTTTTGTTTTCCCAAAACCAAAAGCCCGGCTGGATTTATTACCTTTTAAAATATAAAACAAACAATGGAGAAAAATCTCTGGCTTTTCACGTTATGATATTTTTATATAAATGTACATAATTCACTCCTCCCAAACATTCGTTTCTATATGTTTATTATATAAATAAACTGAGTCCATTGTGTACATTTTGTCGCCCGAAAATTTGTCGAATAAAGCAAATTGTTTACTCCCTGTGGTCTCCCTTTAACGCTCAAACTTGGACAAAAAACATTGCAAAAATGTGTGCCCTCAAAAAAGATAAAAAATATATGCAAATTTTTTTATTACATCAACAGGAATAAAACTACAAATAAGTGGATATGCCCAGGCCCACTGGCGGGTCCGCAGACATGGAAGCCCCGTGGCCATTCAAAACCCCAAGAAACGCTTTAAGCGCTTATACAGCGGACGGGAGGACTACATAGCCTCCACCACGTTTCTCATAGGCTCGGAGCAGAGCAGCACTTTCAACATGGAAGCCGGCACTTATACCTACTCGTTTGCCTGCCCCATACCCAGCCACTGTCCTTCGTCCTTTGAGGGTGCTTTCGGCCACATCCGGTACCTCGCCAAGGTGACTTTCCTCAAGGCCGGCGCTTCCAATCGCACCCACAACGTTGGCTTCACTGTGTTGAAACTTTTAGACCTGAATCAGGAAAGCAAGATGCTCCGGGAACCGTCCAGCAACGAGACCGTGGAGTACTTCTGTCTAATGCATACGAAGCCTGTCAACCTAAAGGTCACCTTGCAGCAGCAGGGCTATGTCCCCGGCCAGTTTATGCTAGTCCACGCCCAAGTTGAAAACAATTCCAGCTCGGACTGCAGGAAACTGCTAATCATGCTCCACCTGAGGGCCACATACACAGCGGATACGCCGTCACTGCGCACCTGTTCCGAGAAGATAATGCTGGTAAAAAGGGAATGCGGGGCAGTGCCCCATCATGGCCAGAAGACGTACACGGAGACCCTAAGGATCCCGGCCACGGCGCCCACCTGCGAGCACCTGTCCAAGGTAGTGCGGGTGTCGTACGAAGTGCGCGTTGTGGCCGTAATGAACTGGCTGATGGCCAATCCACGGGTGGTACTACCCGTGACCATCGGCAATGTGCCACTGGCCACGGCGGTGTCGGGACCGGATTTCCTTCCTGTCAACGCCAATTCCTACGCCACCAGCAGTCCACTGCCGGCCGATCTGCCTTGCACCTCCACGAGGGCCATGGAACTGGCTCAGATGGCGGCCACTGGTGGGGTGACCAACTCCGGCTACGAAATCTCCGATGATCTCGAGGACTTTGAGCTGCCCGAGGACGGGGACGATGAGCTGGAGACTGCTGATGAATTCGTCCCAGAGCTTCGTAAGTAAAACTTTACTACTTCAAGTTTATATTCTTTTCACATATCTTGTTGTGTTCCGCAGCTCCTCCCACCTACGAACAAGCCATGTTCATGACCACGGACATTGCGGACACGGATGCCAACACCGTGAGCGAGACGTCCCACTTTACGCCCCGCTACCCCGTCTTCGACGTGGACACCTTCCAGAGTCCGCCACCAAATCCGCCGCAGAAAAAGCGCCGCCGACGCCGGAGACGACCCGCCGATCCCGGGCAGCAGAAACCCCGCCCGGAGAAGCAACCGGCGGACAATCAGTTCGTGGAGTCGCCCGTGCAGATTTAAAAATGTGTTATCACAGAGAATCACGACTCTATAGTATCTTATCTCGGCAGTATTTATTTCTTTTTCGGTTCGCCAGAGTACTAACCAACTTTTAATATACACATGCATACAGATTGGTAAATAAACAAACAGCCTTATAAAAATGTCTTGTGGGTGATATGCGATAAATTGCGATAATACCCAAGACAGTCAAAGTCGAGCAAAATGTTTTCTTTATCAAATTTTTTACGCTGTTAGTATAATTATGTGAAAACGTTCTCGCTTTTGCAGAATTCGAAATTGTTAGAGAATTATATTTGCAAAAACATCTCCCAATTTTTGTACACAAATTAATTCAGTTTCCAGACAAAGATGTCTTGCTCAACGAGCTCATATCTTTTTATGGAGTATTTCTTATCAAGAAACTATTTCCTTTAATTTAATAGAACTCAAGCCCTAGGGGAAATGAAATTCAATGGAATAACAAAGACAAAGAAAAATCTACGTCATTTATTGTAATGACGAATGTCTAAGGTTTTGTTAAGTTATTTTTATATATGGTAATCTAAAGCGAATGTTAAAGAACTTTCATTTAGTTTTAAATTCAAAGACGCATAAAAGTATGCATCATTTATTAAAAATTATCAAGGAGGTGTACCGGGTATCATGTGTAAATATTTGTATAACCGCTCCTTTCATCCTCCTAATTAAAGTCCCAGAACTTTTTATATTTCTATAGCCAGTTAACATCCTCCGCTTAAAGTTTTTGCGTATCATGGAAATGTTGTAAAAACAAAACCAATTTATTATTAAGCGGTCTGCATATTTTTTTCGCCATGGTTTCCATAATTTTTGGTCTAGATTAGTTTTTCCCTAGTGATTAGTTCCACGAACATTCAAACAAATGAAATTACCACCACGCGCGAATGAGTTTGTTTCGCTTCCCTAAAACACATAAACACCCAAACAAACATTGCCCTTGAGTGGCAATTTATTGTGCCTCCCAAATTATGTTGGGAACACAAACAAAAACAAAAAGATACCCCAAAGATATTTATTTATGGGTATCTAGATACATATATATGTATTTATATGTATCTTGGAAATTTCAAAGCCATACATATTTCATTTATTGGGTTAGGCGCCGGTTAAATCGATTTCGGTTGAGTTGGTATAAATTAGTTTCTATCCTACTGTTGCTTCATCAAATTTGTAACCGGAGAATGTCTTTTGTATTCCGAAACTGCCTTACTGCAGCATATATTAATAAATTATCCTTCTTTATCCCTTTTTTTGCAGAGATTTATAGACACATTGGGAGCTGAGAATTTCTCCAAATGGACAGAATGACCATTTTACAGGCCACATATGGTCGAAAGAAAAACTCCGTAGAAAATGTCTGACCACACGGAATGCACATTAAGGCCTACTGACCTACTTTTTCGGAGATATTAGGATCTGTGGAAGTTCAAATAAATGTTTCAAAACTTTATACAAACTTTTAAAAGAGATCTTTGAAATCCTTCCTGTTGGAATTTTAGAGTGGAATTTGAATTAAATTACAATTTATTCTCCAACTTTGATTTGTTTACAAAATAAAGAATATCTGTGGCAAAACAAAAACTTTAGTAGCAGAGTGTTTTATAAGAGAAAACTAAAAGCACTCTCTTGGATTTTCCCAACAGAACCCCTGCCCTCAGATACTTTTGTAAAAGTGATGATGTCATATCAGATCAACCACTATAAGGGGACAGTGCAACAGCCCTATAAAATATTCTCATTTGGAATTCGGAAGTTGTAAAAGGCACTTCAACCCATAACTGATTAAATGCAAACTAACCCTCAACTGACAAAAAAAAATATGTTGAAATTTTTAAGCTTTTCGAAACCAAAATATTTAAAATTAATGTAATATCAATAACTTAAAAAATAGTAAAGTTAAAATGGAGCTTAAAAATTTTTAATTAAAATATAATTTAAAAAAGTTGATAAGGATGTTTAAATCTTTATTTCATGTTTCTTTTATAAGAGATCCCAAAAAGCTCTCTCTTTCTCTAGCCCCACCAAAGATTCTCCACTGCTTATTGGAGTCGCGATGTCGCATTCTCTCATCTACTCTGAAAATCTCCCAGAACCACTATTTCATTGAGGTCTTTTGTTAAAGCTTTCATTTTAATTTCATTCCTCCTCGGATTCGGATCACATTTTTAGTATAGATTGTTTTGAGTACTACTTACATTTTAAGTTAAGCCACCTCTTAAAAAAATAAAACTCTAGTCACTAAGTACTAGAGGTATAAAATGCCATCCACGTGTGTTTTTGAGTTTGATCGCCGAGAGCCGATTTATTACAGTGGTGAGACTATCAATGGAAGAGCCATTCTCACTACAACATCCAGAAAATCTGTTAATGGTAAGAATTCCATTATGAAACTATTATTCTTATCGCAAGAACTTAATGATAATCCCATATGGAAGTACTATATTGTAAAAAATTTAAAAATATTGAATTTACTGAGAATACGCCCTGTGTACACTGTACATGGGGAAAATATTCCACTGAAAGAAACGTGCCGTCATGCTTTGATGAACATACAAGTTGGCAAGAATTACGAAACCAACATAATTCTAAGCTATATTGCTCTCTTAGCCTTAGGTAAAAATGGTAAATTTATTGTGACGAAGCCACTTGTAGCTTACAAAGCTTATAAAGCAACAAGTATTTCTTACAGTGGTTAGGAGTATCAATTTTTATAGACCTTGAACTTGTGTTGTTTACAGCTTTATCAAATATTTTAAGTTTATTAAAATCATTGTGAAAATCAGCAATCAATGAATTATTTAGTGTGTTGGCAATGTATGTAAAATTATAAATAGCTTGTGAGAGTAAAATATGTATAAATAGGCTTTGTAGTCTTTTTTCAAACTATGTATAAGTTTTTGTCCATTTCTGAAAATATATATTCGTGTTTTGTATGTTTTTTCAGAAATTTACATCCATTTCGAGGGCGAGGCTAAGGTGCGATGGACTGAGCAGAGAACTAGCAGATCCAATGGTAAAACTGAAAACCGTACAGACTGTTTCCGTGGCAAAGAAACCTACCTGGATACCCAAACGAATGTCTTCGGATCAGGAGAACTGGCTGCTGGCAGATATACATATACGTTCTGTATTCCTTTGCCACTAGGGTGCCCTTCTTCGGTGGTCGGAAAATATGGAAAGATATCGTATGAAATCTCAGTCGTAATAGATCGACAGTGGCGCTTCAACAATATTTTTAAACAGCCACTGACGGTTCTACAAACTTATAATCTAAATATGAGTCCTCAGCTTTTGGTTTGTAATGATTAATTATTTACAACTTATTTTATTTTAATTTTTGAATTATTCTGCAGATGCCCTTGGTTCACGAGGACGTCAAACACTTTTGCTGCTGGCCCTGCCGCTCCGGACCTGTATTGTCCACTCTCACAGTACCCTTTGGTGGCTATGCTCCTGGCCAAAAGATCCACTATACCTTGGAAATCGATAATCAATCTGCCGGTAATGATCTGAGTGGCATTGAAGTTTGTTTAAAACAGAGATACAAGTTTCACGCTCAACACCCGCATCATAAGACCCGCGAAATAGAAAACATTCTGCACAGGGGTTCGGTGGAAGAACGGGTGTTGCGGCTCTCTAAGAGGATAATCGATGGTACCTTACAGATTCCATCAGTGCCACCATCGTCCCGAAATGACGGAATCATTTCAGTGGACTACCGCATCATTCTAACCATCAAGATGGGCGATTGCGCAATGAACACGAATTTCCATATTCCGCTTGTCATTGGAACCATTCCCCTAATCCAAAGTGCGGAAAATCCTAGCAGCGCAGCGGAATGGATACCAGAGACCCCGGACACTCCTCCTGATGCTGCTGCGGATTTGCCACCCAGTTATGACAATTGCAGTGAGTACTATAAACTGTGTAAAAAGATATGTATATATTTATTATATTACCTTTTATAACTCGTTCAGAACCACCTCCCTTTGAGGAGGCAACTAGATTTGGAGACCATTTCATAGATATCGATGCCGATGACCACAACCGAACGGATGACTTTGTACCCCGTTATCCGATGTATACAAATTTTGCCCAGCCTTCGGCGCCCCCACCGCCAGAGGATATTGAAGATGTGTCTCTAACGAACTCGGTTCCAGTTCTTTCGCTGCCGCCTTCTTCAACTGCACCATCTAGTCCCCAGAATGCAAATGAAAATACAACAAACTATGGCTGGAATACTTAGAGAAAGTATAAACTCACTTTCTAATTTTCAACCCAATTGTGATTAAATCGAATAACCTAAGAACCAATTTACTCTAATTGTTTCCGTTTCTTTATCTATTGATATTACTTTTATTTAGCTTTTTTAAGAACAAATTGTTAAGCGTATTATATTTATAGTACTTATGTCACGGATACAACGTTAAAAAAGTACCCACTTGCATTTTTTTTGTTATGTTGATAACTTTTTTAAGAGCGGCATATAAAAATAATTTGTATCATCTCAAATTAAGTGTTAAAGTATACTCCAAAATATTGATCAACAAATGTGGATTATTGATCAAACAAAAAATAGATCATTTGGTTAAATTGCTTAGAATTTTTCTTACAAATTTGTATACATAACCCACTAGATTTTTATGATATAAACATGTTACATCTCCGTGATATCATGGAGAAAAATTATATAATATATAGTTGTACTTCTATAAAATTTAAATATACATATATGTATATCTGTAATTTGTAATTTAAAAGCTTTTTGTGATTTTATAAAGTTACTAAAGATACAATAATTATTCCAAAGATAAACGTTCCTTACTTGAATTCTGGGACAACTGGGGGAAATTTCAGAAAAAATATCTTTAATCTTTATCTTTCTAGATAAAAAATCTAGGAACTTTTACTATCTTACTGAGTAAATTATCCGAAAATTTTGTATTTTAATGTAATATTAATATCTTTAAAATGAGTACAACCACAAATTTTCAATAAATACAAATAACTAAAGTAAAAATTGAGCTATAATAAAATATAGTTTAAAAAAATTTGATAAAGATTTTTAAATCTTTATTTTATTTTTCTTTTATAAGAGTTCCCAAAAAGCTCTCTCTTTCTCTAGGCCCACCAAATATTCTCCACTGCTTATTGGAGTCGCAATGTCGCATTCTCTCATCTTCTCTGAAAATCTCCCAGAACCACTATTTCATTAAGGTCTTTTCTTAAAGCTTTCATTTTAATTTCATACCTCCACGGACTCGGAGCACATTATTAGTATAGATTGTTTTGAAAAAAATTTACATTTTAAGTTCAACAACCTCTTCAAAAAAATAAAAATCTAGTCACTGAGTACTAGAGGTATAAAATGCCATCCACGTGTTTTTTTGAGTTTGATCGCCGAGGGCCGATTTATTACAGTGGTGAGACTATCAAAGGAAGAGTCATTCTCACCACAACATCCAGAAAATCTGTTAATGGTAAGAATTCAACAATAACCTATTATTCTTAACGCAAGAACTTAATGATAATCCCATACGGATGTATTGCAAAATATTTAAAAATTTTGAATGTACTGATCATATGCCCTGTGTGCAGTGGCCCTGTGGAAAATATTCCAATGAACGAAACGTGCTGTCACGCTTTGATGAATATAAAAGTTGGCTAAAATTACGAAACCAACATAATTCTTATCTTTAATGCTCTCTTACCCTTAAGTAACAAAAATTTACCGGGTCGAAGCCATTTGTAGCTTTCAAAGCTTATAAAGCAACAAGTATTCCCTACAGTGGTTAAGAGTATCGATTTTTATAGACCTTGAACTTGTGTTTTTTACAGCTTTATCAAAAGTTTTAAGATTATTAAAATTAGAAATAGCTTGTGAGAGTAAAATATGTATAAATAGCCTTTATAGTCTTTTTCCAAACTATAGGTTTGTGGCCATTTCTGAAAATATATATTTGTTGTGTTTTTTCAGAAATTTACATCCATTTCGAGGGTGAGGCTAAGGTGCGATGGACTGAGCAGAGAACTAGAACATTCAATATGGTAACCAAAACCCGCACAGACCGTTTCCGGGGCAAAGAAACCTACCTGGATACCCAAACGAATGTCTTTGGATCAGGAGAACTGCCTGCTGGCACATATATCTATAAATTCTGTGTTCCTTTGCCACTTTGGTGCCCCTCTTCGGTGGTCGGAAAATATGGAAAGATATCATATGAAATCTCACTGGTTATAGATCGCCAGTCGAGCTTCAACAACATTTTCAAACAGCCACTGACGGTGCTCCAAACTTATAATCTAAATATGAGTCCTCTCCTTATGGTTTGTAATAGTTACATTTTTTAAATTCATTGTATATTAATTTATGAATTATACCGCAGATGCCCTTAGTTCACGAGGACGTCAAACACTTTTGCTGCTGGCCCTGCAGCTCGGGTCCTGTATTTTCCACTCTCACAGTACCCTTTGGTGGCTATGCTCCTGGCCAAAGGATCCACTTTACCTTGGAGATCGTTAATCAATCTGCCCGTAATGATCTGAGTGGCATTGAAGTTTGTTTGAAACAGAGATACAAGTTATGCGCTCAACACCCGCATTATAAGACCCACGAAATAGAAAACATTCTGCACAGGGGTTCGGTGGAAGAAAGGGTGTTGCGACTCTCTCAAACGATAATCCATGGCACCTTACAAATTCCATCTGTGCCGCCATCGTCCCGGAATGATGGAATTATTTCAGTGGACTACCGCATCATTCTAACCATCAATATGGGCAATTTCGCAAAGAACACGAATTTCAATATTCCGATCGTCATTGGAACCATTCCCTTAATCCAAAGTGCGGAAAATCCTAGCAGAGCAGCGGAATGGATACCAGAGACCCCGGACACTCCGCCTGATTCTGCTGCGGATTTGCCACCCAGTTATGACAATTGCAGTGAGTACTATATACAATGTAAAAGGATATATTTTTAGTCTTGTACCTTTTATAAATCCTTCAGAACCACCTCCCTTCGAGGAGGCAACTAGATTTGGAGACCATTTCATAGACATCGATGCCGATGAGCACAACCGGACGGATGACTTTTTACCACGTTATCCGATGTACACAGATTTTGCCCAGCCTTCGGCGCCCCCACCGCCAGAGGAAAATGAAGATGTGTCTTTAATGAACTCGGTTCCAGTTCTTTCGCTGCCGCCTTCATCAACGGCACCATCTAGGCCCCCGAATGCAAATGAAAATACAACAAACTATGGCTGGAATACTTAGGGAAAAGTAAAGGCTCACTTTCTAATTTTCAACCGAATTGTGATTAATTGTGAACCAATTTACTACAATTTACGAATTGTGCTAATTTACTATAATTGTTTTCGTTTCTTCTCCTATTGATATTACTTTGAGCTTTAGAAAAAAACAAGAAAGGAAAGCTAACTTCGGGCGGAGCCGAAGTTGATTTACCCTTGCGCAACATCGGATATACATAGTTGGCCGATCATTATGAGAATATCAATATAAAACCAAATATATAGTCGGCTGATCCTTATTAAATTTGGCATGTCGTATTATTTTGCCAAAAAGAGCTCTCGTGTTAAATAAACTTTGAATTCTCTAACTATAGAATATAGTCGGCCGATCCCGGTGGTTCCGACTTATATACTGCGTGCAAAGGAAACAAGGGTGTGTGCAAAGTTTCAAGTAGATAGCTATAAAACTGAGAGACTCGTTTGCGTAGAAACAGACAGACGGATAGAACGGACATGCACATATCAACTCAGGAGGTGATCCTGCTCAAGAATTTATATACTTTATAGGGTCGGAGATGTTTCCTTCACTGCGTTGCACACTTTTGGACAAAAATTATAATACCCTCTGCAAGGATATACAAATTATTAAGCGCATTATATTTATGATACTTATGTCACTGATAAAACGTTCAAAATGTACACACTTGCATCTTTTTTATTATCTTGATATTATTGTTAAGACCTGGATACAAAAATTATTGTTATTATTTTTAACTTTAAGTCTTAAAGTACAAAATATTGATCAACAAATAGGATCATAACAAACAAAAAAAAAAATCATTTATTTAAATTGCTTTGAATTTAAAATTATTATATATAAGCCACAAGTTTTTTATGGTATAAACATTTTAAATCTTCGTGATATAATCACGAGAAAAAAGTATATAATATAAAGTTGTACTTCTATAAAATTTAAATATATATAAAAATATATATATATATTTATTTAAAAGCTTGTTGTGATAAATAAAGTTACCAAAGATACATCAATTATTTCAAAGATAGTTTACTTGAATTCTGGGACAACTGCCGGAAATTAAAGACACAATATCTTGTAGCTTTACTGCTATATTTCTAGATTAAATATCTAGTCTACTTACTTACTGAGTAAATTATCAAAACGCTTTATATTTTTTTCTTTTTATTAAATTTTATTTAAAGTTTGTTTTGATTACATGCCAACTGATAAACTTTTTGTTTACAAACAAAAGAACCATGCTACCTACCAGCTGCAATACAATTTTTATTTATTGAATACCTAAAGCTCTCTCTCTGAAATTTTGGGTTTCTCTTCCGCAGATATCAAAAACTCTCGTTGCATAGAAGTGATGATGTCACATTCTCTTCAACAAGTCTCCCAGTCCGCCGATTTAGCCGGTACCTCAAAAATAAGTTGCCATTCCAAATGCGTAACTTGAACATAAAACACTGGATTCGGTTCGCTTGCAGCTAAATTATAATTAAATATATATAAGATAGCATTTTTAATTGGTTCAAATTTTAAAAATTCATCGATGACATCGACGTGCAGCTTCGAATTTGATCGCCCAGATGAGGTATATTATAGCGGAGAGATAGTTCGAGGACGAGCTCTTCTTGATGTATCATCTAATAGAACTGTAAAAGGTAAAGTTTACAATCAAAGACACCAGGACAAACTCTACTTGAATTTTAAGTCCTACGCTTTCATCTCCAACAATGCCAAGGTTATCTTAAGCTTTTTTTTGTTATTTTTTGGCAATCAAACAAAAAAGTCAAAACAAACCAAAACAAACTAAAAAGCTTTACCAAAAGTACGTATAACCTCCGGCGTACATATGTATATATTTTTTCGCTTAGAAATGCAAAAGAGAGTAAAAATTGTTTGTTTGTAAATAGTTTAGCCACAAGTTGGTAGGAGTTCCTGGCCGTTTTTATTCTTTTCCTTTTTCAACATAAACACACTACAAAATGAGCAACATAGGCAAATATTCAAATTTTTTGTGGATTACCATTTAAGCTATGAAGTTGGTGGGGGCTTCCTGTGAAAAAATAAATTGTCGGAAAATGTTTGGTTGCTTATTACATATTCAAAGCCATAAATGACAAATAATTTAATACTCTTCCACCGCAGGCGTGTACATAGTCCTCGAGGGCGAAGCAAAAGTACGATGGAATAAAAATAAGAACAAAAATTCACAGGATTTTCATCAGGGCTTGCATTTCAAAGGAAATCAGACTTACTTGAGCCACAAAACAAGTGTCTTTGGATCGGGAGAGTTGACCACTGGAACACATACCTACGAATTTAGTATTCCCTTGCCTTTAGAATGCCCATCTTCATTGGTTATGGAATACGGCAAGATATCTTATGTGATATCGGTGGTTATCGATCGTGAGGACCCTTTCAACAACCTTTTTCAATACCCGTTGACGATCCTGCAAAACTACAATCTTAATATGAGCCCAGAGCTGATGGTGACCCAATCTGATAAAGTTTTAAGTTTTTATAATAATTTAACCATTTTATAGACACCCTTAGTTCATGAGGACATGAAACACTTTTGTTGTTGGTTCTGCCGTTCCGCGCCAGTTCTGTACACTTTTATAATACCCTACGGGGGCTATGCTCCTGGCCAGAAGATTCAATACATCATGAAGATTAATAACCAGTCGACTTACGATGTGTATGGTTTTGAAGTTAACCTTAGACAGAAAACTAAATTCCAATCTCAAGTACCCCAAAAAAAGGAACGGGTGTTGGAAAATAACGTAAGTCACAGCCTCCAAAAGGAGTCGGTGCTACGTCTGTCTAGGAAGGTATTCACCGGACTTCTGGACATCCCATCAGTGCCACCTTCTTCCCGCAATGAAGGTATCATTTCGGTGCGGTATTTTGTGTCGGGATACATTGATATGGGGGAGTGCCACATGGATGCGGAGTTTGAAATTCCCATAGTAATTGGCACAAGTCCTTTTCCCCAAAGGGAAGAAGATATCTCGATTTCGCAGCTCTTTGAAACTGAAAATTCGGGTACGCCAAATAGTGTTTCTTCCGATCAGCCACCAAACTATGATAAATGCAGTAAGTTTATTTTTATTCCGATTTGCATGAGGTTACTAATATTTTTCAAAATGTATCCACCAGAACCACCAAACTACGAAGAGGCAACCCAGTTTGGAAGACATTTCATCGACACCGATGTGGATGATCAAAACCGTAGGGATGACTTTCTACCTCGATATCCGATGTTTCTGCCCACGGCTCCTCCACCGCCTCCGGAGGACGAGATATTATCTTTATTGCAGCCTGATGCCGATCGTCCAAGGGATGGTGGAAGCTTGGAAGCTTCCAATGATACGGCAAAACCCTACGGATGGTCTGTTTCATCATGAAGTAATGACATTAAATTTAATCAAACTACCTCCACCTCGAACTACCTCAATAAACGTAGAGGTTGATAAAAAACTTAAATATATTGAACTTTGAATGCTGAATAAAATGCATAGTAGAAATTTAAATCAAGAAGGGAAACCTAACTTTTGGGCGGCACACCCTTTCAGTTAAAATTGGATATATATCGCACACGTCGGATATAGTTGGCCGATCCTTTTGAAAATATCATAATAAAACCAATTTATTATTTATAATCTCAAGCTTTCATCTTCATAAATACCAATGTTGGTATTTTTACCAAATACGAAATAACACTTCCAATCCTTTAGTTACAGGATTCATCAACTCATCATCCATTTTTCTGATGGGATCCTTTGAAAATAGCGTTTTCCTTATATGGCCCACAGTGATGGCTATATCTTCCCCAATTCTCACCCGATTATCAAGCGGAGTACCTTTAACGATTTCTGGATCGATTCGCCACCATTCTGCATCAAAATCCTGAGACAAAATGTTTTTTAGATTTTTTGTCAATTTTTCGTCATAGGATCCCTTGAAAATGGTCTTTACCCTATATGGCCCACAGTGATTGCTATATATACCCCAAATCTCATCCGATTCTCAAGCGGAGTATCTTAAACGATTTCTGGATTGAGTCACCACCATTCTGCATCAAACTCCTGAGACAAAATGTTTTTTAGATTTTTTGTCCATTTTTCGTCATGGAATCCCTTGAAAATGGGGTTTACCCTATATGGCTCACAGTGATGGCTATATCTTCCCCAATTCTCATCCGATTCTCAGCGGAGTACCTTAAACCATTTCTGGATCGAGTCACCACCATTCTGCATCAAAATCCTGAGAAAAAATATTTTTTAGATTTTTTGTCTATTTTACTGATGGGATCTCATGAAAATAGCGTTTTCCCCTATAGGCAGTGACGGATTTAAGGAAAAAGGCCCAGTGGGCAAAATTTTTTTAGGGTACATTGAAGGGTATCTTGAAGGGTACAGCCCAGAAAATTTGACAAAAAATCTTAAAAATATTTTGTTCCCAGATTTTGATGCAGATTTGTGGAGAATCGATCCACAAATCGTTTAAGGTATTCCGTTCAAGAATCGGATGAATATTTCCTAAGATATGGCCTTCGCAGTGGGTCATACGGTGCTCCCCATGCATTTTGCACATTTTGAAGGGGACAGCCCAGAAAATTTGACAAAAAATCTTAAAAATATTTTGTTCCCAGATATTGATGCAGTTTTATGGAGAATCGATCCACAAATCGTTTAAGGTATTCCGTTCAAGAATCGGATGAATATTTCCTAAGATATGGCCTACGCAGTGGGTCATATGGGGCTCCCCATGCATTTTGCACATTTTGAAGGGGACAGCCCAGAAAATTTGACAAAAAATCTTAAAAATATTTTGTTCCCAGATTTTGATGCAGTTTTATGGAGAATCGACCCACAAATCGTTTAAGGTATTCCGTTCAAGAATCGGATGAATATTTCCTAAGATATGGCCTTCGCAGTGGGTCATATGGGGCTCCCCATGCATTTGGCACATTTTGAAGGGGACAGCCCAGAAAATTTGACAAAAAATCTTAAAAATATTTTGTTCCCAGATTTTGATGCAGATTTGTGGAGAATCGATCCACAAATCGTTAAAGGTATTCCGTTCAAGAATCGGATGAATATTTCCCAAGATATGGCCTACGCAGTGGGTCATATGGGGCTCCCCATGCATTTTGCACATTTTGAAGGGGACATCCCAGAAAATTTGACAAAAAATCTTAAAAATATTTTGTTCCCAGATTTTGATGCAGATTTATGGAGAATCGATCCACAAATCGTTTAAGGTATTCCGTTCAAGAATCGGATGAATATTTCCCAAGATATGGCCTACGCAGTGGGTCATATGGGGCTCCCCATGCATTTTGCACATTTTGAAGGGGACAGCCCAGAAAATTTGACAAAATATCTTAAAAATATTTTGTTCCCAGATTTTGATGCAGATTTATGGAGAATCGATCCACAAATCGTTTAAGGTATTCCGTTCAAGAATCGGATGAATATTTCCCAAGATATGGCCTACGCAGTGGGTCATATGGGGCTCCCCATGCATTTTGCACATTTTGAAGGGGACAGCCCAGAAAATTTGACAAAAAATCTTAAAAATATTTTGTTCCCAGATTTTGATGCAGATTTATGAAGAATCGATCCACAAATCGTTTAAGGTATTCCGTTCAAGAATCGGATGAATATTTCCTAAGATATGGCCTTCGCAGTGGGTCATACGGTGCTCCCCATGCATTTTGCACATTTTGAAGGGGACAGCCCAGAAAATTTGACAAAAAATCTTAAAAATATTTTGTTCCCAGATATTGATGCAGTTTAATGGAGAATCGATCCACAAATCGTTTAAGGTATTCCGTTCAAGAATCGGATGAATATTTCCTAAGATATGGCCTTCGCAGTGGGTCATACGGTGCTCCCCATGCATTTTGCACATTTTGAAGGGGACAGCCCAGAAAATTTGACAAAAAATCTTAAAAATATTTTGTTCCCAGATTTTGATGCAGATTTATGGAGAATCGATCCACAAATCGTTTAAGGTATTCCGTTCAAGAATCGGATGAATATTTCCCAAGATATGGCCTACGCAGTGGGTCATATGGGGCTCCCCATGCATTTTGCACATTTTGAAGGGGACATCCCAGAAAATTTGACAAAAAATCTTAAAAATATTTTGTTCCCAGATTTTGATGCAGATTTGTGGAAAAGAAATCGAAGGTGTAACTTTCAGCACGAGGGGCCCGGAAAGCCTTTCGTCGGGGGGGGACCCAGTGGGCAAGCGCGCCTTTGCCCACCTGTTAAATCCGCCACTGCCTATAGGGTCCACAGTGATGGCTATATCTTCCCCAATTCTCATCCGATTCTCAAGCGGAATTCCTTTAACGATTTCTGGATCGATTCGCCACCATTCTGCATCAAAATCCTGAAACAAAATGTTTTTTTTGTCCATTTTTCGTGATGGGATCCCTTGAAAATAGGGTTTACCCTATCGGATGCAATTTGACACAGTGGCGACACCAACGAGGATGACCCCGATCCGGAACCCGATCAGAAGGCTTGGCCTGGAAGAGCCACAGGCCCAGGAGGAGCTCCCCATCCTCTCGAGAAGGATGCACTGGATCTGGAGGAAGAGGCACCAAGCTTCTTGGAGGATCCAGAACTGGAGGAAGGAGTTTCTGGGGAATAGACTGGAGCAACTAGCTCACCCGAACCTTGGCCTTGATCTGGAAGAGGTGCATCTTAATGCCACGTCATCCCATCGGATTAAAATTTAAAATTTAATTTTATTATTAATTTAATATTATTAATTATTTAATTTAAAAAAACAGCCCCCTCCTCCTCGATTCTCATAGGTGGCACTTAAGCGGCGCCAAAAAGCGCCAAAAATTAGTTTGACTTTGCCGGCTTTTAAAAGCCGGCGGACCAGGAGGCTTGGCGTGGAGGTGCCACAGGCCCAGGAGGAGCTGCCCCATCCTCTCGAGAAGGATGCACTGGATCTGGAGGAAGAGGCACCAAGCTTCTTGGAGGATCCAGAACTGGAGGAAGGAGTTTCTGGGGACTAGAGTGGAGCAACTGGCTCACCCGAACCTTGGCCCTGATCTGCAAGAGGGCATCTTACAACCACGTCATCTCATCGGATGCATTTCGACCCAGTGGCGACACCAACGAGGATGACCCCGATCCGGAACCCGATCAGGAGGCTTGGCCTGGAAGTGCCACAGGCCCAGGAGGAGCTCCCCATCCTCTCGAGAAGGATGCACTGGATCTGGAGGAAGAGGCACCAAGCTTCTTGGAGGATCCAGAACTGGAGGAAGGAGTTTCTGGGGACTAGAGTGGAGCAACTGGCTCACCCGAGCCTTGGCCCTGATCTGCAAGAGGGCATCTTACAACCACGTCATCTCATCGGATGCATTTCGACCCAGTGGCGACACAAACGAGGATGACCCCGATCCGGAACCCGATCAGGAGGCTTGGCCTGGAAGTGCCACTGGCCCAGGAGGAGCTCTCCATCCTCTCGAGAAGGATGCACTGGATCTGGAGCAAGAGGCACCAAGCTTCTTGGAGGATCCAGAACTTGAGGAAGGAGTTTCTGGGGACTAGACTGGAGCAACTAGCTCGCCCGAACCTTGGCCTTGATCTGGAAGAGGTGCATCTTAATGCCACGTCATCCCATCGGATTAAAATTTAAAATTTAATTTTATTATTAATTTAATATTATTAATTATTTAATTTAAAAAAACAGCCCCCTCCTCCTCGATTCTCATAGGTGGCACTTAAGCGCCGCCAAAAAGCGCCAAAAATTAGTTCGACTTTGCCGGCTTTTAAAAGCCGGCGGACCAGGAGGCTTGGCGTGGAGGTGCCACAGGCCCAGGAGGAGCTGCCCCATCCTCTCGAGAAGGATGCACTGGATCTGGAGGAAGAGGCACCAAGCTTCTTGGAGGATCCAGAACTGGAGGAAGGAGTTTCTGGGGACTAGAGTGGAGCAACTGGCTCACTCGAACCTTGGCCGTGATCTGCAAGAGGGCATCTTACAACCACGTCATCTCATCGGATGCATTTCGACCCAGTGGCGACACCAACGAGGATGACCCCGATCAGGAGGCTTGGCCTGGAAGTGCCACAGGCCCAGGAGGAGCTCCCCATCCTCTCGAGAAGGATGCACTGGATCTGGACGAAGAGGCACCAAGCTTCTTGGAGGATCCAGAACTGGAGGAAGGAGTTTCTGGGGACTAGAGTGGAGCAACTGGCTCACCCGAACCTTGGCCCTGATCTGCAAGAGGGCATCTTACAACCACGTCATCTCATGGGATGCATTTCGACCCAGTGGCGACACCAACGAGGATGACCCCGATCCGGGACCCGATCAGGAGGCTTGGCCTGGAAGTGCCACAGGCCCAGGAGGAGCTCCCCATCCTCTCGAGAAGGATGCACTGGATCTGGACGAAGAGGCACCAAGCTTCTTGGAGGATCCAGAACTGGAGGAAGGAGTTTCTGGGGACTAGAGTGGAGCAACTGGCTCACCCGAACCTTGGCCCTGATCTGCAAGAGGGCATCTTACAACCACGTCATCTCATCGGATGCATTTCGACCCAGTGGCGACACCAACGAGGATGACCCCGATCCGGAACCCGATCAGGAGGCTTGGCCTGGAAGTGCCACAGGCCCAGGAGGAGCCCCCTTATCCTCTCGAGAAGGATGCACTGGATCTGGAGGAAGAGGCACCAAGCTTCTTGGAGGATCCAGAACTGGAGGAAGGAGTTTCTGGGGACTAGACTGGAGCAACTAGCTCGCCCGAACCTTGGCCTTGATCTGGAAGAGGTGCATCTTAATGCCACGTCATCCCATCGGATTAAAATTTAAAATTTAATTTTATTATTAATTTAATATTATTAATTATTTAATTTAAAAAAACAGCCCCCTCCTCCTCGATTCTCATAGGTGGCACTTAAGCGGCGCCAAAAAGCGCCAAAAATTAGTTTGACTTTGCCGGCTTTTAAAAGCCGGCGGACCAGGAGGCTTGGCGTGGAGGTGCCACAGGCCCAGGAGGAGCTGCCCCATCCTCTCGAGAAGGATGCACTGGATCTGGAGGAAGAGGCACCAAGCTTCTTGGAGGATCCAGAACTGGAGGAAGGAGTTTCTGGGGACTAGAGTGGAGCAACTGGCTCACCCGAACCTTGGCCCTGATCTGCAAGAGGGCATCTTACAACCACGTCATCTCATCGGATGCATTTCGACCCAGTGGCGACACCAACGAGGATGACCCCGATCCGGAACCCGATCAGGAGGCTTGGCCTGGAAGTGCCACAGGCCCAGGAGGAGCTCCCCATCCTCTCGAGAAGGATGCACTGGATCTGGAGGAAGAGGCACCAAGCTTCTTGGAGGATCCAGAACTGGAGGAAGGAGTTTCTGGGGACTAGAGTGGAGCAACTGGCTCACCCGAGCCTTGGCCCTGATCTGCAAGAGGGCATCTTACAACCACGTCATCTCATCGGATGCATTTCGACCCAGTGGCGACACAAACGAGGATGACCCCGATCCGGAACCCGATCAGGAGGCTTGGCCTGGAAGTGCCACTGGCCCAGGAGGAGCTCTCCATCCTCTCGAGAAGGATGCACTGGATCTGGAGCAAGAGGCACCAAGCTTCTTGGAGGATCCAGAACTTGAGGAAGGAGTTTCTGGGGACTAGACTGGAGCAACTAGCTCGCCCGAACCTTGGCCTTGATCTGGAAGAGGTGCATCTTAATGCCACGTCATCCCATCGGATTAAAATTTAAAATTTAATTTTATTATTAATTTAATATTATTAATTATTTAATTTAAAAAAACAGCCCCCTCCTCCTCGATTCTCATAGGTGGCACTTAAGCGCCGCCAAAAAGCGCCAAAAATTAGTTCGACTTTGCCGGCTTTTAAAAGCCGGCGGACCAGGAGGCTTGGCGTGGAGGTGCCACAGGCCCAGGAGGAGCTGCCCCATCCTCTCGAGAAGGATGCACTGGATCTGGAGGAAGAGGCACCAAGCTTCTTGGAGGATCCAGAACTGGAGGAAGGAGTTTCTGGGGACTAGAGTGGAGCAACTGGCTCACCCGAACCTTGGCCCTGATCTGCAAGAGGGCATCTTACAACCACGTCATCTCATCGGATGCATTTCGACCCAGTGGCGACACCAACGAGGATGACCCCGATCCGGGACCCGATCAGAAGGCTTGACCTGGAAGTGCCACAGGCCCAGGAGGAGCCCCCTTATCCTCTCGAGAAGGATGCACTGGATCTGGAGGAAGAGGCACCAAGCTTCTTGGAGGATCCAGAACTGGAGGAAGGAGTTTCTGGGGACTAGAGTGGAGCAACTGGCTCACTCGAGACCTTGGCCGTGATCTGCAAGAGGGCATCTTACAACCACGTCATCTCATCGGATGCATTTCGACCCAGTGGCGACACCAACGAGGATGACCCCGATCCGGGACCCGATCAGGAGGCTTGGCATGGAAGTGCCACAGGCCCAGGAGGAGCTCCCCATCCTCTCGAGAAGGATGCACTGGATCTGGACGAAGAGGCACCAAGCTTCTTGGAGGATCCAGAACTGGAGGAAGGAGTTTCTGGGGACTAGAGTGGAGCAACTGGCTCACCCGAACCTTGGCCCTGATCTGCAAGAGGGCATCTTACAACCACGTCATCTCATCGGATGCATTTCGACCCAGTGGCGACACCAACGAGGATGACCCCGATCCGGAACCCGATCAGGAGGCTTGGCCTGGAAGTGCCACTGGCCCAGGAGGAGCTCCCCATCCTCTCGAGAAGGATGCACTGGATCTGGAGGAAGAGGCACCAAGCTTCTTGGAGGATCCAGAACTGGAGGAAGGAGTTTCTGGGGACTAGACTGGAGCAACTAGCTCGCCCGAACCTTGGCCTTGATCTGGAAGAGGTGCATCTTAATGCCACGTCATCCCATCGGATTAAAATTTTAAATTTAATTTTATTATTAATTTAATATTATTAATTATTTAATTTAAAAAAACAGCCCCCTCCTCCTCGATTCTCATAGGTGGCACTTAAGCGCCGCCAAAAAGCGCCAAAAATTAGTTCGACTTTGCCGGCTTTTAAAAGCCGGCGGACCAGGAGGCTTGGCGTGGAGGTGCCACAGGCCCAGGAGGAGCTGCCCCATCCTCTCGAGAAGGATGCACTGGATCTGGAGGAAGAGGCACCAAGCTTCTTGGAGGATCCAGAACTGGAGGAAGGAGTTTCTGGGGACTAGAGTGGAGCAACTGGCTCACCCGAACCTTGGCCCTGATCTGCAAGAGGGAATCTTACAACCACGTCATCTCATCGGATGCATTTCGACCCAGTGGCGACATCAACGAGGATGAACCCGATCCGGGACCCGATCAGGAGGCTTGGCCTGGAAGTGCCACAGGCCCAGGAGGAGCTCCCCATCCTCTCGAGAAGGATGCACTGGATCTGGAGGAAGAGGCACCAAGCTTCTTGGAGGATCCAGAACTGGAGGAAGGAGTTTCTGGGGACTAGACTGGAGCAACTAGCTCGCCCGAACCTTGGCCTTGATCTGGAAGAGGTGCATCTTACAACCACGTTATCTCATCGGATGCATTTCGACCCAGTGGCGACACCAACGAGGATGACCCCGATCCGGGACCCGATCAGGAGGCTTGGCCTGGAAGTGCCACAGGCCCAGGAGGAGCTCCCCATCCTCTCGAGAAGGATGCACTGGATCTGAAGGAAGAGGCATCAAGCTTCTTGGAGGATCCAGAACTGGAGGAAGGAGTTTCTGGGGACTAGAGTGGAGCAACTGGCTCACTCGAACCTTGGCCGTGATCTGCAAGAGGGCATCTTACAACCACGTCATCTCATCGGATGCATTTCGACCCAGTGGCGACACCAACGAGGATGACCCCGATCCGGGACCCGATCAGGAGGCTTGGCGTGGAGGTGCCACAGGCCCAGGAGGAGCTGCCCCATCCTCTCGAGAAGGATGCACTGGATCTGGAGGAAGAGGCATCAAGCTTCTTGGAGGATCCAGAACTGGAGGAAGGAGTTTCTGGGGACTAGAGTGGAGCAACTGGCTCACTCGAACCTTGGCCGTTATCTGCAAGAGGGCATCTTACAACCACGTCATCTCATCGGATGCATTTCGACCCAGTGCCGACACCAACGAGGATGACCCCGATCCGGGACCCGATCAGGAGGCTTGGCCTGGAAGTGCCACAGGCCCAGGAGGAGCTCCCCATCCTCTCGAGAAGGATGCACTGGATCTGGACGAAGAGGCACCAAGCTTCTTGGAGGATCCAGAACTGGAGGAAGGAGTTTCTGGGGACTAGAGTGGAGCAACTGGCTCACCCGAATCTTGGCCCTGATCTGCAAGAGGGAATCTTACAACCACATCATCTCATCGGATGCATTTCGACCCAGTGGCGACACCAACGAGGATGACCCCGATCCGGAACCCGATGAGGAGGCTTGGCCTGGAAGTGCCACAGGCCCAGGAGGAGCTCCCCATCCTCTCGAGAAGGATGCACTGGATCTGGAGGAAGAGGCACCAAGCTTCTTGGAGGATCCAGAACTGGAGGAAGGAGTTTCTGGGGACTAGACTGGAGCAACTAGCTCGCCCGAACCTTGGCCTTGATCTGGAAGAGGTGCATCTTACAACCACGTCATCTCATCGGATGCATTTCGACCCAGTGGCGACACCAACGAGGATGACCCCGATCCGGGACCCGATCAGGAGGCTTGGCCTGGAAGTGCCACAGGCCCAGGAGGAGCTCCCCATCCTCTCGAGAAGGATGCACTGGATCTGAAGGAAGAGGCATCAAGCTTCTTGGAGGATCCAGAACTGGAGGAAGGAGTTTCTGGGGACTAGAGTGGAGCAACTGGCTCACTCGAACCTTGGCCGTGATCTGCAAGAGGGCATCTTACAACCACGTCATCTCATCGGATGCATTTCGACCCAGTGGCGACACCAACGAGGATGACCCCGATCCGGGACCCGATCAGGAGGCTTGGCCTGGAAGTGCCACAGGCCCAGGAGGAGCTCCCCATCCTCTCGAGAAGGATGCACTGGATCTGGAGGAAGAGGCACCAAGCTTCTTGGAGGATCCAGAACTGGAGGAAGGAGTTTCTGGGGACTAGACTGGAGCAACTAGCTCGCCCGAACCTTGGCCTTGATCTGGAAGAGGTGCATCTTACAACCACGTCATCTCATCGGATGCATTTTGACCCAGTGGCGACACCAACGAGGATGACCCCGATCCGGGACCCGATCAGGAGGCTTGGCCTGGAAGTGCCACAGGCCCAGGAGGAGCTCCCCATCCTCTCGAGAAGGATGCACTGGATCTGAAGGAAGAGGCATCAAGCTTCTTGGAGGATCCAGAACTGGAGGAAGGAGTTTCTGGGGACTAGAGTGGAGCAACTGGCTCACTCGAACCTTGGCCCTGATCTGCAAGAGGGCATCTTACAACCACGTCATCTCATCGGATGTATTTCGACCCAGTGGCGACACCAACGAGGATGACCCCGATCCGGGACCCGATCAGGAGGCTTGGCCTGGACGTGCCACTGGCCCAGGAGGAGCTCCCCATCCTCTCGAGAAGGATGCACTGGATCTGGAGGAAGAGGCACCAAGCTTCTTGGAGGATCCAGAACTGGAGGAAGGAGTTTCTGGGGACTAGACTGGAGCAACTAGCTCGCCCGAACCTTGGCCTTGATCTGGAAGAGGTGCATCTTAATGCCACGTCATCCCATCGGATTAAAATTTAAAATTTAATTTTATTATTAATATAATATTATTAATTATTTAATTTAAAAAAACAGCCCCCTCCTCCTCGATTCTCATAGGTGGCACTTAAGCGCCGCCAAAAAGCGCCAAAAATTAGTTCGACTTTGCCGGCTTTTAAAAGCCGGCGGACCAGGAGCCAAAAGCCAAGCCATTTTTCGTGATGGTATCCCTTGAAAATGGGGTTTACCTTATATGGCCCACATTGATACCTATATCTTCCCCAATTCTCATCCGATTCTCAAGCGGAGTACCTTAAACGATTTCCGGATCGATTCGCCACCATTCTGCATCAAAATCCTGAGACAAAATATTTTTTAGATTTTTGGTCAATTTTTCGTCATGGGATCCCTTGAAAATGGAGTTTACCTTATATGGCCCACAGTGATACCTATATCTTCTCCAATTTTCATCCGATTCTCAAGCGGAGTAGCTTAAACGATTTCTGCCACCATTCTGCGAATCTTGAGACAAAATATTGAATATTAATATAATATTATTATAATTTCAAATATTATAATACCCTCTGCAAGGGTATACAAAATGTCTGAAAGTCCTGCATCTCTGTTTTTAGCTATATAGGTACCCAAGTGCTCTCCTTGGCTCTCTTAAAATGATGATGTCACTACCCGAATCTCCCATACCGGCGGTTTGTCTGGAACCTTTTATAAAAGTTCTCATTTCTGTTGCGTTGCTGGTCGGGTGCGGTAGCTACCATTTTGCTGCCGTACTTAATTAATAAATTAAATCGGTGTATATATCTATGAGACCCGGCAAAAATGCCTTCTGGCTGCACATTTGAATTTGATCGACGAGATCCAATATACTATAGTGGCGAAACAATCAATGGGCGTGCTATTCTCAATACCACTTCGACCAAGTCGGTAAACGGTAAGAGTAAACACACAAACAAGCTAAATAAATACATAACTTTCGTGAAATGAAAGCAAAAGTGGCTTCTTATCACTGCAATTGTATGATAATGCGGTAACAATATGCGACTAAAAGCTTTCCTACACCCTAAAAGAAATTTCTTAATTAATCTAAATAACTGATAGACGATGAGCTAAGCCTGCCCCCGTGTCCCATACCCGTTCCATCGTCACCCACATTGTCAATGTATTTTTTGCCTCCTCTAAATTATTTCGGCAGTCCAAACAAAAAACATAAAGCCAAAAAAAGCTCCGACAAACAACTTTATATATATTTGGCACACACATGCACACTAGTTGTTTAGAATCGCAAAAATTTGCACAAAAAATGCGCTACAGTGGGATTGATACCCATAAAAAGTATACAAAATAATCTTTTACTTTTTTCGCAGAGGTTTACATTCTTTTTGAGGGCGAAGCTAAAGTACGATGGGATGAACGTAAGAGTAAAACTTACCATGGAAGGACTCGGTATTACACGGAGTACTATCGGGGAAGGCACACGTACCAGAGCTCGAAAACTACTGTCTTCGGATCCGGGGATATGGCTCCTGGCACTTACACCTATAACTTCAGTATCCCCTTGCCCTTGGAGTGTCCTTCATCGATGGTGACGAAGTACGGAAAGATATTCTACGAAGTCTCGGTGGTCATAGATCGCCAGTGGAAATTTAATAATGTTTTCAAGCAACCGCTTACCGTGCTGCAAACTTATAATCTCAACATGAATCCTGAGCTGCTGGTTAGTCTAAAATGGAGTTTTGTATTATTATTTTTCTTTTTATTATAATTATTTCACAGATTCCCGTGGTTCGCGAGGACATCAAATACTTTTGCTGTTGGCCCTGCAGATCGGGTCCTGTGTTGTCCACTCTAACCATACCCTTCGGTGGCTACGCCCCTGGTCAGAAGATTCACTTCACCCTGGAGATAGACAACCAGTCATCGCGGAACGACCTCGATGGCATCGAAGTGTGCCTGAAGCAGAACTACAAGGTTACGGCTGATTCTCCGTACCACAAATCTCGCGAGAAGGAACACAGGCTAAATGAAAGCAGCCAAGTGGAGCGGGTGCTCCGAAACAGTAAGAAGGTCATTAATGGAACCCTAGATATTCCGGCAGTGCCACCATCCTCCCGGAACGACGGCATCATTACGGTCAACTACATGGTGGGTCTAACCATCAACATGGGTGACTGTGCCTGGGACTCGGACTTTGATGTGCCAATAGTCATTGGCACTATTCCATTGATGCAGAGTGCAGCGGATCCCAGTCATGCGGCGCAGTGGATACCGCAGGTTCCGGCCACTCCACATGGTGCTAGTGCGGATCTGCCACCAAGCTACGACAATTGCAGTAAGTACATTGTTTTAAACTCTCCCGAAATACATTTTCTAATAATTTTAAATGTTTTGACAGAACCTCCGACATTTGCGGAGGCAGCCTCTTTCGAGGAAAAATTCGTTGACATTGACGTGGATGAGAACAACCGTACGGATGACTTTATACCGCGATATCCGATGTACACCAACTTTGCCATGCCCTCGGCTCCTCCGCCCCCAGGAGAGGAGAGTGTTGATGCTCCTCTGTTGTCCGCTCCGGCATATTCTATGCCGTATCCTCCGCCTAACCAACCGGCTTATCCACCAGATAACCAACCAGGTTATACACAGGGCTACCAACCGGGCTATCCTCCAGGAAACCAGCCACCAGGATATCCTCCTGTAAACCAACCGGGCTATCCGCCTGCTATGCAACCCGGATATCCACCGGCTAACCAACCACCTTACCCACCGCCTTATCCGCCAGCCAATGGATTCCCAAATCCGAACAATCAAACCACCTTTTCATTTGGATGGAACCCTAATCAATAAAAAGCTTCCTCAAAGGATCGTGAACAACTACCTCAAGAAAACAATCTCTACGTAAATAATGGAAAGTATATAAAATTTATCTCAGGTCTAGGCAACATAGAAAAACTTTTAAAGTTAAAGATGATTGCCTTAAAAAAATTTTAATAGATATTTCTATTGTCTTTGTTTATTGTAAGCCACTAATGTGATGAATATAATATTTACTAAAAGCTTTTTTTATAAAATTTTGGCGAAAACTGAAAAGTGTTTTTTTTTTTATTTACCAATAAATAGAATACAATTTTAAAACTTTAACATCTATACCGCGTGTTTTAAAAAGACCGCCTTAAGGACTTTAGGACATTAATTTCAGTGTTGAGTGACTTTATACTTAGTCCTTGGGGGTAAAAAGTGTCCTTTAAGGACAACATCCCATTATTAGGTCTCCAAAACATTTAACGAAAGGATTTCGAAAAAAACGGGGGTGTTTAAGGTAAGAAAACGCGAAAGAAACTCGGTAGTGGCGCTAGTAGTTTACATTTATTATACATAATACATGAATTTTGACATAATACATGTATTTTGACATGTATTATACATTTTAACATTTTATTTCAATTTTTGCTTGTCTCAAAAAATGTTATGGTCCTTTTAACATTTTAAGGGAAATTCGTTTCTTTTTATGAAAAAATTTTATATTTGAATTTTTTTAAGTTTGAAGGGTTATTCAGGATGATCTGGGTTATTACCATCTTAGTCCCTGTGAAGTGTTTGGGAGGATGTGTCCAATCTAAGAATGTGACAGAATTGGGTTTTTGGGAATCCAGGAAACCTGGATTTAAAACCTGGAATAACCTGAAGTTCACCTCCATCCAGCGACCTGGTGTTCGGGGCACCCCGCACACTCCATCAGCGCAAGGATGGTCCTGTTGAAACTGGTCAACCAGAATGACGCCGGGTTAAACCAAGACCCCGGCTCAAGGAGCGGCTAAATCTTTTCCCTCGATTATTCGTGAAGGTAATAATTTATTCTTTATAAAACAATTAAGATTTCCGGGAGAACTTTATGAAGAAGGTTCCCCCTAATCCCCTTAAATTAAATGTCAAATCATGTAGAAGTGGCTTAGCTAATCCCGGTAGGGAAAATAGCCACAAGAGCGCGGCTAACTGGGCTAAGACAGAGTCCACACTCTCTTACCTGTCCCAAGACAAGACAGAGACGAAGAGAGGCTCAACAGGTAGTCTCAGGTGAGCGGGCTTAGAGACAGAGAGCCACTGTCTTCCACTCGCCGAAGTCGACTGAAGTGGAAGTCGAAGACACGTAGGCGTTGCTGAGACGCTGCCAGCCAGATTCATTCCACAGTGAGACTTCGTCGCGTTCACAAGCTTCCGAGATCGAGCCGCCACCGTCAACTTCGAGCATCGGATCAGGAGCAGCGACCCCATCCACACCGGGTCACCCACAGCCCGTGACCGCATTCTCCGGCGGGTCCAGCGTCCCAAAAATTCACTCGGGGTATTTGTGTTTGGCAGACCCTGGAGTTGCGTAGAATCCCTTTGGCGGCCATATTTGTTTCCATTTCTTCGATCAACTTTGATCTGTGTCAACCAGTGTGGGTTTTGTGAGAAAATACAAAAATTGAAAAATACAGGAGCGGAAGTGCTTGCCACAGGCTGAGAATTCATTTAATTTCGGAAAGATTTAAGTTCGAGATTCGAGAGTAAAATAGCACCCAGCGTATGGGTGTGTGTGCCTGAGTGTGCGAGCTATGGACGTGTGTGTATATGTGAACCCGATCGCGACCGCTGGTAGTGTGCGTGCAAGTGCCCCTATGTGCGCCGCAAGAAATATCCGCTTACCTAAGCGAAAAAATTCTCTCGCATCGACTGCGGCGGCAGTTTAAGAACCGCACCTGGACACAGATACAAGTCAACACACACACTCACACAGAGGGAACATACACTCGCAGCCAGACGGCTACAAAAAAGTTAAGAAAAAAATAAAGAAATACCTGTGCACACGGACGTGGCTGGCACACAAAGCCAAACCAGAAAATCCACATTGTTCGGGCTAGTTCGTCTCGTGTTGTCGTTGTCGTAGTCGCTGTCTCGTTCTCTTTCTCGGTACCCCCTTCTGGCTCAGTGTCGCGCCCCCTCAACAATACAAAAAAATAAAACCACGTAACGTTCACAAAAACAACGTAAAGATAAGCCCCCCACAATGGGTGATTCTACGCCTATTTGCCGCTGCCGTGTCCTGTACCTGGGCAGTGCCGTGCCCCGCCAGAGCAAGGATGGTCTCCAAGGTATCCAGGAGCCATTGCGGAGCCTCTACCCCTCCGAGGGGGCTGTGGGCGCCAAGGGCATCGACAGCTGGCTGAGCGTCTGGTCCAATGGAATTCTGCTGGAGAACGTTGACGAGAACCTGAAGCAGATCACACGCTTCTTTCCCATCGAATCACTGCATTACTGTGCCGCTGTGCGACAGGTGCTCATCCCGGAACGTGGCAATGCCCATCCGGAGCCGAAGTTCCTGCCGCTGGACTCGCCCTTCGCCCGCATGCCACGTGCCCAGCACCCGCCCATCTTTGCCGCCATCCTGCGTCGCACCACCGGCATCAAGGTGCTCGAGTGCCACGTCTTCATCTGCAAACGGGAAGCGGCCGCCAATGCTCTAGTCAGGTGCTGTTTCCACGCCTACGCCGACAACTCCTATGCCCGCCAGTTGGAAACGGGCGGCGGGGGCGGTAGCAGTGTCTACGGAACTCTGAAGAGCGCCGCCGGTAGCAAGTCCAACGGCGACCTGACCAGCGTGGGCCTCTCGAACGGAAATGGAACTGGCAACGGAAGCCACCACCTGGCCCTCTCCGCCCAGGGTGGCTGGCGATCGCGGGCCGGCAGCACCACAACCTTGAACAGTCTGGGACGCACGTCCAACGGCCATGCTCCCAACGGATCCGCCCTAGGGCTAAATGGAGGAAGCACTGGAAGTGCCGCCGAGGGCTATACGTCCGTAAAAAATTGTGAGTACTGGACTTGATGTTTAAAGCTTAAACATAAATAGTTATTAATAGAAGATGAAGTCACAAAAATATATAAATATTCTATAGCATGTCCAAGATATTTAGCACAATATTTGTTAAATAATGAATAGATCAAATAATGAAAATAGAGAGCCGCGATATAGAGACACCATTTCAAACAAAAACAGTAACCGTACAATTTCCATCTTCCATCATTTCTTATTTTTGCGAAAAACAACGGAGTTCGTTGCCTAAGTCTTTTATTGACAGCAGGTGACGCGTCTTCTAATTGCTAAGCCATGACGCGATCAGTGCTGTGATCTCAGTTTCAAGACCCTCAACTAAACTATCTAAGATGCAGATTCACCGAAGAGCACAATATCAGGTAGCCAATAGAAAAGTGAGATGAGCAGACACACCTTGAAAATCCGGCAAAAGGTATGCAGTTTATGGGTTTGCTGCAGGTATTTAATATTGACACTTTTGTGCCGGACTGCCAAGCCCTGACGGACGTTTGGCTTGAAATCGATGGTGAAACGATGACGGTGTCTCGGCTGGAAGAGAAAGAAACACTTTTCGCTGCGACCAAACACTTTCCACTCATTTAAATTTCAACGATGGCAGGCAGAAGCCGAAACACAGAAGAGGCTAAGCCGCGCCGTTTTACGATTCGGCTGTTTCCCCGTCCATCGGTTATAGCAAAGTTATGATAATTACCATGTAAATTGCTGAGACTCAGACTCAGACTGAGTCTCAGGCCGAGGAAAGCAGGTCTTTTCTGCGACTGCCACATATCATCTCGAGCTGCTGCTCGTGCGAACAGGCGCGATCTCTAGCCCGGCATTCAAATTAACCGAATTTCGACTCGGATTCCGACTGGGCTAATGCCAGACTCACTCCCCGCTAATTTGCATGTAGATTGAATTAGCACAAGTTTGTATATCCAAGCTTGGGTGTTTGCATATAGAAAGCAATAGGGTCGAAGCGAAATCTTTCGAGATAACTCGTGGGTCGGGTGTGTCGGTCTGGTGTCTCATTCATGCCTCAAGCCCAACGGTTTTCAAGCTGGGGATTTACCCATTCATTTTCCATTCATGAATAGTACAGTTGAAAAGTCTCAAACAAGCAGGAAATAGGAAAACCTTGAAAATTGAAAATCTTTAAGAAAGGTAACAATCACAAAAATTCTACAAAAGCCTATAATATTTTAAATAAATAAGTAATTAGTGACATCAAAATTCATCAGTCATTAGAGTTACTTACCTTTGTAGAGCCCTCGTGATGTTTATCTTCCAACAGTTTCAATTACAGTCTTCTACGGATGATGTTTATTTATTTATATTTGTTAGTGATATTTTTAACAAACTCTGAGCAAACATGCTAATTGAATTAAGTCCTCCCCGAATCAAGTGACTTGCTGTAATGGGTTTGCTAATTGCTAATGGGCCTATCCCACTAGCCAAAGTCATTTATAAGATTCAAGCCTGTCTGTCACTGCCTTCTGACGGTTTCTCACAACCTCTTGGCCACAAACGGCAATTACTGGCCGTCTTTTGGTGGCGGCGCCCTTCTTGGCACCTTGGAGCCACCTTTCTCCCTCTCCCAAGAATCCCCAACTTGTTGAACTGTGGTCGCGTGCATATTGGTAAGACTGGGCTCCCCACCAACGCAAAAGGAGGGAAACGGGATGGGGCAAAGGGAGGGGGTACACTCATTATACACATGCATGGGCACTTGTGCCCCAGCGAGTAAGTAAATCGAGATGAACGCGTGAGAAAATTTTCGGCTAGGGTCTGATCATTTTCTTATGACTACCTCTCGTCTGTTTTCATGTTCCACCGACTCGGATCCGGATTCGGATTCGGATTTGGTTGGATCAGATTGCTGGGAAGGCAGTCAGTCGACTGGGAGAAGTGTGAAATCACCGTAAAAAGAGAGAGTGCAGGGAAGGGTACGGGTGGTACAGCCGGAATATCTACGTCAGTGTAAAAGTGGCTG